TTTTTCCTATAACTATCGAATCAATGCTTCCCTCCTCGTCGTTCCAAGCCTTTCTTTTCGCAGATATGCATGTAGACGAATTGTTGCGCGGTGAAGAAATTGCAAAACCATTGATGAACGGGCCTTAAGAGAGACGACAAATTTCCGTGAACGTGCTGGCCACGTTCTGGCGACACGCGTACCTTTTTTTGCGTGTCCAACGATTCAAGATTCAAAGGAACAAACCGATAGTACACGGAAATAAAAAAAAAAGCGTAGTCTTCTACGATAATACTTTAGGAGACATTTTTTTACGATTCAGAAAAGATTGACTAGGTAGAAACTCTGATGGCAAGAACTACTATCGCGAGAATATCATTTTCTTTCAAAAGAAGTAGGTAGGAAATCAAAAGGATGTAACGTAATACGTGAGTAATTACTGTTCGGGGTTTCGCCTGTATCCTCACCTCAGTCTTTATGCCTACTTATACATAGATAGGTCGTGCTAAACACATATAAATATATCTATATACATTATATAGTATATTATTAAAAGAACAATGCGCGGTGGGGAAAAAAATAGGAAGATGATGTTAGAACAACGATGGTGATGAAACGAAGAGAGTTGAACGGATAAGCCAAAGTGAGAAAGCTGTTTTGTCAGAATAAGAGAATCAATTGTTGTAGAAATAACGACGACGTGTATACTTTGATGATACAACGAATAGAGCGAGTGATTATCTGGTGCTGATTGGATCGATTTTTGAATTTCCTACTTTTTTAATAATCTCGAATTGGAAACGGTATATCTTTTTCTTGCTTTTTCTTCTGGTTTAAAAAGAATATAAATCGTTAAGCGGTTTATTTATAACAGAGGAACGAGACACGACGAGATTTCTCGTATTTTACAAAACAGATCGACAGTAAGAGACAGTAAGGGAAATCGAATGTAGTATGGCAAAGCTGAACGATCGTGATCGACGGTGACAGAGAATTATGCGGGTTCTTCGTTTATATTTTGTCATACAAAAGTCTATGTACGCGTTTCTTCGATCAATACGTAAACAATCGTTATATCGACGAAACCGTTGGATCCGAATCGTTTGCTATAATGTAACATTCCCGTTATTTCATCTACACCGTCAAACGTGCGAAAGACAGTTCAAAGGGGATATTTCAAGGAAATAATCAAGAGAGATTTTTCAAGTCATACGCGGAATTTTTAACTTCGACTTTTACTGCCAGGTAACACTAAATATACTAAATATACTAAATGTAAAGTTTAGTTCTAATTAAACTAAATATACAAACGTAATATTTTCTCATTTTTGCCACGTTATTGCAAACGATTCGATCGCTATACATCTGATCCCGATTCCGAAATTTAGGGGCAACAATATTCCGATATCTCGTATTTCAATATCGTACGTAATTTAATAAAAAAAAAAAAAACATAATAACGAGCGGCTGGAAATTTCAGGACAGCGACTTCTTCTTTCGCGATCACTGACCGTCTTCTTCTTTTTTTTTTTTTTCTTTTCTCTATATTCCCTTCCCGCGCTCAATGTGCACATTCCGGGACCGACAATGATCTATGTAAAAATTTGTTGTCTGCGAATGAAAGCAAAATAGAGGAAGCGAGGATGATTTACTTAAGGTGGGTTGTTTATGGAGGAACAACTTATCACGGCGATCGTAAATGTTAAGCATTACGTAACACTACGGTACATTTGCGCATCCCCTTCTCGTCCAAAATTGCGTTTTTACTCTCCGATTGCATCGTAGAGGAAGATTATTTATTACAATAAAATTGCAGATTATTATGGCTATATATACATGTATATATGTATACATTATTATATGTACATATATATATGTATAAATATATATATTATATATTAGAAATTGAAATACTCGTAATAAAGAACACGCCGACGCTTCCTGTGACCCTGGACTGTTTTAATTGTGTTCTAGAAAATTGATTTCCCTTTTTCTTTAACACATCAAACCTTCGACATTAATTCCTTTAAAAAATATAATTACCAAGAGATGTGGAATACGCGCGAACGCATAAGATCTTGCCGTTATTTAAGCATTCCAAAATAATTTATTGTCTATATACACAATTTGGTAAAAGACGTATATACATTGCCGTACAGTGCTCAATTAGCAGCTTGTAAGTATTCTAGTCCAATAATTGAAAACAGAGAGAAATTTTCGATTCTTATAAAAGCTATCTTAATAAATAGGTCCATCGTCTAAATTATCGTCTTCATCACAGTACCCTTCTCTATTATCGATAATGATTCATATAATCAGTTCATTTCCTCTTTAGTTCTTTATCTAGTTCTGGTTCTTCGTCGTTAATCTTCTCTTTTACTTCCTTCTTCCTTCCTTTCATCGCACTTCTTTTGTCCATGTAACGTTCTTTTGGTTTTTTTTTTGTCTTCTCAAATGTAACGTTCTTTTGGTTTTTTTTGTCTTCTCAAATTCTTACTTTTTTTAATTTTGCAATCAAAACTCCAATTTTACCAATATTGTCATTTCTATCAATAATCAAATCTTGAAACTCAGTTTTTAATTTTGCAATCAAAACTCCAATTTTACCAATATTGTCATTTCTATCAATAATCAGATCTTGAAACTCATTTGAATAAATTCAATATCTTTTTTATTTACAGAAAGCAATGCATTGTTAAGTGATATTCGTATGTATTTTGCATATCTTCTCTTTAATTTTAGCTGATAATTCATTTTTGGAATAACATTTAAGGATGATGGTTTGTATTTCAAAGAAAAATATTTTGATAAAGGTTGTAAGATAATGCTGATTATGATAATGCTTCTTTTTTAGTAAAATCTAACTTGTGTTTTAATTGACATAAAAGGTTATCTTTTTTTATTTGTCAAAATCTATAATTGTGTTACGTACTATATTCTGGCTTTTAACAATAACAATAGAGTAGAATATTGAAGGCAACATTTGTTTTAAATTAACTGGTAATTATAAATATATCCTTAATTATTTTGGCCATTGCTCGGTTCAAATGAGAAATACAGAGTATTAATATTTTATAAAATACTCTAAATTTATAATCAAACCTTTTGAATCACGAGCTGTTTCTCCTCTTCCCTAATAAGTTCTTCCTGTTTAGCAGCAAACGCCTCTTTATCGTAAATTACTTTAATTACAAGAGAGCAGGAAGGACATGTGGCTTCTTCCACTCCAGCAGCTAACTCTGCCTTAGATATTTGGAACTGATCCCCACAAGGACATGGATAATAATATACTTCTTCATCCTCGTCATATTCAAAGTCTTCAATTTCTACTTCATCGTGATATACAGACATAATTAATAGTAGTAATTAAGTTCTCTAAATGAACTCAAGTAGAGGTTAAGAACACACGTTCGATCAGTGATCATAACAGCATGACATAGGTAGCTAACTATGAAAATGACATAGATAGTTAACTCTATGAAGCAAAAAGTTTACACGATCTTTCTCTTCCTTTCATCTTTTTCTTTTCTTTCCTTTTTTTCTTTTAAATAAAAGGCAATTTTATACAAATATTTCAATAATACTTTTCTGTACTTTGAAAGTTTAAATGTAAAAATAAAATAAAATCTCTTAGTTCATGTGCAAATTTTTGGGATAAGATACATATACGTATACACACCTATCTACATATCCAATGATTATAAAGAAATATATTATTAATATATATAGAGTAAACGAAACTATTTTTCTAAAATATCATCCAAGAGAATATGTATTGAATGTTACATTGTAGAATAGCATAGTATAATTGTAGTTGAAAATAAATTCCAAAATGATTAACATCCATGAATAAAATATTCAAATATGTTCGTATTATATATTCTTAGAAATAAATTATGTACGATTTTAACGATGTATCACGAATTGACATATACTTTGCTAAACTCAGCTGTTTCCTATCAGGTGATTTTGACATTCTTATCTTCTTTCAGATTAAACAAAATCTGTTACAGCATCGTTCATATCATACGCCTGACATGGAAGAATGTATACATATGTACATTAGTTATGCGCCAGTGTGATTATTGGTATAAAGGGCTACTGTAGAGCCTTTTAATAATTTTCTCATTTAATTAACAAAATAGACGTATCAATGCATCTTTCTTGATACATAAGAACATAAAGGTAAGTTGTTTGTGCTATGTAAATGGAACAAAGTGAGTGAACATCGTATTATAATATGATATTCAAGATTCCATCAAAATGTTTACTAAATGTCACGAAAATACAATTTTGAAGAAAAATAATCAAACCTATTACTAATCTCTTAACATCTTCGAATATTATTTCATGTTGAACAAATGATCTGACGATTTAAAGGTTATACAACTTGCACAAGATCTGAAAATATTGCAAAGCTCTGTTATTTTTGTATGGTTAATAAAAACGTTTTGTTTTAAAATCGTTATCTCCTGTTGCCTTTATTAATTATTTCTTTGATATATTCTCATTGTCTATTAATATCTTGATACATATTATATATATCGATATTTATAAGTAAATAGTAAAAATTATGAGGTTATGAGGAGAATAATATAGTTATTGCACATGCAATAATTAAATAAAACTCTTGTATACTATACAAGTCAAAATATTTCTTTGTAATCAAGAATAAGAATATTTATGACAGATGACGACTGAAGAATATGATACAGAAATGGATTATTCCGATTCTGATTGTGGAGATCCAGGTTACGAGGATTATTATAATGTACACCCATGGGATGGAGAAGGTGACAATGACATAGATAATGATCAAAGTAGAAGAGATCCTGAATATGCTGTATATGACTGTTTAAGAATTGAGGAAGTGGAAAGACTTTTGAATGAGGACGTAGAATCATTAAGTAATAGTCTTCACATAACACCATCTTTAGCCAAAGTTTTATTACACGCACATAATTGGGCATTACAAGATATCATTGCAAAATACCGTACCAACGCTTCCAGTTTGTTTATCAATTCAAAAATAAAACCGTTGCCTCCACTGGATTCATTATCAGGACTAAAAAGTCAAAGAAGTGGATTATGTTCTGTTTGTGTTGCAATTCAATCAGCTGAGAAATTTTCTACTCTAACATGTGGACATTCATTTTGTAAAGACTGTTGGTGCATGCATTTTGAAGTACAAATAAGCCAAGGTATTTCTACAGGTAAATTTATTGAAGAAAATAGATGAAATTATCTAAACTATTGAATTAAGCTTAGTTAATGTTAAAGTTAATATTAAACTAGGAATAAGCTGCATGGCACAAGACTGCAATGTCTTAGCTCCAGAGGACTTTGTTTTATCTTTACTTACTAAACCTAACATGAGAGAAAGGTATCAACAATTTGCTTTTTGTGATTATGTAAAGTCTCATCCACAATTAAGGTTTTGTCCTGGACCCAATTGTCAAATGATTATGCGTTCAAAAGAGCAAAGGGCAAAAAGAGTGATGTGTTCATCATGTAAAACTGTATTTTGGTATGCATTCGACATTTTTAAATATTTCTATTACTTTAGTGTGATTTAATCAGAAACTGTAATAATTTCAGCTTCCGATGTGGTATCGATTATCATGCCCCCACTGATTGTAATACTATGAAAAAGTGGTTAACAAAGTGTGCAGATGATTCAGAAACAGCTAATTATATTAGTGCCCACACCAAAGATGTTAATATTTAAGTCTTTATGCATTTATATACTATTACGCATTATTTTATAATAACCTCTGATTTTCAGTGCCCAAAATGCCATATTTGCATAGAAAAAAATGGTGGTTGCAATCATATGCAATGTTATAATTGCAAATATGATTTTTGTTGGATGTGCCTTGGAGATTGGAAAGCACATGGAAGTGAATATTATGTATGTTCACGATATAAAGAGAATCCTAATATTGCTCATGAAAGTGTTCTTGCACAAGCAAGAGAAGCTCTTAAAAAATATCTTCATTACTATGAAAGAGTAAGTTACTTCTTTCGAGGATTAACTGATATGTCAAAAACAATCTTAATTATGCTTTCAGTGGGAAAATCACAGTAAGTCGTTAAAATTGGAAGAACAAACTCTAGAAGCCATAAAAATGCAAATAAATAAGAAAGTAATGAACTATAGCGGGACATGGATAGATTGGCAACATTTATTTGCAGCTGCTTCACTTCTAACACGGTGTCGTTACACTTTACAATATACTTATCCTTATGCTTATTATATGGAACCTGGACCACGTAAAGAATTGGTAAATATCTATTTAAACTTTTAAAATATTTAATAATTTTGGAAATAAATAGCTAAATGTATAATAAATATTTAAAGTTCGAATATCAGCAAGCACAATTAGAGGCAGAAATAGAAGATCTTTCTTGGAAAATAGAACATGCAGAAACAACAAATCGCGGAGATTTGGAAAATCAAATGGATATTGCTGAGAAACGTCGAGTCACTTTGCTGAAGGACTTCCTTGAGGTATAAGTATCAAGCGTTCGTGAATATTTTGTTATGTCAGTACAGCCTCTTTCACAGCCAAGCCAAACTTACGAAACAGCTATAGTTTAGTTCTTAAAGTATTATATTACAACAGCTATTATTTACACGTTAGTTAATTATTCGTCATTAAAAAGAAAGTTTATAATAGTGCGTAGAATCGTTTAAATTGACAATGTTTTAGAAAATAAAAAAAAAATGAGGTTGAAAATCTTATTACAAATAGGTCTAGTATTAAGTATTTTTCGTTTATTAAACGATTTTTAAATTATTTTTATCAAAGAGTTTTTACATTTTTATTAAACTTAAGTGTCCACAGAAAGGAGAATTTGATCTGTTCGTTACTTCATTATCTAATCTTACATAAATAAAAAATTGTATAGATACTTTGTTCACAGAAAAACTCAAGAAGAAGAAAGGGAGAAGGGGGAGGGAAGGGAAAGAGAAAGAGAGAGAGAATATCAGCGAGAAATAACTTCTAACTGATAGTTAAAATTTGATATAGAATGTATGTGATTTCCTAGTCTAAGAGTATGTCCATGAATATTGTATAATTACAATGCTTTCTTTGAAATTCATATTTAGAAGACCATTTTTTTAATGCTCATTACGTAGCTAAAACAAAGATGTAAAAATTATTGATTTTATGAATTTTACAGATTATAACATATATTTTATCAAACGAATTTAAATATGAATTTCATTTATTCTAATTCAATGAGTCCCTTAATTTCTTTTCAAAGCATTACTATCATTGAGAAACGTTTTACCAACGAGATCGGCTGAAAATAAAAAAAGAAAAAGAAGAGAAAAACACAAATAGCCTAACAATTTAATTAGGTATCAATAAAAGATACCTTTATTATGTAAATATCGTACTAATGTAAAACGATGTGACATTTTCTATAATTAGACTTAAGGTGCATGCAACGATCAATCCGTTAAAGAAACGTAACGAAATTTTTTTCCAACTATTTATACATGAGAATACATTAGAATAGGTATGACCGATCTTTTAATAAAGAGTCCCATTTAACGGCCATTGTGGAAAATAAATGTAACAATTAATATATCACTAAAAAATAAACTTTACCGCAGCAATTGTATCCTTCTTTTTTTTTAAGTATTTTTTATAGAACCGCGATGAACATAGAACTACTATGAATTAAAATATTGCAACGAAAGATATAAAGGAATTATATCAAATGATTTTTGAGAAACTCATCAATTGTTTTCGTTTTCTAACCATTTAATTCGAATTCATTATCCTTGTTTTTTTATTAATTCACCTGTTTGTTTGTTCAGTAGATATCATATTCCTATGTTTTATCATTGAAACTTGAGAATCAACGGTATTGTTGTATAAATACTTGGCTTTCTAAATTTCAATATGGCGCGCAATATTTTTCCGTTGGCCTCGACGAAATGGAAAAAGATATTCGTATTTTTCTTTCATCGTTCAACACATACAGTATACATTCAATATACATTTAAAATATGTCGAAAATACTTAAAATATAATGAAGATACTCAAATAATAAGTTAAAGACTATAGTAGACTTACAATAGTAGACTTCTATGGTAGATGTAAAATTCAAATAATGGTTAGCTGCAATCCAAAATTTTCTTATAGTATATGCGATGTTATTCTTCTTGTGATTTAAACATTATTCACACAAAAACATAAGTAAGTTTAATTTTGAAAATCAGGATTATCTCGAAATTTACAAAAGTTGTACGTTTCAAAATTCAAACCGACAAGTTGCATTAAAAGTTCACATTCGATATAATGTTGCATGTCGTCCACCGTATGCACGAAATTTCGCGTTTTCGCTCGAGTTTTTTATAATTAATGTTCATAACAGCGTGTTGCATTACTCACGTTTAAAAACGTGCGGAATAATACGATCTTTTTAGATCACAGAAATACACGACTGACGAGGCAACTTGTAACTGACCGACGCTTGTGGCGCGAGAATATTGCACATTCAACTTTTCGAAATTTCAAAATGGCGCGTCCGATTGATTGTTACGGTTAGACAAGCGGACCGTGTAGACACCACGAAATCGGAGATGTATATATTGCGAAAATATATCGAGGTATCGACGGATCAGCGATAAGAGCACTGGTTTCATCTGTTAACCACTAAGGAAGAGCGTATTGCTGTCAATAACGAGGAACAAAGTTCATTCAGAAAGAAAGAAAACAGTGAGAACAGGGTGATCACGCTCCTCCGTATGACAGACGGAACTGTCATATTCTACTGAAGCGTGCATTTATCCACGAAACTTTCAAAGACATCGACGCAACTATGGCGATGGGCAAAGGGTTTCGCGTCTACGAAAAGTTAAAACCACCTAGCCCGCATTCACTCATATTGGAGCAACGAAATCGAAAGGAAACTGTTCTTTTCGAATCGCAGGCAGTCGCTGTTCTTTGTAAGTACATTGTCACGATTAATATTTGTCTGCAGGCTATCCTTCAACTTTCATCTCTCGATATGTTTCTCGTTTAAAGAGTGCAAGAATTATTGAGTAGTTTCCTTGGTTCGTCGTTCAATTTCATTTGTTACAATTGTTTAAAAATGTGACTTTAAATATTACTTGACAGCTGCTGAAGAAACAGAGACTTTGAAAGGGAAATACACAAAATTGTTAGACGCATATGGATGCGTAGGTGTCTTGCAATTAAACGCAGGCGAAAATACTTTGTTGTACCTTGTTCTTGTCACTGGCTGTTTTTCGGTTGGTAAAATAGGAGAATCTGAAGTGTTTAGAATTACACAGACACATTTTGTACCACTTCATTATACGCAAAGCAACGAGGATCGTGTATCTGAAGTTAGAAAAGTTCTTAACTCTGGTACATTTTATTTTTCTTGGTCTGCTAATCAAGAGCCTCTTGACATTACCCTTAGTGCACAAAGGAGATGCAAATCTACAACAACTGACAATAGATTCTTCTGGTTAGTATCTAATGTGTATTGTGTATGTCGCAGATTTTGATATTCCTTTCTTTTTCATGTACCAAATAGGAATCGAATGTTACACATACATTTATTAAGATATGGAGTGGATACATCTCATTGGTTACTTAAAGCTATGTGTGGTAGTGTGGAGATTCGAACTGTGTATGTTGGTCACAGGCAAGCTCGTGCTGTCCTTATGTCTAGATTAAGTTGTGAACGAGCAGGCACAAGGTACTCTTAATTCATTTTTAACTGAATACAAACAGCTCGTAAGCTAATTATTTTGTGAACCAATAAGCCAAACCACATTGCATTTATAGATTTATGTTCATTATCTAGGTTTAATGTCAGAGGAACTAATGATGATGGTCATGTAGCAAATTTTGTAGAAACAGAGCAAGTAATATATTTAGATAATGAAATAACGTCCTATGTGCAAACTAGAGGATCAGTTCCTTTGTTCTGGGAACAGCCTGGTATTCAGGTTGGTTCTCATAAAGTGAAAATTTCTCGTGGTTTTGAAGCTTCTGCACCAGCCTTTAATAGGCATTTAAATATGATCAAAGAAAGGTATGGGCAACAAGTGATTGTCAATCTCCTTGGATCTAGTCTAATTGGGAGCAAAGAAGGAGAAGCAATGTTAAGTCAGTTATTCCAAACTCATCATAATATGTCAGAACATACTGATGTACCTCATATTCTGTTTGATTATCATCAAGAATGTAGAGGTGGAAATATGAAAAACCTTTCGAAGTTGAAAGCGAAAGTAGATAAATATTTAGAATCATTTTCTTTATTTTACGCGGCTGGTAATACCGTCATTCTTGAACAAACTGGAACTATTAGAACAAATTGTCTAGATTGTTTGGATAGAACGAACTGCGTGCAAACATTTTTCGCACTGGAAATACTTGGCAAACAACTAGGATTATTAAAGTTACTTGAAAAACAGCAGATGGTTTCGAGATTCGAAGAAGTATTTAGACAAATGTGGATCAACAATGGTAATGAAGTAAGTAAAATATATGCTGGCACTGGGGCAATTCAAGGAAGTTCAAAATTAATGGACGGTGCAAGATCCGCAGCTAGAACAATACAAAATAATTTATTAGACTCCAGTAAGCAAGAAGCTATCGATATTTTACTATTGGGATCAACTTTAAATACTGAATTAGCGGATAGAGCTCGATTACTTTTACCTTCAAACATGTTACACGCTCCACCGAGTGTTCTCAGAGAAATGTGTAAAAGATATAATGAATATGTCACTACAATGAATCTTAGAATAGGTGTGGGTACGTACAACGTTAACGGAGGGAAACATTTCCGAAGTGTCGTATATAAAGATTCCCTTTCCGATTGGTTACTAGATGCTCCACGAAAATCATCATGTAAGTTTTATGCTTAAATATATATATTTTTCTTTTTTTAATAAAATAAACTTTTATTCATTGATTATATCCTCCTTTACAGCCCTAGTATCAGTTGAATACGACAATATTCCTGTAGATATATTTGCGGTAGGATTCGAAGAAATTGTTGATTTAAATGCTAGCAATATAATGGCTGCTAGTACTGATAATGCAAAAGCTTGGGCAGAGGAACTGCAAAAAGTACTTTCCCGAGATGCTGAATATGTTTTAGTCACATACCAACAATTAGTTGGTGTTTGTCTCTATTTATTTATACGACCTGAACATGCACCTTATTTAAGAGATGTAGCTGTAGATTGTGTAAAAACTGGATTAGGAGGTGCAACAGGAAATAAAGGAGCTGCAGCTATTAGATGTGTATTGTATTCCACATCCTTTTGTTTCGTTTGTGCACACTTTGCTGCTGGACAGTCTCAAGTGAATGAACGTAATGCAGATTATGCAGAAATTACGCGAAAAATTACTTTCCCTATGGGAAGAACGTTAAATACTCATGATTACGTATTTTGGTGTGGAGATTTCAATTATAGAGTTGATATGGATAAAGATGAAATGAAAGAAATGATCAAAAGAAATGAATTTGATCAAATATTACAATATGATCAGTTGAAGGTAAAGATAATAAATCATTTAATAGTTTGTATGAAATATATAATTTATAAAAAAGCATGCTTAATAATTTCTTAAACATATTTTAAATTTAGGTTCAACAGGAGCAAGGAAATGTTTTTAAAAATTTCTTGGAAGGTCCTGTTACTTTTGCTCCAACATACAAATATGATCTTTTTTCTGATGATTATGACACTAGTGAAAAATGTCGACAGCCTGCTTGGACGGATAGAGTATTGTGGAAACGTAGAAAACAAGTACCTGATATCGGTTAGTTCAATACAGTTATGACTCTCGTGGCATTTTTGTCACTTTCACTAATCATTTGCATTTATTTTAGATTCTCCTACAGATTGGAATCCTGGAAAATTAATTCATTATGGTAGAGCAGAATTGAAACAAAGTGATCACCGACCAGTTATTGCCTTTATAGATGTAGATATTCATTGTGTTGAATTTGAAAAACGCGAACAAGTATTCAAAGAAGTAATTCAAGATTTGGGTCCACCTGATGGCACTATAGTAGTAAAAGCAGTTGAAGAATCGGATGATATGGACAGTGTGTTTGATGAAAATTTTATGATGGCTTTATTACAAGATTTTTCTCATATTGGCGAAGTAATTCTCGTCAGATTCGTCGGTGAAACTATTTGGGTAACATTCCGAGATGGACAATGTGCTTTGTCAGCAGCAAGAAAAGGCATGACTCAAGTATGCGGTCAAACTTTGAAATTATCTTTGAAGTCTCCAAACTGGGTGCAGCTAATTGAGAAAGAAATAGAACTTTGCAGTAATACTACAGTTGCACAGTTTGTTTCAAATTCTCCAATGAGAAGCCCTATTCAAAGATTGGAACAATTAGATATAGGAGAACGATCATCTCCTAGTAGGGGTAGCCCAAATGGAGCAATTCCTCCACCCAGACCAGCTCCACCAGGTCGTCCAACTCAACCACCAAAAAGTCCAGTACAAGATCGAAAACAAGGACCACGAGCTGGCGTATTCAGCGTGTTACCCAATCAATTCTCAGCGCCTCTATCTAAAGAAAGGATAGAATTTGAGCAAAGTGAAAGGTTATCCCCGGAATCTGCAATTTATGAAGAAATATTAGACGGATCGCCTAATTATCCTATACCAAATCGTCCACCACCACCATTACCTCGTACGGACCCTTCGCAAGAATCATCTAGTAGACCACCCAATTCTAAACCACCCCCATTACCTCAAAGACAAGCTCCTCCTCCTCCCCAACATCCACCTCCAAGTTTACCTGCATCGAATCCACCGCCAATTCCGGCAAGAACATCAGGTGGACCACCCATTCCAGCTAGAAATCCACATTAAACATTAAAAGCGATTTATATTATTTCGGAATCAACCCGTTATATGTCATTGTGTAGCTAATTATGTATAAATACCAATAGAGATTAAAAATAGAATAGATCGCTTCCATATAATGTTGTACAGCTGTGTAGCATATCATAAACCTCAAGTCTGTTCTGTGATTAGTCAAATTCGATTTCCAGGCACTGTAAGAATTAGTGCTTCCTATCGTGCATATTCCTACAATATTTTACATGTAAACAAGTTTACCTCAGATTTGATTATATGTCAGAATATATGCAAAGTTTAGAAATATATGTAGTTTGAAAACTTCTTAACGATCGTTGAAACAAATGAAATAATAATTATGTTAATGAGATTTCTGGCTGTTGAAAATGTTATGTTAAAGCCTCTAAGCTTCTGAAAAATTTATTATGGCTAAAAGGAAAAAAGAAAGTAATACTATTATACAGTTATACTAAGTCATTGTTCTTAGTATACTGTTATAGTATATACTAGTATACTAAAATATTGTTATGTCCTTGAAATAAACAAGCCACAAACATTATATTTTAATGACACATTAATTTTATAATCAATGTTAAAAAAATGATTTATTGCTATATTTTTAAAATAGATAGTTAACATAATTTCTGAAAATTGAATGAAGCATAATTTGTTTACTATTAGTTATAATGAGCAAAAATAAAAGACTCAAATAACAGTATTCTTACAAAATACTTTCCACAAGTATATATGTTATACATATATATATATATATATATATATGTCAAAGTTCTAAATCCTATAAAAAAAACAAAATATGAACATATTTATTTTGTAACTTCACATGTATTGTATTATTGTACATGTACATATAATATAGAGATACAAAAGTAAAATGGGATAGTATGTTTATACAATGAAGAAAATATTCTTAGTTATTCTGCAAAATAATTCTGAATAAGTACTTGCGGGTATTATTATTTCTAGTAATGATTTTTTCTAAATTAAAATTTCGTAAAAAAAGAAATTAAATTAAAAAATCATACAAAATTTACAAATTTAAAGGACTATTAAAAATACACGAATTTGAACATTTTTATAATTAAACATTGTATTTGATGAAAATGTAAATAGAAAAAAAGAGAAAAACTTTTGTAATTGATTCACGTTTTCTAAATATATTAAATACATTATGTATTTTATTACTTTCTAAAATTTGCTAATCTGCTAATATCATGATTCTATTAATATCACTCCAGAACGTGAAGCATAGGATTTTAAAGAAATATCACTTTCTAAAAAAAGTTTTTTATTTATTCCAGCAATATAATATGACTGTTTTCTAAATCTGTAACTAATTCTAACATTGTTATTTATTTGGCAGATAGAAAAATAATGACAACCCTTTAAACATTATCTAATGATACATATAAAAAGGTTTTTCTTTTTTTACAAATTTATCAAAAGTTTTTTATCAAATTTGACTTGTACAAATATATACTGTCAACACAATAAGTTGTGTATGTCATTGAAATATGGACAATTTATTATGAGAGAAATGAATGGCTTCGAGCACTGTTATGGAAATATGTTTCCACTCAGTATAAACATATTACTTTTAATGAATAAATTATATACAAAATGGTATTACTAAATTAATAGCTAACTAGTTCTGGTTAATATACTAAACACAATTAGCAAAGACCAGATATTTGTTCATCAATAAACAGTATCTGTTCTTTTATTAAGAATATTATAATTCAAAATTTTAAATATTCCAATTGAACATTTAAAACAAAAAAATAAATTAAGAACTAGCCAATTAAGAAGAAATGTCATGAATTTTTGCATACAAAAGATATAGATAAAAGACACAGGATCTAACAAATTATTTCATAGTATATACTATATAAAAATATTGTAAAAACCAACAGAAAATGACAAAGTGAAGACATTACATAGTTGGTATACATGATGGTATACCCAAATTACATTTCTGTTCCTAAGAATTTATTTTCAGTCTCATGTGTATCCTTTGTGCACTCACATTGGTTCATAGATGTAAATTTGCTTGTTTTTTGATTTGATAATAGGGCATTGCAATATTTAACTTAATAAACCACAATTACTCAAATTGTTTTTGATTATAACATCAGTTACAGCATCAAACACAAACTGTATATTAGATGTGTCAGTAGCACAAGTAAAATGTGTGTAGATTTGTTTCTGATCTTTCCTTTTATTCAAATTTTCAAATTTTATTTGAATGTAAGAAGCACATTCCTCATAAGTGTTGGCACCTTTATATTCTGGGAAACAAATAGTCAATGGGCTCCTAGTGATCTTTTCCTCAAAAAGATCTTTTTTGTTCAGGAATAAAATGATGGACGTTTCAACAAACCACTTGCTATTACAAATAGAGTCAAACAATTTCATTGACTCTATCATTCTATTCATTTCTTCATCCTCTGCAAGAACCAAGTCATATCCACTTAATGCAACACAAAAAATGATTGCAGTAACTCCTTCAAAACAATGTATCCATTTTTTTCTTTCTGATCTTTGACCACCCACATCAAACATTCTAGTAAAATAGAAAATTGTTTAGTAATAATTCATAGTACAAAATTAATAAAAGAACAACTTGAAATGAACCTACTTGAAATGTAAGCCTTTAAAAGAAAAGTGTGTTTCTACTATTCCTGTTGTTTTCACACGCGTTCTAAGAACATCTTGCTGAGTAGGAATATAATTAGGTTGTGCTATACGATCCAAAGCATTAAGGTAATATGCTGCAGAATCATTGAGCTGATATTCCCTACTACGTGTGAAACAAAGTTGTACTCCAGCATCCTGCCATAATCGTTTCATTAATAGTGCCAGTTCCCCAGTTAACTCACCCTCCTCTGCTGCTGAAGCTAGGGTAAAGAATTGACGTGCTATATCCTACGACATGATTAAATTTCTCTATTACTGATAGAACCCATATGATGTAATGGTGTGTCAATCATTTTTATTTTAAAAATTTAAATATTTTTGTAGTAAATATATTTACCGCTTTATTAGGGTCTGCAAAGTCAATTCTAAGCTGCCCCATGGCTCTAATTATTGTCATAAGACTTTGAACTGTGTTACTACAAACTACAGGTTTATATTGTTCACACTCTTCTTTACTATAGCCAGTTTCATGGATAATTTTCATTTGTTTTACTATAGTAGATTTTCCGGACTCTCCAGCTCCTTAAAATAGAAATATTCGCATGTTTAATAAACGTGTACATTACTGTGCATTGTCAAGAAATTCGATTTTTATTTTTTTCTCTTCCGAGTAAAAATGGCGATATTTATAAATGAAAATACAACTAACTGTAATTATATACAAGCAGCCGAGTAAGTGCCCAACGTGACATACAATGATTCACTCCGAACGATGATTCAAAGATTTCGGAAAATTGCCCGCGCTACGGCTCGCACGATTGCGCAAATCTGATAATTGATTTCAGAATGTGAGAAATATTATTTGAAATAAAAATCAAACTCGATCGAAACATCGTCTCGAAAAATTGATAGAAAAGTACGTAAAGAAAAAAAAAAAAAAAGAAAGAAAACATTTCGTTAACAATGTAACCCAGTGCAGCGATCTACTTTTACAACGAATTATCGAAACGTCGAGTACATCGTCTTCTAGAAAGCATAGAATATTTTCAGCTTAACACCGTGAACGAAGTGAAACAAAGAGACGGAGGAACAACGACATGACGATCCTCGAACGGAGAGAAAGTACACGAAACGAAAAGAAAAGGAGAAGAAATTACCAAGCAGGAGGAGCTTGACCTCACTAGCGGCCCGTTCCCCATCGGCTCTCAGATCCTTGTCGATCTTCTTCGACCTTTCCGCGGCTTCTTTCTCGCCGGTGGTGCTCACCGCGCAGCCCATTCTCGCCGGTCGTTCTTTCTATTCGATGATGAAAGAAGGAGCACCATGCACCACGCCGCTCTTCGAAACAATCGGTTATCCGCCGCGCTCCCGTGTATGACACTTGTTGCACGGACGTGTGGGAACCGCCCGCACGCGGTTGTGCTTGCATACACACACTGATCAGGATGTACAGCCTCGAACACTAGTTCATACGTTCCCCCGTCAATGTATATAGCTTTTATATCGTTCGATACGTTTGCGTACGTGCGATCTATTCTTCGTGGATCGTTTACTGCTTCCCGTCAAAAGCGATGACAATGGACCAACACTGCGCAGACCTGCGATACCGGCACGATCGCTTCACGCACGGCTCCGTGTACTCTCTTCAGTTTACAGGACACGGCCAGGATTTGTCGAAACCTCTCGATCGCGATCAACAACCAATCCATGTGAAGATCACGGATCCTTTCTGGCCAATGGGAATGTTACGGGGATTGTGTGTTTGTCGGAATTCTGGACGCCATCTGTGTACACGAAACTCGAAATCGGAGATCGGCGGAACAACGGGAGGATCATCTTGTTATTTGTTTCGTTCGATGATCGTGCTTTGAATCATTTTGGGCCCACGGGCCCCGATTCGACGCGTGGCTTTAAATGTCATAAATTCGTGGTATGTTTGTTGATTGAAATTAATTGGGTGTTACATCTTAGCTTGATAAATATTTGCATCGATGTACCATCTGACAGGGCTGCTACGTTACATCATTAGATTAAAATTAAACGTCACTTTAAAGATAAAAGGAGATAGTAATATTTATATTCAATACAAAAGTAAGTTTGAAATTAATCAAATATTGTAAGAATCAAATATATATATATATACATCAAGATTATATGTAATATAATAATATATATATTACAATAAATATACGATGGCATAGAAAGAATAACAAAACCATAAAGTCGTTAATCCAGACCCTGGACTAATTTCATTGTCAAGTTCATTGTATAAGTCTATTTATAAGTTTCACTTCGCTGTATTTCACAATTTTTCAATCTCTAGAATACGACCTCTTTCATGGTCGTAGAAGTAACTTCAAATTTCAATTATAATTGAAAGATTGATTTAACTTTTGATCTTATATGAATTATTAACATACTTGTGTTATGTTAACAAAAATCGCTCGTCCTTTATTACATTCAATTGCGCAGTTCCATTTCTGATTATGAATAATTCGAATTTAGTAATAGTCGTTACTTGTTTATATTTGATATAGGCGTAGCTGTTTGCATGTGTATCCAGTCGACGACCCGTAATTGTCTTTCTCGATCAATTAGTACAATAAGCTTTCATAAGTGAATGAATCCGAGTTTTCGATTGTTCGAAGGATCATGGAATCCTTACGAATTCTGGTAAGTACAATTCAAATAATTCGAATTCGAAACTCGGAAATTTAATTTTGCAAACTTAAATTTAGTGTTATATTTGGTGTATTATATTTAAAATGATTACATTTTTATATTACTTCGACAGTTTCTCTTTGGTTACGTCAGTTTTATTGTCGCGTACATTTCATCGGTCGATTATTTTGACGAAAAATTAAGGCAGACAAAAATTGAAATAGCCAAGCTCTACTTTCGGGACGAACCATCAGGTAAAAAGGGACCAAATTAAATATTGAAAGTCGGATATTTTTATTAAAGCAACTTTACGATATGATAATTGTAGTTCAAAGAAGAGTGTACAATGTAAAATGGGACCAAAGAAAATCTACGTGGTCAGGAATGATTTATAACGATCGACCTTTTATACTGAATATATATGACAAAATATTTCTGATAGAAACAAATCATTTCGTAGCATTTTCTCTCGGTGATTCATCTTCTAATCATACCTCATTGCCAGGGATAAATCCATCTCTTAATAACACTGTTAAATTCGTAAGGGTAGGTAAATTAATACTAATAGCAATTGCTTTAAGTCACATTTAACATTAAACTGTTTCAATTGATATGCTATAGAACATCGTCTGGAAAGGTGTGTTTTATCTACTAATTTGTTATGAAAGCGGCTCATGCAATATCTACACATTTGATAATTTGCAATTAAAATATCGACAAACTATTCGTCATAAGGGACATCCTATGGACGCTAGCTTTTTTGTTCGTGCTAATCGACTTTATCTTGTAGTAGCCGATAACATTGGTCCATTTTCCGTACCTTCTTTGTAAGTGAAATTAATAAACATGCATTTTTTTAATTATTGTGTGTGTGTGTGTATATATATATCTTCTACATAGAATATATCATTGGAGAGGAACGTATATGGATAAAATAGAGGAAGTGATGACTATTGCCGCAATATCAGTTACTACGTTTAAACACAAGCAATCGACCATCATAGTATTCGCACAGTCTAATAAAGATATACCTGGAATCGGTTCCATGGTATATGAATTTAAGGAAACCAGCGTGGATACTATACAATTTCTGGAAACGTCCGATCCGTTTTCTGTTCATCATTACAGACACATAGGATTTAATTTTATTTTGCTAATAAACAAAAATATACCGAGCAGTTTGCATTGGTGGGATGGTTCGTCTTTACTTTTCACTCATCTCTATATAGTTATTTTCGATTTATGGAGAAACCATTCTTTTAGGACACGAATTATTAACCTGGCAACAGATTTCAGAAATAAGAGCACCCAGTTTAGTCCATATAGTAAACATCAATGATGATACTTTTTTCTTTGTAATAAATGATGTAAGCACAAAATTTCATAAGTAATTAGCGATTACGAAATTTAACGTAAATACTAATCGTGTCGCAGAACATTTTGCAACTGTACAAGTTTGAGAATGCATCGGATTGTATCTTAATAAATACTATAAAGCTACCTGCTGGAACCATAATTGACATACAAACTAGAATCGACAAGTCCACGATAATTGTGATGTTGGTTGTCATGAACTCAAGTCTAATTTATAGAGTCGAATCGTGGGAGTTACTCATTGAAGAAATTCCTTCTGGTTAATTATTCTGCTTAAAACGATAATCATTCAAAATGATCTTTTATTTTAGTTATTGTTATTATACTTTCAGAATACTCGAATAAAGCAAGTGATATTTTATCGAAGCACTTGGCAGAATTAGTTGAAATATTGCAACAGAGAAAACATTTTGTAGAAGAAGCTAAAGCTTTATGGCCCCTTTTACGGCCAGTGCATGAGAATTCAACGATATCGGAATTTTTCGATTTGCCAAATTTAATATTAGAGTCAGGAATTGTAAAGAACATCGACATCTTTGTAGACGAAGATATAATTGCACCTAGCAAGTTAGAACAGCGTATAACAAACTTAACTCACGAAATTGATAATGTTTTATTGTCTAACGAATATTTAATGTTAAATAACACGAATTCTTTGAATGGGAATATTATTGTTGATGGAGATGCATTTATTGAAGAGCTACAGATTGATAAAATGATTGTGGATTTTTTTAATGATATTTATATGCATAATTCGAACGAAATGCAATTTCCTACGTTGAAGAAAAGAAATATTATTATAAATAATCTTAAAGTAGGTTCCATTTGTGGAATTCCATACCAATGTAAGTTGAATGCTGTTTTATCTAATGACAATGTTCTGAAAATATGAGAATTAATTTTCGCAAAAATAACATTGCTTTAGATTGGTCTCTAATTAACGATACATCGAAAATGAAAATAAATCTAAAGAGAGATGAGATTGAATTTTCAAGTAATACTATATATTTAAATTCAAGTATATCATTGAAACATTTAAACGTAAAAATTTTAAATGGCACAATTATGAATGAACTTTTTAAGGAATTATTTGTCATTAATTATAATCAAAGAATCAAAGGTAGATATTAAATCAAAACAAATCGTCTAAAATTAAGCCATCGATTTATAATATAAACTAAATCTTTAGGAAAGATCACTTACAACAATACATTGCAAATTCAGAATTTTACGATACAAGTATTAAATGGGAAGCCATGGAATAATTACATGAATGCAAGAACCGATCAAACATTTAACAATTTTACTATGAGGAAGCTTCGAGTGAAAAATTTGTATACTGATGCGATAAACGGTGTTTCAGTTTCAGAAGCAGCGAGAATATCTATCGACAATGTAATTAAAGGTATTTAAAGTGGAATTAATTAAATTTTTGTAATTTTTAAATTCATACAAAGTATCTGATGTTCTACAGGAAGAACGAAAATTGCGAAATTACAAGTGACAAAGGAACTTGTAGTTAATCCACGCTTTAACTTATTAGAAAGTAAACCAAATCAAATTTACTCCAATGTCACCATTGACGGTAACTTGAAAATTGGAACTTTAGAGCTGGACAAATACACGAGAATCTTTCTAAACAATGAAGAAATAAATCTGAAAAATATTTTCGATATTTTTTGGACAAAATCAACTGATCAAATAATCGAAAACGATGTCATTTTTGAAAATAGTTTAATTATAGATCGTTTGAATGCGAAATATTTAAATGGATTTTCTGAAGAAGAATTTTTGTACACTACTGCAAAGATTATTCCAGAAAGTTTTAGACGGCTACATTTTGAAAATGTTCATGTAGATGATATGTTTTTTATTGATGGAAAGAACGATAGTCTTTTCGAAATCGCCCCAGAATCCATCACCATTCGAGAGAGATTGCATCTAAAACACTTACGCGGAAATCAATTATTAACTGATATCTTTAATGGTCTCCTGATAGCTGATATTTTAAGCAGAAAGCAACCACACATTTTTCCACAAAATATGAATTTCTTAACCGTTAAAGCTAAACAAATAAACATAGATGAACTTGCTTTTCCTTTCTCCTTACAGAACACAAAAAATGATAGCAAAGATCAGAAAACAAAGTTCATGAAGACTCCAGAATTTCACGTAGAAAATCTTAACGTTGAAAATATTAACAATCTCGAAATAAAAAGACTTTTATCATTAAAAAATATGAAAACATCTGATTTAAAAAATTTGGTAATACATGGTGATCTAACGATTAAGATTGATTTAAAAATAATTCAAATTGATGATCAACCATCTATGACTTATATAAAGAATATAGGTAAAGGAAATATCTTGTTTAATAATAATAATAATATCCAAGAATTAATTGCACAAAACATCACATTAAAATCTTTGCACAACCATGACATGAACAATTTTTTCGAAAATTTCCTTTCCAAGTCAAGAAAACAAAATATATCTGGAAGATTCACTTTTTACAAAATTACTACTGATAACATTAAAACTAGCTTTATCAATCATCAGGACGTCTCCAAATTGGCATGGATTGACAAGCCTTTATTTCTAATGAAGAACATCGAATTTGATGATTTATTTGTAGAAGGGAATACTATAACAAAAACTTTAAACAAACTTAATGTTAACGAGGTAAACTTTAAAATATGAATTGATAATATTTTTGTCTTTAACTATTCAATTGAAGAACATTTTATTTCAGTTGTACGAGAACATGCTTGACATATCGATACCAAAAATTAATAATTTAAAAGTAGACGGAAATATTTCTTGGGACGTTTCCTTGTCAAGTTCTGCTTTTGTGACATTGTTATTCGAAAACGCAGTAACTAAAACTACGTATCAAATTATTCGAAACAGCACAATTTTTCAGGGAAATGTATCAGTATCGACAATTACAGGACAATGTAAAGAAATTGATGAAATACGTAATATTATTGAAGATACTGTGATAGATGATAATGACATTGAAATAATTGGTCAAAAAAGTTTTAAAGAGAACCTGCATATCGATGCTATTTCAGTGACTGATGATATTGATATTCCTATGATTAATAATATCAGTATTCTCGAATTTAATAATTCTGTAGTGTGGAAAAATCAAAAGGAAACGATAACTGGAATTATAACTTTCCTCGATGATATAACAATGGATCAAATTCTTATCGATGATAATGTTCACGATGTTCTCTTGAAAGGAGTGGTTCTAACGACTGATAAATTACCCAACATATATTTCAAAGATCTTGTTATATTGGAGGATGTATATTTAAAGAGTTTAGATGAAGTAAATTTTGATAAATTTTTAAAAGATCGCGTAACCATCGACAAAGAACACGAGCTACTTGCTAATATACAATTCAATGACACTGTTGAAATAATAGGTACATAATTATATAAGCATAATAAATCATATTAACGCTCAGTGTGTAACTTTACGTCCTTTTCAAGAAATGTAAATATATGAATAAATAGTAATGTTGATTTATAAATCTTAGAAAGTACGAACCTATCAAGAATTAATGGAATTTATCCTTCTGATCTGGTTTTGAACAACGGAAAAGAAACACAGGTGATCATTGGTTCAAAAATCTTCGAAGAAAACGTCATAGTAAATAACAATATCTACGGGCCAATTATTAATCATGTAAACGTATCGCTAGAATACTCCGATGGTATACAAAACGACGAAGATGTAGAAATCATCGGAGACTTGGTAAGATTAGTCGCTTAATTTATCCGTGAGTAATATGATACATTTAAAAATTGCGTGTTTCTAGATTTTCGAGTCGGAGGTCAAGGTTCCAGAAAATGTATTTGTTTTTAACTTGATGAATGGAATAAATTTAACCACCATTTCCTATAATTTGCAAAAAGAGATAAATCGAACTCTATACATGTTCGCTCGGAATGAAACTAAGATTGAAAAGAGTATCAGTCAATCTGCCTCGATTTCTGAAAATCTCGGCAATATTTTCTCGTACTTGGAAATAGAAGAAAAATTGAAAATTCAGACACCGAACGTTAAGAAGATTGATGTTGTTTATTACGAACAAATCACAAAGCTGAATATATTTGGGGAAGAACCAGGATCTCTTTGCGGACTTCCAGATAATTGTTTTTGTACAACCGAATATATGGCTGAATTTACCAAGAACGACTGTCATATTCGAAAAATAAATGGTGGTAAAATAATACGAAATTATCACGAATTACATAGCACATTTGGTATAAATGTAATATCGAACACCATATCATATAGCCGTGAATGTAGTTTAAACAATAGCAAGAACGAATTCATCGCGATTTCTTGGGCCAAACTTGGAATGATCGATACAGTGGGAACGTTGGCCAGTGTAAAGGAAACACCATTAGAAATTCGAGGTTTCATAAAGGATGCAAAATTTTTCACAACACATGATAGTATGACATTTAATTTATGTTAAACTGATAGAATTGTTTGCGTAATTTCTTTTAACAGTATTATGTATTCGTATATTTTAGATGCAGCTTTCATAGTGTTGGCAGTGTATTATGACATATTACGCGCAACACATCACACAGATTCTGTAATTTACAAGATCAATTTTGAGAATAATAATTTATCATTGCATCAGAACATATCCACCGATGGAGCTTGGACTATCGATATTTTCAAAGCAAATCATCGCGATGTGTATCTTCTGCTTGGTTGCTTCGGAAATTCTAAAAAGTCGTATGTGTATAAATTGAATCCTATTACCTCCAAAGTGAGCATTTCATTGTTAATTATTTTGTAAAGGTACTTCGGGCGATGATTTGATATAGATATTATCTTTTAGTTTACAATACTAAGAAGCTTCGAAGGTAAAACGCGTAATGTAAAAAGTCTCATCCAGGAACAGGACTGCTTCGTTTTGTTAGATGATTTCGAGACGAATGCGATAAATATCTTTTATTACGATCCAAAATTTGATAACTTTTACAACTATCAAAGTCTATTTCATGATTCGCAAATCAATGACGTAGAGTGTTTCTACGCAAATGGTATGAATAATACATTGATATTATACTAACATCAAATTCGCTTTGTGACGAAATAAATATTAAATTATGTTTAACATTTGTCATTCTTATTTCAGGTTTCGGTCAAAGTGATTCCTTTATCATCGTCACGACGGAAGACGATCAGTTTTACGTTTATGAATATATGTTCGCTGAAGTAAGTTCATACCGATTGAATTGTAATGTAATTGTTAATTCAATTGTTAGAATAATTTATACATATCACGAAATGATTGTTTTCAGAGATTTCACTTGAAGATACATCACCGTATAGACGATTTACAAACGATGGTGCCATTCTATCATTTAGGGAATTATTATATTTTTACAGGTACGAGCACAAATAGCACAATACTAAGAATCATAAGACAAGGATCGAAATAAAATTCTTAGTGCACGAATTTATTTTTTTATTAATTCTTAATACTTATGCGAATTTATTTGTCGATATCTATGTATTATATTTATGTATTTATAAATCAATGCACATATATACATTGTATGTAATACAGCGTGAAATAATTTAAAACATAATACAAATCATGTATGGAATTATTAATACAATATTTATTATCGTTGTATTTTTTTATTACTGTATAGAACATTTCGAATTGAAACGCCTGATATTTTCATTAAAAAAAAAACATATTTAACATTAATCGAATTGCGCCAGCGCGATTCTGACAAAGGCATTGGACTTTAATTCATTCACAAAAGAGACTCGAGGGGCGACCAAATGGCATAAAAATTATTACGCGGAAATACAAATACTTAAGTATTATAATCGTGAAGATTTTCAGAACATTTTCGCAATATTGTTCTACGACGAGTTTTGTAATTGAGATACTTGAGTGTTAAGTTTCAGTTTTTCACGAAGTGGAAGCCATCGAAACACGTTACAGTTCCTTCATTGTTGCTGTGTGATATTACACTTAAAAGTTTTAAGGTACATAAAAGTGCAAAAAGTGCTCCTTTATTCAGAGAACGATCGAAACGTTTTGCAAATTTAATGAGTTAAAATGAAACTATCAAGATATCGTTTCACCGTAGTTGAGTAACTTTGTTCGTCCCTAATTAACTGCAAACAATTCACAGTTTTATACATAAGCGTATGTAGTTTAATTTATTTAATATAATTAAATAGGTAGGTAGAGATTTTCTATCTCATTTAGAAAGATCGAAACACAATTAACGAAATATAATTGTGTCTTTTTTCATCCGGCATGTTTTTTTTGGTTATGTTAATTTATCATGATTTAGCATAATAAAACATTTAACAATTCATCATCACAATGCTGATAATGTTGTTATAATCGATCTTATTAAACTATAATTAGATCTTTCCTGTAATTAAATCGTTCTGTTCTTTTGGTCAGTAAATTATTTTAAGGTTATGACACGTATCAAAAATCTTCCATTACTAAATGATATTAAATACCTTAAGCTTATGTCATTGTTACAGTGTTGCATGTAATTATTCTACAATTAATTTTTTCATTCCAAACAGAGCAGTTCCTATAAGGCAGTAATGGCTGTCAAGGGGCTGGTAACAGCAATTGTTCAATTCTTAACCCAACAATTAGAGGAAGGTGATATCACAGCAGATTCTAGAGAAAGCCTTGAAGTGGCAATACAGTGTTTAGAGAGTGCTTATAATATACAAGCATCTGATAATCCAACAAATATTAACTTATATGAAATATATAAGTCTTCTATCGAAAATGCAAAGCCCAATTTAGCTCCTGAAGCCACTCCAGAAGCAAAAGCTGAAGCTGAAAGATTGAAAAATGAAGGAAATACTCTTATGAAAGCTGAGAAACATCACGAAGCTCTTGCTAATTATACAAAGTACGTATTTTGCGTTTCAACAAAAGTAAACTTCATAAACATTAGAATATCATTTTGAATAATGGTATGATGTTGTTCATTTAGAGCAATTCAATTAGATGGTCGTAACGCAGTTTATTATTGTAACCGTGCTGCAGCATATAATAAAATTGGCAATTACCAACAAGCCATTAAAGATTGTCATACTGCTTTGTCTATTGATCCTTCATATAGTAAAGCATATGGACGATTAGGTTTGGCATATTCTCATCTTCAAAAACATAAAGAAGCTAAGGAGAGTTACCAGAAAGCTTTGGAGATGGAACCTGATAATGAAAGTTATAAAAATAATTTACAACTAGCAGAAGAAAAATTATCTCAATCGAACATGAACAATATGGGATTAAGTGGAGGTACATTGCCTGGCATGGATCTTAGTTCACTTTTGAGTAATCCTGCTCTTATGAACATGGCTCGTCAAATGTTATCTAATCCAGCACTTCAAAACATGGTGAGCAATTTCATGACTGGGCAGGTAGAACAAGGAGGACATATGGACGCTCTAATAGAGGCGTAAGTATCAGTTATATTTCCCATCATTTATTGCCTAACGTATCGTAAAAAAAATATATCATATTTAAAAATTTTGTAGTGGTCAACAATTTGCACGACAGTTACAAAACGCGAATCCCGAGTTAATTGAATCTTTAAGACGACAAATGGGAGGGAATCCAAATGATCCAGATCCACCACAACAAAATTAAAACAACTGTGATTATGATATATTTTAAAAATTCTACACAAAATGGAAATAATTAAATTGAATTGAAACACATACATAAGTACAGAACAATGTGTATCATTTTTTAATATGAAAATGTGAAAAATTATGAGATTAACTTATATTATCTCTATCGTAAAATAATATTCATATACCATATATACATATATATATTATGCAAATTTTCTTATGACTTAACTATTAAATAAGACATGATAATTTGTCTTTTGGATGTGTGCTCATAATGTTTGATATGTGAAGATTAGATAATAAATGTCAAAATATAGTAAATATTTTGCGAATGAGATAGATATTTGAACTATGTTGTTTTTTATGTCTTGTAATATTGCTTCAAATCTATTTCTATACATAGTAAAATACATTTTTGTAAAAATAATTTTTGCTTGATAGATTACTACATATCAAAAATTAAGAAGAAATATTTTTTACTTATGGTAATTGTATTGTTTTTAAATTGGTTTTGAAAATATTTAAAAACCTGAAACATTTTTAAAAAAACTATAATGTCTTTACAATAAAAAAAATGTACATAATTAAACGCATTCTGAATATATAACAAATCATGTTATTAAATATTTTCAATATATATCACTTTAATCATTTCGCAATTGATATCACATATAATGTAGAATAGGCATAGAATAATTATTATGAAATAAAAAGATACATTTTTAATCCAATAAGTATGCATCGTATTTACACAAATCCCCTATTTGAGTTTGATACGTTTTTTCGAATTAATAGAATGTCATTTATATATGCATCATACAACAGCGACATCATTTTTATACGATTCGTACATACACAACAGTTATTAAAGCCCATTCTCTAATTTATTCTCATATTTACATTTGCCTGTAAATTCATATTTATGGATAATCATAAATTCATACACTACTCATTTTCACGGATGAATATCACAATCGATCAGTGTAGTAATACCCCGGTTTTTCATTATAATGTAAATTGAATACATCCGAAGTTCTATAAAGCTGTCGAATTATTTGAAAAATAGGCGCAAAGTAATAACAAAAACAAAATAATGTTGAATTTTTTATAAAAGCACTACGTTCTTTTCTTTCTTTTCTTGTAAAATTTTGATTTTTTCAGGCGCATTCACATTGTTTGTGCGAAATCTTTATGACATACAGTACCAATTTATGAAAATGCAAGAGTACATTACGTTGTATCTGTTACGCGAATCATACGTATAATCTGTTACATTTATTATTTTTTTTTTTTTAATAAAAGATAATATTTGTATTATAAAAAAACAATGATTATAACGATAATTGAAAACAACAAGTTGACGTTACTTTCTTACAGCGCTCGTTTCATGGTTATAAAATTAATGTCATGATTTTCACGTGTTACATACCAGGGGCGCTAGGTGACGAAGCTGCGATGCAGCATTATTTACATATTTTCCAACCCTTCCCTTCATTCACCCACAAATACATCCGTGAAACATGATGCGTGCGCAAAGTTCCTCCATCTCCACAGGTTCCTGATATGCGCGGTGGCGTATGATTCGTTGGTTTCGTAGCATTGTTCAGGAAAGTATCACTAAATGATGCACGGATTAAACATTCGCATGTCCATACATAAATTGAAATACGGTTTCATTTAAATTTATAACAACAGTAATTAATTTTCTGATACATGCTTATATTATTACAGACCTTCTGATATTATTGTACCATCGTTATAAATGAAATCATTCAATACGTAAGAATCGCTGTCGCAATAATTACTATTATAAATACACGGCGTTTACTGTACAATTAATAAAGACTAATATATTCCATTTAATTCGTGATTTGTAATTTTATCTGCAACACTCGATCTCGAGTGTTTGCAATTTTCTTGTCATAGAATTACATACGTCGTTTAATAAACATCGTAACAATGTTCGCGAAAAGCGAATAGAACAAAAAGGAAGTCCGTACCTGCGAAATATGTATCACGTTGAAAAAATCTGAGAGAGCGTTCCGCAAGTTTTTAGGAGAAGGGTCTTCGAAAGTAACGGTACGATCCTGGGTATAATGCTTGCCCTCCCCTCCCCTCGCTGCCGATCACCGCACACTCACAGATTGAGGTGTGGCCATCGAGGGCTGCCATCTTCTTGACTTTCTGTCGCTTAACATTTCAGGTAAATACGCAATTATTTCTTAAGTAATACTGGTTGGAGTGGTATGAGAGTGTGCTGTGATGTGCGTCCGGGTGGTTTGAGCGTGCTACATGTCGTTTTGTTAACTGGCGCGACCGGGGAGCATCGTTGTGTATCAAGGAGGGAAAAAAAAGAAAGAAAAGAAAAAAGAAAAACCGTTCTCCTCCTCCTGTGATAGAGAGGGCTGAGGGAGTGCCATGCGTTACGAATCCGCAGCATCTTCGCATGACGATCCTTTGGTTCAGCATACGAGAAGTTACACGCTGTCCACCGTGACCACATTCGATCACTGATCTGGGATCGTTTCTACCAGTTCAAATACCGACCTGTGGCTTTAATTGAGTATGTAAATCGTCCTCCCCTTCTTCCCCTATCCTGGGCTTTTAGACCCCTGCGTCGCTATCCTGTCGCACCCCCAGCGCCCCCATCCTCCCCTCTCAGGCTTAGATCTCCTTACCCCACCTCCCCGTTCCTTATTTCCCGGTTTCGACCGTGCACTTCCGGCTGTGCGAAATTCAGCAAAAAGCTCCCTGGAATCCGTGTCTGGAGACCTAGTAACTAGAAATCTGTGTCACGGCTTCATCTTTGACGTTCATTCGTCGTCGTTTACCCTGTCAGAGCTGCGATAAACAAAAGATCGGGTACGTTTATTGATACATTAGAAATCATACGCGTTTCTATTCTACGAGGTCCGCGTCTCCCCTTGTTCTGTTCTCGCAAACGTTTTACATGTTTGCGATGATTTCATCAGAATTTCCATACGCTAATAAAAAAACACAGACAGACGTACGCCGATTTTGGGTTAACGATCGACCTCTGTCTGCTTACAACATACGAATACATATAATTTTCGTTCCAAGTATCTTATACGCACGATAAACAGAAATTTTTAACAAGTCGAAGTGTGACTTTCATTTAGTTTATTACGAGTTAAATAATTTAATCTCTGATAGATATTAGAGTAAGATTTTTGCAATGCATCAAATAAGGTGCAGTCTTCGAAGATTTGTATAAATTGTGTTGCCTTAATATTGATATATACATAATCTTTATTCGCATTGCTTTTGCTAACTACTAGACTGTCTAATGCTAAAGTCCTTGCTTTTCTGTTTATGTAAAAACTTTTCAGTTTGAATCTCCCTTTGTATATTAACAAGCGTGACCTATGACACAAACAGAAGAATAATGTTACAATAAAAACTTTTAACAAGATTCTATATTGAAGGATTTTAACACTCTTAGTGTTTATATATTGCAACATACATATTTCTTAAATATATACATAAATATATATACATACTTAAATATATATTATTTGTCATTGCCTTTCACTGAATAGTAAATGATTATAAGTTGTTCTACTAAAATATTACAAAGCATCTTATCTGTATACGATGTGAATGTATTGCCTATTATATTTGATTTGTGCTTCTTAAAAATAATTTTTTTATGGATACACATATTTCTTAATAGTGCATGTTTAATACAAAAAAATATCGATTTTAACGTGTTTATGCATGTTCCTCAAAGACATTATTATTTTTTTTTGTAAGGCATAAGGTATTATCTTACATGTGATATAGTAATATACAAAAACTTTTTGTATATAGATTAAGAAATTGATTTATTTATATAGTATAACTTTTTTCTCTGACACAGATCTTAATTAAAGCTTTACCTTATGCATTTCAGAATTCTTTAATCTTTGATCTATTGATGTGTATATGAAGTCATTATGATAACATCAAATTCACATTATATTTAGTTTTTGGTATTCTTGCAAAGCCTTGTAGTGTACATATTTTCATATAATATATATGTATCGGAAGGAAAGAGTTATGAACCAAAATTATAAAGGTGTCGTTCAATGATCACAGATTTAATACTTTCACAGATATTTAAATATATAATTTCAGAAACAAAACATCCATACATATTTACATATATATGATATTATTTATATGACATCTGTGTAGTATTTCATAACCTTTTATCCATTCTAACATATAAAATGTCCACTTAAAGCAGAGACGCTGAAAGAAAGACTAAAAACATGGGATGCAATACGGGCCGATGCCTCGGTCCAGACGATACAGGGTACCCTGGATCAGGTACGACCCAATCAATATCCTTTCAATCTTCAGCCCTCGTAGGTTGCTTTCTAAATAGTATTAAAGTAGATATAAAATATAGACACAAGAAAATGTTACCTATCATATCCAATATATAAGTAGCAGACAGTTATAAAATTAGAGGCAATTTTTAGCAATATGAACTTAAATAAACAGAGGGCTGTAGGCAGTGTATGCTACTATATTTGTAATGCTAGTACTAATTTAGTACTTGGTTTAAATATAAATAGATACAATATTTTCAGGTAACAAGTTACATACCCTACGAGGTTTGAATTTAAGTCATTGTTTATAGCATTGTCAGAAAATGAATCTAATTGAACAGTTACGAAAAATTACCCCAGACTTCTTCCTAACTCTATCCTGAAGAATGCTTTTTTTCAATCTTTCTCACTATTTCCTTTATGTCTATTCACACTTGGATTTATGTATTTAAAATTGCTTTTTATTTATTTATGCCTTATCAAGGTGCAGGGAAAGCAGTTTCTATTAACATTGATATTGATTACATCTTTTCAATATTCAACATATTTTCTCTTAAGTTATTATCTTATCTTATGTGTATTATGTGTTCATTCACTGCATGTCCTTAGTTAAACTAATTTTAGCTGGTGTTTTCAAGATGTTAATTTAATTGATTTAGATCTGTTCTCACTAGTACTTAAGTAGTCCTTAAAATATTCCTTGCATCTATATTGTATACAAATGCAATTAGAGTTTGCTGATATGATTTACACAATAGTGTTCGCAATTGATAGATTTCTTATTAGATGTTATATACACACATATTTGTATGTGTATGTATATACAGGATAAAAGTAATAGAAGTTAGATGTACATCTTTATTGTTTTATTCTGATATGTGTCAAGATCAAGTGCATATGTTTTGTATATATTAATCATTATTAACAAAAAGAGATTATTAAAATTAAATAGACACTTATTTGGACAAATATATTGCGCAAAATCATAATTATATTTGTACATAGGTAAGTTATTGAAAAAATCTCAAAACCATGTATATTACTTATAATTATATAACAATTATTAAATATGATGATAAAAATATTAAATATTTTTTAATTATATATATAAAAATTTATTAGTTAATGTGAAATGATTATATGTTTCTTGTTTCTGCATTAATAGATATATTTTGAAAAAATTAATATTGCATAAAGTTAGAATTTTAATAATATAGATTCAATTAGGGTACTAATAAATATTTCATGATTTACATTTTAGAATTCATGGCAGCCATTAGGAAGAAATTGGTTATCGTGGGTGATGGTGCTTGTGGCAAAACATGCTTACTCATAGTCTTCAGTAAAGATCAATTTCCTGAAGTTTATGTACCTACAGTGTTTGAAAACTATGTTGCAGACATTGAAGTTGATGGAAAACAGGTAAGTACGAGAAATTGTTTCATATATTTAAAATATTTATATTTTTCTTCTAAATGTACTAAAAAAACATTTTGTATAACAGGTTGAATTGGCTCTTTGGGACACAGCAGGACAAGAAGATTATGATAGGCTGCGTCCATTGTCATATCCTGACACAGATGTAATCCTAATGTGTTTCTCTATCGATAGTCCTGACTCCTTGGAGAACATTCCTGAGAAGTGGACACCAGAAGTTAAGCACTTTTGTCCAAATGTGCCCATCATTCTTGTTGGAAATAAAAAAGACTTGCGCAATGATCCTAATACCATCAAAGAGCTTAGCAAAATGAAACAGGAACCAGTTAAACCAGAAGAAGGTAGAGCTATGGCTGAGAAAATCAATGCTTTCGCTTATCTTGAATGTTCTGCTAAGAGTAAGGAAGGTATTAGGGAAGTATTTGAAACAGCCACTCGGGCAGCGTTACAAGTAAGCACTGTTTATTACAGAGTTTTTTTTAAATTGAATATAAACTATACAGACGTTATTATAAAAATGATGTGAGTTCGTAGGTAAAAAAAAAGAAGAAAGGAAGATGTTGGCTCTTATAATTTATGAAACTGTTGAGACAAGACTAATGGAATTGCTAGTTGCAATGAAGCTAGTTGTTATGCCAGAGGCCCTCAGCGGAAACTATAATATAACAACAACAACTTATCTTTAATTATTTTACACAATAAAACAAATCTATAAAAAAAAGAAAAACCAACAAAATACGCCCACAATATATACAATATATGCAAATTAAAATCCGTTGCAAAGTTTGCAAGTGTTCTTTTATAATTATTTGCGAAGAATGTACTGTTAATTATGATTGTATCAGTTAATCCTTTATGGACTCTCTCTAATGTTGCAATAAGTGCGATCGTGTTTTAAATGAAATAAATTACTAAGAATTTGTACAAACATTGCTGCAGTTTTTATAAGGATATGCTATGAGTTATGACATGTTAACTGTTATCTTAGAAGTTACTTATCGTTTTGGTCCTTATCAGAATAGAATGGCTTTCAAATATTATTGTACAAACATTATTAAGACTGAGTTTTCGGTAATATACTTTAATGAAATAAGAAAGAAAGAGGAAAAATGAATAAACTCATAATCTTTTTAATGAAAAAAGTTAAATATTGTTACATGCACAAAGTTGTGAGATAAGATTAAAGAATTTGAGTTTCTATGTTTGACAAGGATTAAAATACATCACAGTATCTATTAAATTCATTATTGTCTCTGTAAAAAGAGCGATAAACAAATTATTTTGCTGCTCTATTTGGTCCATATAGGATTAAAATTGTACATAAAATGTCATCATTCTTGAAATAGATAAGATATACCTTCATGAATGTCCCGTGATTTTTTTTAAGCATTTCTCTGTCTATTTCATGGTATGAAATAATAGAAGTACGAATCGCTTTATCTCATTTTCTTACAAGAAAAAAAATATATATATATATAAATCTATTTATCTATAGGTTTATATATATATAAACCTATTTATCGATAAATCTATCACTTTAAGGATCAAAAGGACATAAGTACTTGTATACTTAAGACACATACGAAAAAAGAAAGAATACTAAATACTGTTTTGTACATCTCCATAATTCTTTATAAATAGTTTTACGACATTGTAATTCGTCGTGTCAGTAGCGAATTGAAGATACTTCCAAGAAGAAATTCAATTATTTCTATGTAGCACTTTTTCAATATAATTAAAGAAAAAAAATTTTTTACAATTAGAAAAAAATGAAACCAGGATAAGTTTTTTGAGTTTAAAGAGATCGCTCTATAGTTAATTAGTCTTAATATAAGATATTTACTCCATGATTACTATAATAAATTGTAATTAACAATAAAAATTATTAATCAATGTTTTTGAACTATTATTCCTGAAACAGTTCAATCATTTGTACATTTAAATATATGAATATTCAAGCAATGAGAAATTTCCTAGAATTTACAAGGGATCTATAAAGATTAATAAACACATAAATATATCGTACATGAATTTTCATTTACAAGTTTTATTGAACAAAATCTTTCTTTTATTTTAAAATATTTTTTAGAAATCACATATTAGGAAGCTTTTTTTAAACGAGAAAACAAAAATATAATTCTTCAATGCACAAAATTGTATACAAAACGATTTATTTTACTTTTAATATAAATAAAAAAGTAATGTATTAATTTTTACTTCATATAGTCAAATATGGAAAATGGAATGAAAAATTGAATCTTAAACATAATTCGCTAAATCTGGAAAATATTAACATCATAGTTCTAAATCAGTTCTGCGTAGTTTTACATGATATACAACATTATAAAGTTACTTAATACACACAGACAATCCTATTCTAATTATACCTTTTCACTTTATTTTTCAAATACTTTGTAAAATAAATGCAGTCATGTTACATTAAAGGTCTTTAATTTCTTTCATTCACATCTGTCTTTGATACTAGAAAAATTTTTAGCTTTTGTGTTTTCAACTACATGCCACTTTTGTCACACTTATAAGTCGCACAAGAAAAATTTCACTTCAGATTCTGCTGCTGAGAGATATATAAAAACTGTAATAAACAACTCCATATTTCAATGTGAAAAAATTTACAATTCATCACTTTTCGGCTTAACAGTCTTTCCCTTGCGATCAAATTCTTTTAACTCATTGGTCGCGTGTTTAGCAATGTATTTGATAAAATCATCAAGTTCTCTGCCACCTTCATATTTTACTGGACTATTCTTGGAATTTTTAGGCGCCCAATAAAGTGTTGGGAATCCTCGAACTTCATATGGAGCAGGAACATCATTAGCGGTAGCATCAAATTTTACAATTTCAACATCTTCGTTCGCAAGTTTTTCACCTAATTCATCGTAAATAGGTGCTAATTTTTTGCAATGGCCACACCAAGGAGCATAAAACTCAATCAACGTATCCTTGTCATTGTTTGTAACAACTTCATCAAAGTTTCGGGCCACTGCAACTTTAACATTTCCAGTGTTATCTTCGGGGATTGGTTCAGATTTCAGATATGGTTCTAAAATATCAACTTCTAGATCTTTCAAGAATGCTTCAAATGTATCAACAGAAAATTCATCCTTCATAACGAATTTTTGATTGTTACTGTTTCTTGCTAAAATAACAGGTTTATCACCCTTGACAAAATCAATTCCAAAATCATTTAATTCATGTTGGAAGTCGTCTTTGGAAGAAATGGCAAAATTTAAGTTAGGGAAGTCTTTAGCAACTTTAATAATTCTATTACGCCAGTAATTTGTACCCTTAGGATTTTTGACATAATCCACTGCATAGTATGCAACAACTAATGGATTTTTAAATTCTCCTGCGTTATCCCGCGTACGAACGCCAGCAATACCAAAACTAAAATACATATTCAGTTAAAAGTACTTTTAATTTAAATACTGTATTAGTGAAACGAATGTTCATGAAACTTACTAATTTTTATTAATGAATTCTAGAAGATCACCCATAGATTCATCATATTTTACCGTGTTTGGTTCAAACTTGTTTTGTAGAATTTTTGGTCTATATAGAACAATGACATTCCTAAAAACAGAAAAAAATACATTTTACTCTTTGTGTAATTTTGATCTTAAAGTAAATTTATGACAATGTAAATAAATTACTTATGTCCTTCTTTCTCCAAGAGTGATTTAGTTGTTGTATGTGCAAATCTGATTTTTTCTTTAAGTTTCTTAGAAACAGCATGATAAGATATTGCTAAAGGTGAATCCTCCTTTTCAAAGAAACCTACAACACTTACTTCATCTGTGTCTAAGAATGATTTCAAATAACTTTCTCCTTGTAATTCTTTAGATGCTGGACCAACTTGTGCCTAGAATATATTGAATTAAATATGTGAAATGATTAAATAACTTCCGCATTATCAAAATCCTAATTACCTTCATATATTTGGCAATACCAGCAGCTTCTCGAGGTCCATTGTAATCGGCAACAAAGTCACCTCTGGAATAGATTTTCAATGTTGGATAACCATTGATTGAATATTTGTTGCAAATCTCCTTCCCACTTTCTGTACAATCTACTTTGGCAAGAGTAATTGGAGGATCATTACCCAACAGCATTTCAGCAGCTTTTGCATATTCTGGTTTCAATCGTTTGCAATGACCACACCTGGATATTCGAGATACATAGATAAAAAAATTTCTTAAGTTTATCCTAAATTTAAAATCAAGTTATATTTTAAAAATTTGCATAGTAAAGAATAACAATTATCCTTTTAAAGGTAAAAATAAAGAATAAGAATTTTAAAACGCTATTAACGTGTCACAAGCCGGTATACTCAAAGTTATCGAGACCGGAACTTGAAAAACACTTCTCTTTAATCAGTTCTTTTGCGAGAGAGAATAGAAACGATAGAGTAACAAAAAAATAAAGCTGCATTTTAATTTGGAAATAAATTATTATCAAAACAAAGAAATATCTTACCACGGTGCGTAAAACATAACAAGCGTATTCTCAAGCTGATTTATTTCGTGTCTAAAAGAATCGTCGGTAAGCTCCACCACATCTTTCTCTTCGGCCAAGACGATAGTTGAGATCAAGAAAAGAAAGGTAAAATATTTGAGCAACATCGCAAACAACAGTACTTTTTTTTCTAAACCGAACTCTTGTCACAGTCTCTCTTCTGAAGACACTGCCTGTCGAAGACGTGGCTTTCGCAATAAGTTAGGGTAATCACGCAGTGCTGTCGTGTTCTGATTGGTCGTTCCATTCGAATATATGTGATGTATTTCCTCTTTACAAGATGCGATACCTACACATATGAATAAGATGAAATTCCAAACATTCCCAATAACAAAATGAATTTTATCGTTTGCTTTTGTTGATGCAGAAACTGAAAGAAAATTTTTAACACTATTCCTAAACAAAATCTTCTTCGTCACAGGATGACTTATTACATATATTCAAATTATATAATCATTTATATATACTCAATATAATATGTACATTCAATGTACATTCAAACATTAATCAATCTCTTAAATATCTTATGCATGTTACTTAATTACGATATTAGCGTACGCTAGTAACAACCATAACGTAACAAATAAATTAGTAATAATCAGAGTTAAAGTAAATTTATTTTTATTAGAAAAATAAAGTATTAAATAAATTTTAAAGACTTGATATTCTCCAAAAAAGATCTGGTTCTAAATTTAAATGTGTTGAAAGAATGATGGTCTGAAGGCCCTCTAGAGCAATGAATGTAAACTATGATCATTCATCATAATTTTCGCGGGATCTTGGAGAATATTTAAAAAAAGAAAAACAAAGGTAGATTGAAAGTTTTTTTGTTGATTTATATAAATTTTAAATTCTTGAACGAAAATAATTTAGTAGAAATACATATCTTCCACCTAATAAAGCGTAGAACAATTATATATATGTATTATATGTGTTATATTATATAGTTTGGCAATACATTTGTTTTTTATGAAGGAAATAAACAATGAAACAAGGTACTGATTTTAAATATTCATCCAATTTCAACGAGCTTATTTATTCATTCAAACTATCGAAAATTAATTACGAGTGTTTCGAAGTAACAAAAATTTTGTTCTCAGTTACATATATAAATTTCGAAAAAAATTTGAAAACAATAGTAATAATAAAAGCATGTCCCAGATTACATAATATTATACTTGTAATATTCATAAATCAATATTTCTTTTATCAGTATAAATCGAGAATAAATTGTTTCGTCGTTTGAATTATTAATTACTATAAAGCGCGATACTTGCAGAATACCACAAACGCAAAGAAACATATTTGAGACATAAAATAGGAATCAAGTGAATCACCATAAATGATTCTTTCTATAAAAAAAAATTAGTTTCTCATCTTCTATAATTACAATCATTTCTCTCGTAATCCCCAAAGAAAAACAAATTGTAAAATTTGATACATTATTATTTTCATATTTGGTATAAAATTAAATATATTCTACCGAATTCAACTGTAATAACTCAATAATCTCAAGATTCGAAACGATGACTTATACTTGCATCAACACGTGTCGTGCAGAGATGAAAAGTTCCCCGAAAAAAATGTGGGTCTGGTTGGTTATTTCCAATCCATTCGTAATTTAAGAATACCTATTGGTTGAAAGTGTCACGCAGAACAAACCTAGTGGGTCGGTTATTGAGAGAAGGAACTGCTTCCTTTGCTCTTGCATGGGACTTTTCATTTTTGTACATAGATACAGCTATATAACTGAAAACATACAATTTGCAATTCGTCAGTAGATGGTACTAAAGATGAAAGTGTTCCGCTGCACGCTAACCTAAAGATCACACTTATCCCTAGCTAAGCAGCATCCACTTAAGTAATACTCATGTCATTGGAACTGGTATACTAAGGAAACACTGCATGTGCTAGCCGCTAGAGGCATTAAAATACTAGCGTCGCGAAGCGGTGAAATGGTGAAACTATTATATATTGTTGTCCTTGTCGCACACTCCTTGTCTACGGCGCGAATATGTCTGTCGTTGTCCCACGCTATCACCCTCCTTGTCTACCGCGCGTATATCTCTGTCCTTGTCGCACGCTGTTGCTGCTCTCCTGTCTATCGTGCATATATCTCTGTCCTTGTCGCACGCTACTGCCCTCCTTGTCTAACAACGACAGACAAGGAAAGCAATAGTGTGCGACAAGGACATCCTTCGATCTATTGAAAAAAAAATTCAACTTTTTACACAGACGTTTTTTTGGCACAAAACACACATAGAAAGAAAGCGAGGAGCCTAACTGTAAGGAGGCATATAAAAAAGTTCGCAAATTATTCCTCTTAATTAGGTTTTTTTCGTAATTACTGCGAACAGCCACAAAATGGCCACGGTGGCGCCATCTAGCGGCAACCGAGTGGTACTAATTATTTGTAAAAATACTCATTTCTGCATTTTACGGGACAAAAGGGGTAAGAAAAGAAAGCTAAGGGTTTAATTAGGGTAATGCAATCACAAAAGTTCACAATTTGTTTCACTAAATTAGGTTTTTTCGCGTATGAAGATTTCTCTGTATTACAGGGTCGTAGGGATTGAAATGGCGATGATAATGCGAGGATAATGTAGGAAGTGATGATGTGGGTAAGGTGAGGAAAGGTTAGGTTGTGCGCGTTTCGTCTCAGAGTCGCTGCCTAGACTCATCAGTGGGGCTGATGGCAGCGCGACTCCTTACCCCAGACGCTTGTTTTTCTAACTACTCGCTAGGCTGGACGGTCTCACCCATCCTAGCGGTGTTCCGCACTCTGTTTGCTTAACATCGAAATATCGGTTGACTTCGACGCTAGGCGCACAGCCACTTGCGGCTTGTACGAGTGGGTGTTCGAAACTCGTACTCGAGGAACTATAGGTCGCTACATCAGGAGCAACGGTGGCGCCATCTGTCGACATCTTGGTGATACTAAAAGTAGAAAATTCAATTTTTAGTACCACCGAGTTAGCAATAGATGGCGCCACTGTCGCTTCTGAACATTGACAGGTGACAGTTTTTCCACAAATTACGAGAAGAAATTAATTGAGAGAAATCATGTGTGAACTGTTAGGGTTGCGCCTTCGATTTTAGAGACCCTAAATTTGCGTTTTATGTTTTGTTTAAATGTAGTTGCGTATGTAAAGAACGTTTCGTTTACGTTAGCAGTAGTGCCAGTAGTATGTACATAATTTCGCGCAAACTATAGTGAATATTAGATTCAGATTTATTTACGAAAGTAACTGATAGCATTATCTTTGAAGTATGTGCTCGTGGAGTGCAAATTAGTAACATGAAAAATTAAAATTAATTATTCCCCTTATATGGTTATAGAGCGTTCAGTTCCACCGGTCTGCCACAACGCGGCGCTAGTGTTTCTTACCCTGTAATACAGAGAAATTTTCATACGCGAAAAAACCTAATTTAGTGAAACAAATTGTGAACTTTTGTGATTGCATTACCCTAATTAAACCCTTAGCTTTCTTTTCTTACCCCTTTTGTCCCGTAAAATGCAGAAATGAGTATTTTTACAAATAATTAGTACCACTCGGTTGCCGCTAGATGGCGCCACCGTGGCCATTTTGTGGCTGTTCGCAGTAATTACGAAAAAAACCTAATTAAGAGGAATAATTTGCGAACTTTTTTATATGCCTCCTTACAGTTAGGCTCCTCGCTTTCTTTCTATGTGTGTTTTGTGCCAAAAAAACGTCTGTGTAAAAAGTTGAATTTTTTTTTCAATAGATCGAAGGATGTCCTTGTCGCACACTATTGCTTTCCTTGTCTGTCGTTGTTAGACAAGGAGGGCAGTAGCGTGCGACAAGGACAGAGATACATGCACGATAGACAAGGAGAGCAGCAACAGCGTGCGACAAGGACAGAGATATACGCGCGGTAGACAAGGAGGGTGATAGCGTGGGACAACGACAGACATATTCGCGCCGTAGACAAGGAAAGCAACAGCATGTGACAAGCAGCAAATACGCGCGGTAAAGAAGGAGAGCAAAAGCGTGCGATAAGGATAACAATATAAATTAGTTCTGGCACCTATCCTAGAGCTGATCCACACGATGCATGCTTAATAGATATTTATTACGCTATTACGAAACATTGCTTAGTTGAATTACTTATATAATGATATCGTGTTAGCAATAACCAAAAATACACTAAAATTTAACAGTTAAGATTATAATTTCTAGTAAAAATAAAAAGTAATTCTTAATACAATTAAAACTATCTATTTATAACAGTAAAATGACAAAAAAAAATAGCAACAAATGTTTTATTTTTACCATAATAATATTGTTCTTGATAGTAAATGACACCTGTTTGAATTAAACAATTTATTATGTGGAAATGCGCGTATGCATATAATACATAGCCACAGTTGAACATATTTTGACGTACGAATCTATTGAATGTAAATTGAATTTTACTGACTTTTTTAAACGATAGCCATTGGTTGTTTAGCATGGACATGAATTTGCAAAATGAGGAAAAGCTCAATGTAGCTAAAATGGGGGTACTTGAATATTACATCCAACAAAAGTACAATTCGATTAGTTGCAAAAACGTTTTGTTAACTTTTGTAACAAAATACTAGAAAGACGCGAGATCATATTAATCTTTTTATTTAGTTAACGTTACAGACATCTAAAAATATCTTCTAATACCATGGTAAGCGTTCGCGATATGTTGCAATAAAATTTAATATTGTTTATTTCTCCAGATGAATCAATCTATCAAAAATGTATCTCTATCAAAAATTTGAATACTTGATACTGGAGATCAAATGGAAGGAGAAACTTAAATAAATTTGATATTTGTTTTTTATTGATTCGACCTCTTAATTCAGCTTAATCTTTTCAAGATTGTCCGCAAGCGGACTTCGGGAAGCTGATACATTCACAATCAGTTGTGACCTACCTGTCATTGCGATCGGTTGTTCGTAGAGAGTGCAATCTGATTCTGAATTGAGTTCATTTGACTATCAGTCACAATATTCAAGTTTCTTTTACCTTAATATTAAAAAATATCTATTTGTTCATATTACAGATTGTTCGTCAATATATCTATTACGTCAATCATTACGTGTGCCATTTATCTAGTGCTGTAACAGGTAACAAATTTTTACCTTAAACGTCGTATCATCGTGACTTGTAGTTTCACTTTCTCTTTTCTTGACTTTACACTTTTATACGATTGACCTCGATACCTGCTTCCTTAAAACGAAACAGTTCAATCTTTTCTGGTTAAATAATCGCATTTATTATATAATTTTATAATATATAAAATACATTATATATATATATATATATATACATATATGATAATTGATATCTTCGTTCCATTATGTTTCAATTTTATGTTTTAGGTAATTTAAAAAACATGCCCTGTCCATTTTTGACACATCTTTCTGCGAATTATATTCGTAATTATGGAACATCCGTAATTATGAACTATCAGCTGTACCAGTTTTGTCCAGTGATGTCTCAGTTTTTTAGCACTCAAGTAGATACCAGTGACACTGGTGAACAAGTTGAAAAAGCTATAAACAGTCAATGTCCGTTTCTTGCTAAAGAACAAAATGCTGTGAAAATAGCTAGTCCTATGGTTGAGAAGGATATTATTAACATATCAGCTTCAGAATCAAAGGAAAGAGGTGGTTTCCCATATGAAAAATTTTTCCATGAACAAATTATGAAAAAAAAGAAAGATCATTCTTACAGAGTATTTAAAAAGGTCAATCGCTTAGCAGAGAGCTTTCCAACTGGATTAGAGTACTCCTGGGGAGAAAAACCAATTACTGTTTGGTGTTCTAATGATTATTTAGGAATGTCACGACATCCAGCAGTGACAGATTCTGTTCGAGAAGCATTGAGCAAATTTGGTGCAGGAGCAGGAGGAACCAGAAATATATCTGGAAATTCTATGGGGCACGAGATATTAGAGAAAAGACTCGCTTCTTTGCACCAAAAAGAAGCCGGCTTATTATTTACTTCTTGTTTTGTCGCTAATGACTCAACTTTATATACTTTGGCAAAGCTCCTGCCACATTGTCATATTTTCTCTGATGCTGGAAATCATGCTTCTATGATTCAAGGTATAAGAAACAGCGGAGTACCGAAGCATATTTTCAGGCACAATGATATAAAACATCTTGAAGAATTACTTTCTAAAATAGACAAAAATGTGCCAAAAATTGTAGCATTTGAAACAGTACATTCTATGACTGGTGATATATGTCCCTTAGAAGATTTATGTGATATTGCACATAAATATAATGCTTTAACATTTGTTGATGAAGTTCATGCTGTTGGATTGTATGGACATTCGGGAGCTGGGATTGGAGAAAGAGATTACGTGCTCCATAAGATGGATATTATATCTGGCACTCTAGGGAAAGCTTTTGGGAATGTGGGTGGCTACATTGTTGGATCTGCTAAGTTAATAGATATGATACGAAGTTATGCAGCAGGCTTTATTTTTACAACCTCATTGCCACCAACAGTATTATATGGTGCCTTAACAGCCATTGAAATTTTAGCTTCAGATGAAGGAAGATCATTAAGGGCTAGCCACCAAAAAAACGTAGCTTATATGAAATCTATTTTGACAGCTGCAGGTCTTCCATTAGAGCAATCACCTTCTCACATTATACCGATAAAAGTAAATTTTTTTTACATTAGATTTTCTGCACATTATTAGTATTATTATGTTTAATTAAAATTGTCTTTCAGATTGGTGATCCATTACTGTGTAGTCAATTAGCCGATTTATTAATAAGAGATAAGGGGCATTATGTTCAAGCAATCAATTATCCAACTGTTCCAAAGGGAAAAGAAAAATTAAGACTTGCTCCAACTCCAAGACACACTCAATCTATGATGGATCAATTTGTCAAAGATATATTACATGTTTTTCATCAATTGAGTATACCAACTTTCGGACATAAGTCAGACGACATTCCTGTGCCAACATTCCATTCGAATTCGTTGATAAATGTTAAATGTAAATGAATGAACTAACAAAAATCTATATAGTACAAATATAATTTATTTCTGTATACAAATTTATATTATATAGATATCTATGCTGTTGAACAGGCATTTACTTATAATAAAATGTTAAAGAAATTTAATTAAAATTAATTTGACTATGTAAGATTTTCAATAAAACATTGTCAATGAGGAATAACAGAAATTTTTTTTTAATCTACTTTAATTCATTATGATTTAAAATTTTGTAAAATATTAAGTCCATATTTCATCTGTGTTTAAATCATATTTCACTAGAAAATAAAATGGCTACGTTTCCGAAGTAACTAGAACGTTTGCCTTGGTCTTTTTCCGGTTCGTTATCGTGTTTCACGCACGGCAAAATGAAAGCTAAGGGTGAAGTAAGTAAATGCTTAAAATTTCTATTAAAAACTAATAAATTTATCATTTAAGGAAACTGATCTTTAATTACTATGCTTTACATATTATAATAGTTCATCCAAAATTGCAAAAATGAAGTTAAATGATACATTAACAATGGCTTAACCTAACATGTTATGATCGTTAACACATGCTCACAATTCTCAAAGTTTGAACAGTTCTCGTATTTTGTCAAATTCAAAATTTTAAGATAATTTTCAATTTTTTAAGACAATAAAGGATTATTTATAATGAGAAATAACTTATAATATTTTTTTACAGTTGAAGGAGTTCGAGGTGATCGGACGCAAATTGCCGACCGAAAAAGAAAAGACCACACCATTATACAAAATGAGAATATTTGCGCCTGATGCCATTGTTGCTAAATCCAGATTTTGGTATTTCTTGCGTCAACTTAAAAAATTTAAAAAATCTACAGGAGAAATTGTTTCTTTGAAGCAGGTAATTGTTGCATGTCAATTAAATGTCAATGCAAATTTTTGTCAAATATTTATGTACACATGTTTAAACACATTGTTTTTCAGATACCGGAGAAATCTCCGATAAAGATTAAGAACTTTGGCATTTGGCTAAGATATGATTCAAGATCTGGAACTCATAATATGTATAGAGAATACAGAGATCTGTCCGTCAGTGGTGCCGTAACGCAATGTTATAGAGACATGGGAGCTCGCCATCGTGCCCGTGCTCATTCAATTCAGATTATTAAAGTTGAAGTTGTAGAAGCGGCAAATTGTAGGAGACCCCAAGTTAAACAATTTCATGATTCAAAAATCAGATTCCCATTACCAAAACGTATTCATAATAGGAATCGTATGCCGCTTTTCAGTGTTAGAAAGCCACGTACCTATTTCCTTTGAATACTTTAAATTAAAAAATTTTTTAAATTAAATGATTTGCACATTGACATCAAATATTATTCTAAACAAAATAAAATGATATTTATTATCATGTCAATATTACCTTCTCAATCATTTACTTCAGTTATCCCTATTTAAGTAATCCTTGTAATTTTAAAATTTTACTATAAGTAGTTTAGCAAAGCAATTTGTATCTTTATTTCAGTCAAAATGTTTAATTGTTTTTTACTTATTTAATTTCTTTAATTATATGATTAATTTATTTTATATTATATAATTTTATGTAGCTAAACGATCAAGTATAGAGCGAGTCCTGAAAATATTTGGACACGCAGTTATAGCATTATTTCCTTCAATAATTATTATTGTACAATGCATGTGAGTTTCTCACATAAATTATGTATCTTTATAAACCCTTCGACTACTGAAATTTGCAATTCTGTGACAGGATCAGTTCTGATCCACACGGATATTGCATTAATACATATTTGTGGTCGCCCAAACGGCTCACTAATACTGTACTAAACAGACTGACGGTCACTCTAGACTGAGTTACTCACCGATATTGTACCAACACAGTGACAGATACTCGACTCGTATAGGGACATATAGAAGTATTAGGAACAAATAATAATCACATTAATATATTATACATTTATGTCATTCACTGTCAGAAACGTCTTGTGCAAATTAAACGAAAGAAGACAAAAAAAGATTGCTCGTTGGCAATGAAGACATTGCGTCAACAAATAGAAACAACGGAAAAAAGTAATAAAAATAACAAAAATAATAATAAAAACAGTAAATTAATTATAAAAATAATAAAATATTAAAATAGTGCTAAAAACTAAAATCTAAATAGTAAATACAAAAATAGTATAAAATACTAAATATTAAAAACAAAAATAATACAAACCATTAAATACTAAATACTAAAATACTAAAACAATAATAAAAACACTAAAATATAAAATAAACTTTGAAATAAAAAATTACTTCGATTTGCTGCACACCTCTTTCTTTCTCAGAATGTTACCAGAAACTGATTTTTTTCGTCTTTAGTTTGGTCATTCTGGCAATTTGACGGAAACGTGTTAGCCACGTGGTATTCGTGCGTTAGTGCGATCACAAACAAAGCAGCTCCCGTCACTGTACGTTGTATTCGAATGGCTCTCAGCATAGATCAAAACTGAGACTCCGGCATAGTATACGTATAATATTAACAAATAACGTGTTTAGAAGAAGCAACCAAAGTTGATTGTTTTTAAATAACTGAAATATCAAATCATACATTTAATCGTACTATAGCTGTACGAATATTTTCAGAAATTACTGTATGCAGTTTATCATGATTCATAAGTGAATCATTATTATTAACTGGAATTTGACATCACTGTACAAGTACAGTATGTAAATTTTGAAGTTTTGTATCATTTTACTCGGGATAATAAAACTAATAAATACGAGTGATAGTTTTATTAAATAGTTGAAATGCAAAGTAAACTATTATAAAAAAATTGTTAAATTACACGAAAAGTTATGTGTTACATGAAAAGATAATTCATGTTTGAAAAACTATATGTAATTCTTTAAATTTGACTTACATTCTTAAATTAAAAAGAAAACATTTCAAATATCAAAATCATACAAGTAAAAGTTGTATTGTTCTTTCAAAAACTGATGTCACAATAGTTTGTACATCATTTGTCAAAGCAACTTTTATTTCATGAATAAAAATGGGACCGTTTCATGATAGTAATATGACTACTCGTGTGAGGTATGATGAAAAAAGTGATAATGGATTAGTTATCAATGGAAAATATTTACCAGAGGAATTGTTAGCAGAAATTTTTTGTTACATTGATTACAAATCTTTGTTAAATTGTCAATTGGTTTGCAAACGTTGGAAAATATTAATTCAAACTTATGTTTGGCGTAAAAAAGCAGGAGTTTCTTTCAATCGATTACTTTTTTTTAATAAAAAAGTGCCTTGGCATGTTTACTATTTAATATGCAAAAAGAAGCCTTTTGAAAGAAATTTAATAAAAAATCATTCTGGAGAATACGGAACGCAAAAGTACTGGAAAATTCTTAGTCAAGGTGGTGATCGTTGGAAAGTAGAGAATCCTCCAATAGGAGTTCCACCTTTGCCAAATAATGAACTTGTTTTCGAAGGGAAACAATTCTGTTTTGTTACTTCTTACTGTAGTTGCTCTAAAACACAAATAATTGACCTAAATGTTGAAGGACTGACATCATACGTTTTAGACAATTTACAGCCTGTAATAGTGGTATTACAAAATTTTTATTAGCTTACATTTCATATAAATTCTTTGAGATATATATTTACTGTATTTATCATTTATGTTTATAGGTAAGTGAATGGTACAGCTGCCGTTGGGATTGTCCAGCTATATATGAATGTATTATTGAATTATTAAGAGAAGATAATACAGTCATAGATTCTTTTAACTTCCGTGATAATATTGAAGAGGAAAAACAAAATCAATGGCATCAGGTATATCTTATTATATAAATAAATCTTTTGTAAAAGTAACAATATTGTATAAGTTTATTTACATTTTATTTTAGGTATCACATGAATTTAAAAACTATGGGCCTGGGCTTAGAAAAATTTGTTTTTATCACGGCGGTAATGATCAATTATTTTGGGCTGGTCACTATGGCAGTAAAATGGCAGGTGCATGTGTATATGCAAAAATTCCTACTTGTAACAATAAAATTTCGCAATAGTAAAGAGATTAACACATTATATAAAAAACTACTTTGAAAGTATTTATTTTGTTCAAAGTACAATATGTAATTATAAATATTTATATATAATATTAAATATTTTATCATTAAGTCATTAAGAATGTTTTTGAAATTGTATGTAATAATTGAATTATTCTTATTGTAGTATATAGTAATGAACAATATTTTGTGAAAACTTACATAAATAATATATGTGATATCGTATATTATAAATGTGTCATAATTATAAAAAATAAAAATGTTTAATGGTATATATTTTTAAAGATATCTTTAAAAATACAAATAAAAGAAATCTAAAAAAATAAAAAATTCTTTCTTTTCAACCAAATATTTAACATTAATAAAATTTTTAATTTGATATGATTTTTACACAGTAATTTGTTTTCAAATTTTAGAAATTTTACGAAATAGAAACAAACACTAAAAATTATGTTAGTGTGTGCAATGAATGTAATTTAAATGCTATTTCAATTAAATTTTGTGGTGCAGAATCCTGATAACATACATACAATTCCTTTGGATGAGGAGTTGTATATAATCGACCAACAACCCAATAACTTAAATTTTCCCATTCAAATAACACTCCATGTTCTTTAACAGCAATTAAACTCTTATTAATTACAGTTTTGTCCATATCTGAGTTTAACATAGTTTTGAATCTCACTGTATTATGCAACAATTTATGAATAATATGAACACATTTGTTAAAGTTAATAAGAAACTTAGGATTTTTTCCTAAATGTTCTAGTGGGTTTGAGGATAGGAGAATTCCTTCAACCATGTCCAAATGTATATAATGATATAAATAATTCTTATCACCCACTGTCAATACTTTTGGTATTAAATATTCAGCTTGATTTAATAAATTTTCTCTTATATTAGATATATCTGCACTTAATATTTGACAATCATTCTACAACAATATACTTTATATAAATAATTTAACAAAATAAAATATAGGACAACATAAATATTTTAAAATTATTATGTTGATTACCTTATACATATCAAGATCAGAATCGCTATCATCAGAATATCTTGATCTACTAACAATTTTTTCTCTTGTTGCTCGTCTTCCTAATATAGGCATTGCTTCATCACTTATTTCACTAATTCCACCAGTTCCTTGACTTAATGAATCTTCTGATGTATGCAAAGAATATACTAAAAAAACAGTAAAATTGTAATTTTAAAAGTTATATATTATATATTTGTACATAATTACAAAAGAAAATAGTAAAAAGAAATAACTTTATTTACTTGATTCTAAAACCATAGGACATTCTTCTGTATTACGTTTTTTTAAAATTGAAGGTATTTCTTGAGATTTTTTGTTACTGTTTGAAGGTGGTTTGACAGATAAATTTTGTACATCTGCTGATTTTATAAGACCTAGAAGATTTTCTGTGATACTAGATGACGCTTTTACAGGCATAGGATCTTCATAAGCTATTACTTCTGGTCTAGTATTAGATGCAATCCATTTGGCTGCTAATGTTGTTACTCCTATCTTTTGTATATGTTTCAAAGTCTCCTGAGCTTCTTCTACATAAAATATGTCTGGACCTATAGTTTCACTACATCTATAAAAATATTTTTATATGATATATATAAAATTTTTAAAAGACTAATGAAATTATTAATGAATTAATTTAATTGATTTAATTTGATTATAAGTTAATCAAAAATATAATAAAAATAATTTTAAAAAATTACTTTGCAGTAGATCCGCCAGATTCTAGAAGGACTACTAATAAATCATGTCCATATCCAACAACAAGCAAATACCATTTTCCATCAAGAACAAGTGATTGATTATTTTCTGTATTATTACGATTGCACGAAGAAGGATACACTTTTTTCCAAATGATAAGACTTTTCACAGGTTCATTACTGATTAAATTTAAAATACAGTTTTGCCTAAGATAAGACTGTACTTCAATCAAATCACTGTGAGTTAAATGAGATCCAAGAAGATAATTTTTATGATAAATACAACTACCTAAAATTGTATACAACCTTTGACAATCCATAGGATCTTCATTCTAGAAACATAAAATTGTTTTGTATTATTTACTTTCTTATATTTTTTTACTATACACTACGTACCCAATCTCTATAATCCATGGCTTCCATTTCACTTAAAGCTGCATCAATTTGAATTTGCGCATCTCTTGACAATTCTATAAAATTTGCAACTGAAAACGTGCTTCCAAATTTATAATTTTCCATATCTTCAATATTATTATGAATCTCCATACAGGAAATAATTAATCCTGCATTGTTTGCATAACTTTTTATATCTAGCAACCGTTCAATAATTAAAACAAAAAAATGATCTAAAGAAGATCGATTTTCTTCAGATGTAAAACATTTTGTCAGCGATTCATATGTAAATTCTAATGTTCTTACTATGTCACATGATAAATTAACAGCTTCTTCAAGACTACAACTGGGAATATTAAAAATAATTTGAAGTAAATTCATATATAAATCAATATTTATTTATTGTTATTATATAAATTATAACTTACCATTTTTTAGGTAATGCCATTAAAAATAGTTCATCATTTCGAGGTGTGTATACAACATGAATTTCTTCTTCTGCTACCTGTATTGTTGTACTATAAAAGTTGTACTATAAAATGTGATTGCATATATGTTATAAAAATTACGTATTTATGTGGAGTAATAAAAACTATCCAATTATACCTTGTAGGTTGCAGACCTCTAATTCCTGGTAATAGATGATTAAGAGTTATAAAAGCTCCTCTTGCTGTGCATAAAATGGAATGTATATTTTTACTTTCTGATCTAGGAAATGCATATAGAACACCTTGTAGATCTGGTCCCACTTCTGAAAGTTCTGTAGTTTGTAAATATAATACACCAAGTGGATAATCTATTATTGACTGCATTAAATCTTTACTTTCCTCTTTATTCATCAGTCTTTGTACCAATGCAGATTGCTAATGACAAAAAACACACTATTTTTAATTCTATAAATTCTATATATAATATTATTTAAAATTATAATTACTTTAGGAGAATTTAATCCAGACAATGTTGCTGTAACATCAACACCTGCAACTCTTTGTAATTCTAATATTACCTGAACAAAAAATGGAAATTACTTTCATATTTTTATAAGATAGTTATTATATAAATTTACAATATTCACTAAATTACTTACATTTGTTGACATAGTTATTTCAGATAATACATGATCCAAATTTTGATATGTAATATTATTTGAATTTACACTTCGTAACCAATCTCCAATTTTAATATTTTTGTTCTTTATTGCTTCTCCATCTGGTATAAATCCAGCAACCATAATACGCGTTTTGTCTGAAAAAACACCTGGGATTATTCCAAAATATGCCTCACACAATGTGGCTCTTCTTCCTAATTTGTGTCGTCTATCTGGATCAACCCATAGTATAACTTCCCGGATTTCACCTGCCTACAAAATTTATATATTTTTATACAAAAAATCTATTATTATCATTAAGAATATTTGAATTTCTACTAAAATCATGTACTTGAAAATCTCTAAAAGTGACTTCTTTAATTGCAGTCCCTTCCTTTCCTGAACTTCCAACATTGTTTGTAGTATTGAAATTAGTTTTTTTATTTCTTGTACTCAAACGTTTACTTTCTTTACGTCTTATAAGTCGCATAAGTTTTCCAGTTCTTGTACTACGACGTCGTATCAACTCTGGCTGAGACTCAAGTTTTGTTTCATTAAAAGAAAATTGTTCATCATTTATATTATCCACCAGAGATTCTATGTAAATCAATTCTCCGTTAGAATTAATTTCCGATTCCCATTCCGCTGTGGAACTATAACAATTTATAACAATATCATATAATAACAGTATAGTCTAAAGATGTAAAAACAGATAAATTAATTACCTATCTGTATCTGAATAATATGATCCAGTACTAGATCCACTGTCACTTGCCCACCAATCATGTTCATTATCATCTTTCACATTTTCTGAAGAAAAAATTTGATCAGTATATTTACAGTGTGATTTTAATGATACATTCTTGGAACTTCCTTCATCCATTTCTTTTAAATTCAATTGTAAAAATGTATATAATAGTTTCTATATATAAATTTATTTTATCTAAAATAGCGGAAGTTATTGAGGTTAATATTAAGTCTTGAACAAAAGATATTTTTAATTATCGCTGTATTCTATTTTATCCCAAAGTATAAATTATAATTAAATCATTTTTAAAGAAAGGTTATGTGAAAGAGTTAGTCTGAATACTTTAATGTCGGCTCGGGAAAAGTGGGGAGATTTAATGTATCTATCATGTCAGCTAGCAGAAAGAATTTAAAAAATATATAATGTGAAAATTGATTAAACAAGAATTTATTGTATTATTATTTTTACCAACCAATTTTTTACAATTTAATAAAAAAAGTTAAAATTTTAGTAATTTTGTTATTGTTATTTTATGAATGCGGTGTGAATTTTCTTATAAAAGTTGCATGTAAATTAAATCTCTAGTCTAAAAAATATTTCAATACTTCCAGGTACTAAATATATCAAATTTATTTTAAATACATTAATAATGACATATTAAAAAATAAGTCATTTGTCGTATGTGTCACTAAGTAAATATACGAATTTACTTCGCCTGTTAATGTAAAAACATTATCGAATCGATTGCTTAAGTCTAGATGCAACAGATTTTATTTCACTTGTATCTTTTTTCTTATGTGGATCAGGTAGGAAACATTTCCATAATCGTAAGGTCTCATCAGCTCCTGCACTAAGTATCGTAGTACCATCTGGAGACATTGCTAAATGTAAAACACGACTAGAATGACCTGTAAGTTCTGCGACTTTTGTCATTGCGGGATATTTCCAAATTATCAGCTGATTTTGTGCGTATCCATGACCGGATACAATTTCCTTATACGTTGTAGACCATAGTAAAGAGCACACTTGTGATTTGGTATCTACCATATTTAAACATGCACCTGTTGCATAAATATTTGTAAAAAGAATTTTAACAAAAATTAATATTTTTGTTACTATTAGCTCTGTCAACATTAGAATCAACATTTTCTTTACCCGTATTGCAATTCCAAAATCGAATAGTTCTATCAGCAGTACCACCTCCACTAGCAAGAATGCTATTCTGCCAAGGACACCAAGCAAGTGCTTTTACAGCAGCTTGATGTTGATTAAATGAATAAATTGGTTGTATATGTGTATGGCTTTGTGTAGACACTGATGGCCATATTTGAAGCATATTATCATTTCCACCACTTGCTAAATATTTTCCATCAGGTGACCACTTTAAACCACATACTTCTTGAGCATGTGCGTTAATTGTTGATATTAAATGGTCCCTTTGTCTAACATCATGGTGCACTATTTGTCCTGCCCTGTATGAAATATATAATTAAAATTTTGTATCAATATTTATTATGAAAATTCATACCTGCATCCACTCGTCAAAATATGTGAATTCCAAGAGAGAGAACCTACTCTGGCCGCATGACCATTCATTACACGTACTCTTTTTGTTTGACTACAATCCCATAATTCTGTATTTCCTACTGTGGTACCTACAGCTAAATATGGACCTTCTTGAATCCATGCAACAGAACAAACATAATCATTGCCGTTTAATTCAAGTAACTGTTCAATAGTTCCTGTTGCAGCATTCCACAAATATACATTAGCTCCTAATGCTACAGCTAAAATATTACTTTCTGACCAATCAATTAAATTCAGATCTGAAATGTGTAAAAAATTTATGTGAATGTTTAATAATAATATATATATTGAACATCTAAAGATTCTTACAATAATCATCAACAATTTCTGGAGCATCCAATATTCTATCAGGAGTTTGTGGTATGTATCTTGTAGAAGCTTTTATACTTGCTGGTGTTTTACTTTGACTATAAACAACACGCAATGGGTTTTGATAACCTTCTGGGGGAGCTGGTGCTTTATTTTGATAAGACAAAACTCTCATCTGATTAATATCACCACCATGTAAATTTTCTCCCATGAGGCGTTGCATTTCCCTTTTGGAAGGGCTTGCATTGTCTAGTTTTTCTTCATTTTTTTCTATATTTGTTTGTTGTTGAATCTGAAATTAGATCATATGTAATATATTATATCCATAATATTAAATCAATATTATATCCATAATAACAAAATTTATATTAAATAATAAACACATACCTTATAATAACTAAGATCAAAATTTGTTGTTGCTCTTGAAGGAATAAATCTATCACCGCCACTGGGTGTTTTAGCTGGTGTACGACCTAATTATAGTATTTAAAAAACTACATATATTACTATATATTATATAGATGATTGTTCCAATTCTATATATTACAAATATTCTATACTTATATATTATACATATTCTATGCTATAGAAGTAGCTTTCATAGTAGATTTCATACTTGGAGATTTCTTGGAAGTTTTAGAAGGTGTTTTCTTCACTCGAGTATCATTTTTTTTTGTTGGTGTTGGTGTTGGTGTTGGAAATGATCCATTGGTAATTTTTCGTGATGTATTAATACTATGATTGATACTGTATGTATGAATAGTGTTAATGATAAAACATATCTGGCTTCATTTCTAATAAAAAAAAAGGAGTAATAAAATAATACCTGGAATTTGATGTTTCTAAACATTTTTTCTGCCAGCGCGGAAGTGGCCCCTTGATAGTTTCATCCATGCGAGTTAAATTATTTATTTCTTTTATATATTTTAAGTGAGACATTCTAAATGTATTTAAAAAGCAAGCAATAATAACTTAATTTAAAAATATGAAATAATGAATAAATGAGATTCAAAGCATAAACCAACTCTTATGTTATTGCAATGTTATTGCATTTTAAGTAATTGAATTATTGTATTGAAATTAAAATTCATTACACGATAAATTTAACTGTACAAAAAAAATAAAAAAAAATCAGTGTATATGGAACAATAAGAAAATATTACAATGCCGCGTTAAGAAACACCAAACTCTTCATTCATACACAACTTAATGGGTTTAAAATGAATAAGATACTCGGCATTTAAAAAGTCCGTTAAGATTTAAAGACTTTTGTACAATAATTCTTCGATAGAGGTCGCACTAAGAATAAAGGAGCATTTTCAAAAAAAAGCGAGGAAGAAATAATAAAAAATTTAAATAATTTGAAATAAATTTACAATTACTTAAATTTTCCTTTTTATATTTATGTGTAGGTAATATATTTAACTAATTAATTCTAGATATAAATTTTTATTCTAGATATAAATTAAACATACAAAAGTCTCTATCTAAAAAAAAAGTCGCAGTAATATGTTTCTGATAATTCAAATATCAGAAAAATATCAAAATTATTTTAATTGTATAAATTGTTTTATGAATTGAAGTTTTTACATCATAGAATCGTAAATTATACAATTATTTTGTAAAATATAAATACAAATAAAAAATGATGTACCATTTTAATTTCTTTTTATATATTTCAATTTTTCAATTTTTATACTGATGTACAATTAATTGCAATAAAAGAATATATACAAGATATTATAGAATGTATGCACTTCTAAAATTGATTTTTTTACTCGACGAATCGGATCTTACCTATAATACATGCATATGAGTACATTAGTATTTATGTCAAATCAATTTTGCATTACACTAATGTACACAAACTTAAATAAAAAACTTTTAATCTCTTTGCGTTTAACATTTTGATTTATTTTTGCATAAGAAATCACAGCTTTTGTACAGTTATGCAATAGTTTCGACTTTATCCCTGTATACATAAGTTATTATTTATATAACATTATAAATACAGTTTTTTTAAATATTGTGAATATTTTTAAAGATGAATTTTATGATATGCAAAAGAATTGTAATTTTTTTTATATATACAACTGGTTAAGTATATTTCATTTCACTAAACAAAGCATTCTTTAATTTTTCTTCAAATAAATAACTTTGCTCTTGATGTTCCTTTAAATAATTTTCAATCTTTTTCGAAATATAATGCACTTCCATTACTTGACTACGACTATTTTCACAAAATGTTGCCAGTGGTTCAAGTTCAAATTTGTTTTCTTGAAATTTGTTTAACTTTTGTTTCTTTACCATTGGTTCATCAATATCAGTTACTTCTTTATTTTCCTTTTCAATTTCTTGAGTATTAATATATTTTGGTATAATTTTATATTCAGCTAATAGAGTAGACTTTGACCACCATGGTAAAGTTCGAAAACATTTCATATGATTCTTGTTGTAAATTACTTTTAAATTCTTATCAAGAAGATACATCTTTTGCTTAATGATATATAGTAAAACATCAATAAAATTCGATAAAGTTGAAATGCCAGTTGTAAAAAATAAGTTACTTAACATACTACAAGATATTTCCTCACTAATAGAAGTAAATAATTCTTGGCAATATTTTTCTAAGTTTTGACGAAGTACGATACTATTGTTTATAGGCCATGAGTACCTAGAATATATAAAAATAAGTTTAATTAAATTTAAAACAACATTCAATATATTATAAATTATATTCATGATATTTCCTACTTCCACTGAGGTAGCTTAAAAGTAGACATTATTCTTTCTAATTCTGCTTTATAATCTTCACTTTTCCAAATATCATCAAAATATTCATAACTACATGGTAGCATACACTGATTTTTAATGAATTTTTTAAACTCGGGAGCAAATTTTGTATACATAAAAGATTCTGGATCTAGGATTATATCCATTATATGAGAGACTGCTTCATTATGTAAATCAATGATAAATTTAGGCTTCTCCAAAGCATGTAATAATTTTTCATTGAAGAGTGAGTTATCATGTATTCTATAAAAATATTAAAATATTATATATTAAAAAAATATTAAATTATAATATTATATTATATTTATATTAATTTACAATATTTTTAATTATAATACCTTAGCCATAAGTCTTCTGTCAAGCAAGTATTATAAATATTTTGCAAATAATCCATTTCTAGTGGATTTTGAGGTGATTTATTTGTGGACAACCAAAGAATTGCACTTTGTGTTAAATTTAAAATTGTTTCTTCAATTAAAATTTTTTCATGTATGATCGTATAAACTGATAAATATCCAGCTTCCAACAGTTTTTCCAAAGTAGAAACAAGTTCTTCATCATTAGTTTGAAATACTGAGTTACCCAAAATAAGAAATACAAGTGGTATGGACATAAGCTTGTCTCTAGATAATACAGTTTTTGTTAAACGTTTCATAATGAATTTAATTTCTTCAGAAGCATCTGCTATAAATAAAAGAGCATCTGATCCTATTAAATTATGATCACTAATCAGGCCTTCAAAATGTCTGATACAAATGTACAATGTTTCATTTTGATTTGGTTGATACAATTTTATGATAGGATCTGCAGAATAATCTTCAGGATAAAGATACTGATTCATTATTTTTTTATAATGCCATAAAACTGCTTTATTATGTAAATTTGGCCAAGAAATAACTAGTTTCCAATAACAATTGGGATGTATATCGATATTTAAAGATTTCAAGTGTTTTTTAATACCAATGTAAATTATAACATGAATTGGTGCTAAAGATTCAGAATAATATTTACTATCTTTTATCTCATTTTGTTTTTTACACATACTTTTAATAACTAAATCTTGTTCTTTAGTGTAAAATAATTTTGCACATTGTTCACTAGTATATTTTTGCAACCATACCGGTGTATTTTCTAATGCTATTCTTTGTTGCTTTTTCTTCAATGTATTAAATCTCCATTTATTGAAATATTTTATAATTACTCTATTTTTTAATTTCACTGACATTTCATATAATTTTTGTACATTGTCAATTTCTTCCTTTAATAAATTATCACAAATTTCAGAAGTTACTTCATTAAAAATTTCATTGGTAATATCCTCACTAGATACATTGTAAATATGTATTTTATCTACTTCTTCCTTTACTATAGCAGAACAGTATTCTTGTATTATTTCTGTTTCTAAAGTATTTAATATTTTTGTTGCAGTATCATCAATTTGTTTAATAGATTCATGTTCCTCTAATTTTACATTTTCAGTTCTCTCTTCTTGTGAAGGTTTTCTTTTCAATTTTGTTGCATGTGCAAAGAAGTTTGTTGTTTCATTTGGTATAGTTTTATTTGTGATAGTTGCAGGATTTTCAATATTTGGTAATTTTGAAATAGTTTGTAAATTTGAATATGTATTAGGAAATATTGCAGATGTAAAATTTTTCATAAATATATTTCCTTGTGACATTTCTGAAAATATACTTTTATTTGTAGTTGTTGCAAATGGAAATGGAGATGCACTATTGTTTGATGACAGTTCTTGTTGAATGGTAGATTTAAAGAATAGATTGGATGTTTTAGAAATTGTTGATGTTGCATTTGATACATTAGACAAGGTAGAAGATTCACTTGGTTGTTGTTTTGATATAAAGCTAAATGTTTTTGAATCTTTCTGATTTTCTGGTTTTGATGTTATTAATGATGAATTTGTATTTGTTGGAAATTCATTAATCTGTATCTGAGATTTAGGGACAAAGGAGATATTAGTACCAAATTTTATGGTTGTTGAAAGATTTGGATTTTCAATACTTGAAACAAATTTTAGTGTACTTTTTTGTTCAGTATTAAGCATATTTTCATTATTGTTTTGACTTTTTCCAGACATTGATATGGATTGCTCTGTCTTCACATCTTCATCTATAAATACATATGGATCAGTTGAGACAGAAATGATACCCTTATTTTGATCTTCTGCATTAATAGAATCAGGCTTTAAATAACCATGTAAATCAAAACTATTATGAGGTTTATGATATTTGTAAGTTTTTTCTGGCATTTTTTCTCCTGCTATACATTCTCCAATGGATAAATTTTGCACAATTCTTTTAGAATCTATTAAATTGCATGCTCTATCTTGTTTTATATTCAATACAGGCATTGTAAAATTATTTCGATTCAATAATACATGTAACCCATCTTTTGAAACATTTAATCCTACTTGTTCACAAAAATATATAGCTTCATTTTCATCCTCAAAACCCAAAATATCGATTAATTCGTATAATGGATATGCTGTTGATGTAGTCCTGCAATAAGCTTTAACTAGTACTGATAATGCTTTTAATCTCACTTGATTGAAATATCTGAGTAAGATACATGCATTTAAATATGTAGTTTTCTGAACAAGTTTAAAAAATTTATAATAGTTATTTGACTCAAGAGCAGAATATATATCTAATGCAAATTGGACTTCCAATGATTTTTGTATATTATTTGGTAATCTTTGCAAGTCCCACATAAAATTACCATTATTTAAATTTAATAAAATAATATATGCTCGAAATTCAGGTTCATTTTTGCAGGTAATTTCTTTTACTCTTAAATCATGATACATGTATTTTAATGATTGTAAACATTTTGTTAAATTATCAGAATTAATTTTTTTATCAAAAATAGATGGTTGTTCTGCACAAAGTCTTTCGGAACATACTATATGAAACCTAGCACATTGTTCAACTAATTCTACACTATCAGCACAACATAATTCTTGTTGTGTTATATCTTTTCGAATTCCTCTTGTTCTATCCCATAAAAAATGGTACCACTCTCCCAAGTTTGTCCCCTGTTGGTCACACAGATTTACTATTTCATGAAGTAAATAACTCATAGTCATTTTTAAAGATTTTACTGGTCTTAATTCATGTGACATTGGTTCTTCTTGATCTGCAGAAGATCTGGAATATTGTTTGACTGCTGTCATGTGATTTATTTTGTATTCATTAATTTCAAGCTGTTCATATAATGCCACTTGTCTTTTTGATTCACGCATTAAACGTTCTTTCTCAGGGCACATATCAGGGCAAGTTCCAATCATTACTTGAGCTGCTGCTAATATATGTGACTTAGTTTGTCTCATTCGCATAAGTCGATCTCTTGCTTCCAATACTTTATATTTGTCTTCAGAAGTATATGCAGGTTGTTGAATTATATTTTGTAGTTCTTCAATAGTAGCATTTGGTAATAAATCAGATATTTGACTTTCAACTTTATGTTTTTCAGTTTTTGCAGATGTTTTCTCCAATCTTTTTTTATCAGATTTTGGCGTACTCTTTGATTGTAATGTTTTATGTCTTTTAACTAAAGTTTCATCAAAATTACTTCTACTATGTAAATTATACTCAAGATTTGTCATAGCATCTAATTCTGATTTAATCTCATTGTCAGATGATTTTAAAAAATTAGATACAATTTGCGATACATTGTAAATCTTATTTTTTTGTATATCTTTTCTCTTTGTAGATTTTGGTGAAACAATTGATTTTGTCCATTCTATATTAAATTTTTCTTCCAAATATTCACCACTTTTATTATAAGCTACATTTGCCTCTTCTTTAGTAGCATAAACAACAATAATTGTTTGTTTTCTGGGACGAATAGTAATTTTTGAAAGATTCCCAAATCTGATAAAATATTCCTTTGCTGTTACTTTTGTGAGTAATGAATGAGGAACATTTGTACATGTTATTGAGTTTTCTAGATTAATTTTAGCAACATGGGATCTGGAATTTTTATTTAACTGCTCTAACATTGCAGTATCCTTAAGTGCCTGAGCAAATACATTAACTTCTGGTTTGTAAGAATTTCTTGATATTTTTGGCTTGTATTGCTTTTCATACGTATCTGATTGAAAATCTTGATTGGACTTTGTCGCTAAAACTGGCATAGCAAAGGTAAATAAATCTTTTCTTTTGAATCCATCTGATGCCTGTTCAAAATTAATCCCAAAATTAACAGATTTAGGAAGGTTTACTACACGTGGTTTGGAAAATATAAATGTTTTCGAAGTTATATGTTCTGATGAAACTACATCCGTCTGAGTATCTTCTTTATACTCCATTTTTACACTCTTTTTTAAGTTTCATTTAGCGGATGTCAAAAACGTATCACAAACAATGTCTTCTAGTTAGTAACACCACATATACTTGAAGCTAGGTTATGATTGCAATTTATTACATTACTAAAAAACATCACAGTTGGTAATAATGACTTCTCCACAGTTTTATTTAACATGTAGCTCAATATAAAAATATAATAATATACAAATCTATAAATCTTTAGACACATTATATATTATAAATTTAATTTAAGTTTTCAAAAAATTAATAATTTACAATATTATAAATCAACGTTTAACAAGGGTTATTTGACATCGATTAGTACTTCTGAAATATAAAACCGTCCTATTTGATAAAGTAAGCGAAAATATGAAGATGAGAAGATAATTTAGAAAAAAGTTTTTTAAAAATTTCGAGAAATTTGAAATGTTGATTGTTTAGTATGAAACAATTTTCGAAATCAATTTGGCGAAAAAATAATTGGCATCATACTAAATAACGTATAGCACGCAAGAATATTTTCAAGAAAATTTATAGACGTTTTGGCGTCAGAATACAAGTCGATTATGATCAAGTAACTATAGAACGCAAAATATAATTTTTCATCGTGTAAACATGGGTATAATAAATTAAATAAAATTAGTAAAATATGCATAAAGATCTGTGTTTGGCATACTTAGAAAATCTATTTTTTTCTAACCAGAGACTTCATGCGCAGTTATGGAACATGCAGGCAGTTTTCTAATCGATTCTAAAGTTGTAAATATCGCTAATTCCTTACGCTCATATTGGATAAATAAAAAAAATTGAATAAATAATTGAGTAAAAGCATTACTATATTCACATAGACGATTTTAAATTTTGTGCCACTTTACATATTGCTGGAAGCATAAAGTCAAATTTACGTGATAACGTAATAATAACAAATGTAGGGAATTTCTATTTAACAGGGTGCGCTGTTTCGCAATTAGTAAAATAATTATTTGGCCATCGCCAAATAAAGACTGAAAAATCGTCGCAACGTAATTGCGCTAACATGTAACGTCAATTACATTTTAACTGGAGGTTTTTGCGATATTGTACAAGACGTTATTTACGTTATTAGTGAACATCTACAATGTTTCTTGTTCTAGACATTGAGTTCGTACGTCGTCATCAGTTTAATATTATAAGACAATGAACATGGTAGTGTACATTTGATATGTATTTTCCATTTTTGTAGGGAGTAATGATGTTAATATATGTAAAAAATAAATGTTTTGCTGATACTTTGTAAAATGATTATATTGGAATAGCGGAGAAAGTTGCATGATATTTATGAAGTATTATACGTTTGAATATATAATATAACCGGAAAGACTCGACAACGTAACTGATCAGCCATCATCAATTCTTCATTGACCAAGTTTAAATTTTGTAACGGTCGCGTAGGTAAGTAAACATTTTTTTTTTTAAGTATAATACATACTGTATTTTTTCGCGTGCGGCATTTTAATTATAAATTCACGTGTATTATACATACCACGCAAATGTAATCGTGTGTAGGTAGATGGAACCAGTTTGCTTTTACTACACCTATTCTAACCTTCTGTGTTTATCTTTATAATCTCTGATTGTGTTAATTAAATTGTATCCTTTCTTGTATCGGTTGCGCTGATGATAGGTTTACTCAATTGGTCTCACTCACAATATCACAATAAGAACCAATGATGGAAGATACAAATGATTTACTAATGCATGCTTCGGAGTTCATAAAAGGTAAGATAGATTAAAAAAAAAAGATTGTATAGTATTGTGTATAACATTATTAAAACATCACTTATATTTTTTCACTTGTAGATCGATTATATTTTATAACATTGAGGACAATGATAAAACCAAAGAGTACTCCAAACATCCATTATTTCAGTATTGATGATGAATTGATCTATGAAAATTTCTATGATGATTTTGGTCCATTAAATCTTGCTATGTTGTATCATTATTGTCAAAAAGTCAATAAAAAACTCAAAGCAGTAACACTAAGAAAAAAAAAGATTATACATTATACAACTATGGATCCAGCAAAGAGAGTCAATGCTGCTTTTCTCATAGGAAGTTATGCAGTAAGATTTATTAATCCTTAAATTATAAACTCTGACGCAACATACGGATGTTGGGTCTTTTTGATTTTTCTTATTGAGGTTTCTTATTTATAAACATTTTCAAACTTTTGGTGTAAAATTTATTGTTATTTTTTAACATTGTATTAAATATTATATAATATTATACAATCATAATTTTTTATATAAATTATTTATATATGTATAATATTGATTAAATGATAAATGAGTTTACCGTCAGGCAATCACAATGAGAGTCAGGTCAAAATAACCTGGTATTTGTTGAACGAAGATTAATTTCATATTATTAAATATATAATACTCAGAAAACTAAGATTTATCAGTGTATATTTTTTTAGATATTATATTGTAAATGCACAGCAGAAGAAGCATATAATTGCTTAATGAACAGTCCTGACAGTCCATCATTTATAATGTTCAGAGATGCTTCTGTTGGTACACCATGGTTTGAAATATCTTTAATTGAATGTCTTAGTGCCATATATAAGTGCCACAAACTTGGATTTTTTAATTTTCAAGATTTTTGTGTTAAAGAATATGAATATTTTGAAAGAGTTGAAAATGGAGATTTAAATTGGATTGTTCCTGGTAAATTTATAGCATTTTGTGGTCCTTACGCTAAATTTAAAATAGAAAATGGTAAGCTCAGTTTTAAGTTAAATTATGATTATTCTTTATTTTTCTTTAAGTTATTATTCTTATTTTTTTTTCTTTTTACAGGCTATCCATTTCATGCACCAGAATCATATTTTACATATTTCCATTACAACAATGTAACTACGATTATACGTCTTAATAAAAAAATTTATGACGCTTCAATCTTCACAGATGCGGGATTTGAGCATAAAGATTTGTTTTTTCTTGATGGTTCAACTCCAACAGATTCAATCATGCGGCAATTTCTTAAAATAACAGAGAATGCAAGTGGTGCTGTTGCTGTACACTGTAGAGCAGGACTTGGTAGAACAGGTTCACTTATCGGTTGTTACATTATGAAACATTATCATTTAACAGCTCATGAAACAATTGCATGGATACGAATATGTAGACCAGGTTCAGTAATTGGACATCAACAAGAATGGTTGGAGAAGTATGCATCATTATTGAATATTAATCTGTATTTGTGTTTTAAAAATAATACCAGCCTTTCATACTGAAAGATTATAAATTTATTATTTTAGGAAAGAAGCATATCTTCATTCGTTACTAAAAGAACCATTACGACCTCAGAATGGAAATCCAGTTCATGAATATGGGATATATTCTATAATTGATAGACCGAAAACATCATTTTTAACCCATTTAAAAAGTGCACATGTCATGCAAGATAATGTTTCTGGAATTATGCATTGTGTAGATGGAATTACATTAGATGATCATGCAAGCACTAGCACGACTAAATATACGAACTTATCTCAGGGTGATAAATTGAATCAAATCAAAGCTAAAAGAAAACGGTTACCAGCAAATCATACTTTACTTAATATAACTGCTAGGCCATCAACAGTAGTAAAGTAAAAATCTATTCACTAATAATACAACTCATATGGGAGTGTTGGAATAAAGAAGTGTTGTAATTAATACATGAATGTCTTTTCAGTCCTTACTTGAGGTCATTATTACAAACAAAAACTCAGAAGAATACAATTAATACATTAACTGGAAATAAAGAAAAGGATTCTACAAAAAGACTTCTTCCTAGATCTACTACTACAACTATTGTTAAAAGGTCAGAATTTATTTAATAAATTTTTTAATTCATTATTTATTTACACTAATTTTTTCTTCTATTCCATTTTTAGTTAGTTTATTTTACATTCTAACTGTTGAATGTTGTAAAAGTAAATACAAATTCACTGTCTATACTAAAAATTATAGAAACAGTTGGCTAGTCAACAGTACGTGTGAATCAACTCCGCCTCGTGCAAAGTCTACTAAACCAACAACACGACTCCATAATAACAACAATACATCTTCCACTACTCGTCTTACTACAATGTCTGTATCAAAACCAGTGACAAGGGCCAGTATAAGAACTTCTTGTATCACAGAAACACAAACTACAAATTCGTCTGCAAACAATTTGATTACACAACCGCAGCGAGGCATGAATATGATCCTCAGGTCTGCAGATCGAGTAAATCGCTATCATTCTCTAAGACAGTAAGTCTCTATAACTGTTACTTTCAAAAGGTTAAAAAAATTAAGTAACAGTTATATAGCTTTTATTATAAATAATTCTTGACTTGCATTTTTTAAATGAATTTTTTGTATATCGTTTAAAAGCAAGTATACTTATTTTGCAATTTCTTAAATTTTAAATACAAGTTGTATTATAAAAAATTTTAAATCTAATACTGAAAAATCTTATATGGCTAATTTTGTATATTATCTATTTTATGTGGCAATCGTCAATTTATTGTACATATTTGTATATAGAAAGATGTAAAGCTTAAATTTGTCACTACAACTTGCATGCAGCTTCAATGTTCTATTGATCTAAATATGCATGTATTGACAAGAAATGTTTACTTTAAAATATACTGAAGTAATTTTTTGCAGTGCATAAATAATTTCACTAATTCTTTTGGAAAAATTTTAATTTTAAGACAAATTTAATTTTTAACTTTTTTGTATCTTTCATATCATTATTTTCAACAATAATCAAATCACAGTATAAAGATTAAGATTAGATTTTAAATATAATATTAGTTAATTTCTATATATAAAAATTTTTCGTTGAATTGAATTATAAAATATTTGAATTTAAACACTATATGAATCGAAATTTAAAAATTAAAATTAAAAAATAGTCATCTTTTTTGAAATATAATTATTATGTATTTGTTGAAACTAGATAAGATATATTTAAAATTTAAGCAGTAACATTAAAATGGCTAACGAATCGCTTCCATTTCATGACTTGCAGTGCGCGTACGACCAAAAGTTATAAAACTGCATTTATCAGATGACTAACCGATATTCTGAATGGCATTGGAGAAGACAATCCAGTAACTCAAGCATCTCGACAGCGCAGAAGATCTCATCGTTTAAATTCAGTCATTCAGTAAAAGCATCATATTAATTAACAATCTTCAATAATTATTGCTTTTGTCGAGATCAACGAAGATCAAGTAGACTTACAACTGTTATAGTATTTTTTATGATTCACTGGCAAGTTTTTTAAGTACGATTTTCAAGGTAGTTATTTTCTGTTTTTATTTGTAAGATTGGGTTATAAGTTTGTCATAATCATACAATTTTTCCTCGATGTGACGTTTATAAATTCTTCCATATTTCGCAATACGTTGAACGTTTCTAAAATCAAAAAGATAATGTAATTTTATAAAACAATTTACTATGTTATCTTTCTGCTGGTCAGAAAAAAATAATATGATAGTTAAATATCTCCAAATTTTCATTTTGTTTAGTTATTGTTGTTTTTTAATGAATTTATACATTATTTGGCTTTATTCAAATTTTGATTTTATTAAAGTAATAGTGATTATTATCAAAATGGTACTTTCTTTTTTATGTAAAATTTTTTTATCCGCTTTAAATTACATGTATTGCTAAGTATTTGTACAAAATACTAAAATTTCGAATAATGGTTTCTTTGTACAAAATGATTAACGTTTTTTCTTTTTTTTCTTTTTTAATATTTTAAACTAATTGTTAAATTTGATCTTTTAATTAACATGAAAGTTATTCTTACTTTTAACAAAAGAATAATGAAATGACTAAAAACTTAAAATCCCATGCATTCTTACTTATAACTATGTGATTAACATAATTTATTTAATTTATATGATTATTAATATAATTATTAATTCATATAAAAGATAAAGCCCATATCTAAATATAATTCTTGAATTATAGGAAAATGTTACATATACTAAATAGATTTTTAAAGTTTAAGTTAAAGCAATATTTTGTGATGATTATAAATTTTGTAAGTAGATAGATTGTAGAAACTTGTTATTGTACTAATCATATTACATATATAGTATTCATTAATAAGAAATTGCAATTATAATGTATGTATAAAAAATCGATCCATGTATAGTACTTATATAAGTGCTACATGACATAAAGTTATATCATCAGTATAATTAACAATGTGTAGAAATTTTAACTAGATCTTTTAAGTCTTTTTATAATTTTTTTCTTATAATGTTTTTAATACAAAAACATGTAGGCTTGGTGCACACAACAATGTGATACTATATAAAATATAAAATATGTTGTTGAATTACATAGCTAGCATTACCACTGTGGAATTATTGTTTGCATTGGGTTTAAAAAATATCATTAAAAATATTTTGAAATACAGAATTTTTATCATATCTTACTATGAACAAAAAGATAAACACAATTGAGAAAAAGGTATAATTTGGTTTATTATCAATTTTATTATGTATTTGTTTAATACAAATACAATTAGAAATTATTTTAAAATTTCGTTTTGTTATTTCTTTAAAAAATTTAAAGATGCAGTTATATTCATTAACTTTCGTTTTGTAGCATTATATAGAGTGTAAATAGAGAATGTAAGCTTAATATTCAAAATGCTGTTAAATATAATCGTAAAAATAAGGTGATAAATTGTTGCTGTTATTAGTGTTTACATTTTTTCACGCTTCGTTTTTTTAGATAAAAGTTTGCTTTTGAATGTTCTTAATTGTAACAGCATTTATAAAACAAAATATCTAGCTTGATCGATATTTTTTGAATCATTTTTATACTTCTTAATAGTCTTTTTTTAATTTAAATTTTTTTGCTAAATACTATTTGTACACTTTTGCTATATAATTTTACTGTACATCTGAAAATCATCCTTTGATAAAATTATATTTTGAGAAAATATGTTTAAAAATATTATGAAGATGTCACAATATACTTAAAATTTTAAACGTGCAAAGAAAATTGCGTGAATTTTATCATTAGGTTGATTATAGAACAATAACTGAAATGTACTCGTGCGAGGGAATGTATTCATGTATGATTATGAATGATAATGCATAATATGATCTGTGTTGATTTTTTTTTTTATTATTAATTGGATATATATTTAAATTAATAAATATATTGGTACTAATGTGTAATATGTTGAAAGTACGAAAGATTTAATCACTCTAGATATCTTTTAAGAAAATATAATTATATACATAACTTATGTATATATACATATAATGTGTATATACAACAAAAATTGATAAATATTTTAATAAATTGATGCATTTCTTGAAAGAATATCATTGATACATAATGAAAAGATATTTTAATAATGTAAAGTAACATGTTATACGTTATTAATATCTAAGATTTAAAAGAAAGTAAATTTTTTTATCTATTTATCAAATAGATTATAAACATAATTATTTTAGAAAAAAAGAAATTGATTCATTATTAAAAATTGTGAATATCTTTTATGTACAATATTTTCGTGTGTAATTTTTAATTACAAAGTAAAGTTGAATGTAGAATTATGTATGTATCATGATTATTAAAAAACGTAAAATATACTCTTATAATAGTGAAGTGTATATATATATACTTTTATAGAGAAGTTTTATATATGTGTCAGTTTTTAATGAAATTTTACTTAATTTTTATTTTATTTATTGATAGTGTATATATATATATATATACACACAATTATACATATATTTATATATTATAGAAATAGTATATTTATTTTATTTATTATATATCAAAGATATATATTTATATATTATATTTAGTTTATAAAAAATGTTCTCTTAATATATATGTATATTACGTAAGAAAAAAAATGAAGAAAAAAGAAGATAGGTATGTATAAACACAATTTCAATTTTTGCCTTAAATACGCATATGTATCGTAGAAAAATTATTTCATACATTTTATTATAAAACGGAATACAGTTTATTCGAAAATATTTTTCTTCTAATGTTTCCAATTTAATTTATAATATATTATGTCGTAATATTACAAACATAATATTCTTTACTGTATGTTGCATTATTAACAATAAAATGCAATATTATTGCGCTTTGATCGAAAAAATATTTTTTTTCGCTATTATATATGATTATGCTCAACTTTAATATGTATCATTTTAATAACATAGTATACGCCAATGATATGTTATTTAATAAATGCATAAAATTTTTAGTGTTATTATATACTAATTGTTTAATATGCTTTATGTACACTTACATGCAAATACATTTTATAATATGTTATATACTTAATAAAGACTATGTATTTTATCTATTTTTTTATCAAATCATATCCCGTTTATTCCATGTAAGTTGTAAGTCTATTTATGTACTTTTGTATTTTTACTTAAATAATTTTTATAAAAATTTATTAAATGCTTTTTGATTTATATTAAGTATTATAATTGATATAAAAAATAACATTTATATTTAAATTTAATTAAATGATATGTTTTAAATACATTAAAAAAATAAATGTTTCATTTGTACATTTATATTAGTACTATCTCATCAAAAAATATATGCAATATGTAGCAAAGACTACCCAATGGCTAGCAAATCCAAGTTGTGACCATTTTTCAATAGTATGAATATAACTATACCCTGTTTCTTGTAATTCAGATGTATCAAACATAAGGCCTAAATAAGCTAAATGAAAAATTGACAATCCAGAAAACATCACATTTGTTAAAAACACCCACCATGAATTGTCAGTATTATATGTATGTGTACATTTAGCTTTAATACATTTCTTTGATGCAATACATGCATCAAAAATATTAGCAAGCAGAGATCTGAGTTGAAATTCTATATAGGTATAAAATCCAAGACTAAGCAAAACTGCTGCTAATTGAAAATTTAATCCATGTAAAAGAGCACTTGTTAAGTATGTCATTGTTACAGCTCCAAATTTTCCCAAATATTTAATACTGGGACGAAATATATCTAAAAATTTAAATAAAGATACATAAATTATAATTAAATAAAGATATTTTGGAAACTATTAATGATAAAATCTTATACATAAATCGTTCAGATGTTCATACGTACATGTTTTGAGCCAAAAATGCATTGGCACGTTCCAACAAATAACAACATGTACAAGTGAATGTGGCAATTCTATTTGTAATGGTTTTACTATAGTGCTTAATGCAAATGGAAATCCTCCTAGTAATAATAAACTGGATGCAATGTATGAAATGAAGTAATGAGACATTCTAAAAGATAATGCATCCTTATAAGCTAATAACCATCTAAAAATATAAAACCAAATTAATATTTATCATATTATAATAGATAAGATATATAATTATATTCACTGACTTCCATGAAGTGTCGTTGATTATCCATTGTGCCCAACAATTCGAGATAGACAAAAAAAGAAAGGATAATAATGCATACTGAATAATATATAATATCCACCACTTATCCTTAAATTAAGAAATGTTGGGATTTAATTCCATTTGTAATAAATGTATAATATGTAATAATAACAATTGTACATACCTGATTAGCTACATGACGTATTGATATATAATCCTTAAATGATATCCAAGGACCAAATAAGCAAGTGACGCTACAAAACATATATCCCATATAGGCATAAATATTAGGTAGATCGTTTATATCAGATTTATCTATTCCTACACTAATTGTTTTCATTGCTACAGTCATTACTACGCCCCGTACTTTATGCCATATGATAGATGGCATAGAAAATTCACTGAAAGACAAAATTTATAGATAAAACTATATAATTAATTATATTTAAATATATATTTTTAGCATTTGAAAGAATTAATAGCTGTGCAACTTACCAGTATGTTATAACAAAAAGTGAAGGTAAAAATATACCCACATATTTACAATATCTCTTGGGTATATGTAAAGTGACATATGAAATCGTACAAAGTATTAGTAACGTGTATAAACATTCTGCTACATAACGATAAATGTTACATATACCAATCAATATTGACAATATATGAAAAGTTTTATGCGATATATGTTCTGTAACATTAAATTAAATATCGGTTGTTCAATTTTATATACATATTGTTTTTTTATTATATTCACAGATTTATTTATAAAAATATATCTTACGAGAATATGCACACAATCTAAATATTATGGTAGAAATAAATAGTGGCAGTAGATATAATACTGTATCGTAAATAGTAGGTCGAAGACAATACTGATATAATTCAAATAATGTTTCTTTTTCCACATCTTCATATTCGTATTCATATTCCACATCTTGTAAATAATCGTGTTCCATAAAATCGGGTTCGTCGTCGTAAAAAACTGGAACCTCTAGTTTGTCCATCACAATCGAAATTAAATTGCCGGTCTTTCGCTATCATGTCAAACGTGATGTCAACGTTCTATCATTAACTAAGGATAGAATAGATCTTACGTTCGACGCTTTTTCGTGGCTCACATATTGCGAGTCATCTAACCCCTTTACCATTTTTGTGTTACAGTATTAAATATTCGGTATAATAATATATATATACCGCATTAATCAGTTTCTTTGGAAATAAAAATTTGCAAAATTCTAGCGTTTCAGTGCCCATGATTTGATTCTCAAAAACAACTTATTAATGAGATTAATTTATGAAATTTTATGATTGTATCTTTGTTATTAATCTCCCAACTTCCTTTTTATATTTGATTTGACTTATAAAAAAACACATATAGAGAAAAATTTGGAAACTCTTAATAGATCGAATGACTTCTTGTTGAAATTAAAAAATATAATATATTTCAAATTAGTTTTAAAGTAATAATATGCATGAAAAACACTAATTCCTTTTAGATCAGCATTTTGAAGCTCGAGATACAAAATCGAATTTAATTTATTGTTAACATTGAGCATATTCACATTTTTCTTTTCATTTATTAAAAAATAAATAAATAAGCGCAACTAAAATGACATTCATGTTTTATTTGTTTCATTTACCTTATATTCATTGATGTTTACATTTAAACTAACAATATTTAAATATTTAATATTTTAATAATAAAAATGAAATGTTGAACAGTATTATATACAATGAAATGAACAAAATAACTTATTTTTCTTAAATATACAATTTTGTACATTGTGTTACAATTTTTTCCTTTTCCTTCATTTTTTTTGAAGGGATAATATTTTTAATGGAAGTAATCTTCCATTTTAATTTCAAGATTTTGGATTAGAATTAGGCTCAGGTAACAATCCTAAAGTTTGTAAGCAAATTTGTGCTGCTTCTGCTTTAGCTTGTTTTTTATTTGGACTCACAACACTTGGTTTATATTCAATTCCATTTACTTTTACCTAAAGATACAGTATCGTATATAATACGTATATATTATATATTTTAGAGAAAGAAATATGAACTACATACTTTAAATAGGAAATTTTTTCTGTGATCTGGTCCACATTCAAAACATAATTCATAAACTGGTGCGCCAAGTTTTCGTTTTGAACAATATTCACCCAATAATGATACAGGATGTTTTCCTGTAAAATATTGAATTATTCATATTACACTAAATTGTTAATTATATAAATTTTTATTATAACATACCTTCCAACGTTTTAATTGCTGGTATTAATGGTTTCGTCGCTTTTCCTACTTTTTGTCCGATATCTTGCTCGGAAACTAGACCCCGTTTGTCCAATTTTACTTCAAGCTGCAAGGGCTCAAGAGTACCTTCTTTATTTTTTCCCAAACCCTCCCCTGGTCGCCAACCCATCTTCTGAAGTAAAGCCATACCCATCCCACCCGAAACAGGCTGTGCTGATACTAATTGGTCCTAAATAGTTTGTTAAATTAAGATATAATGAATTTGATAGTGTTAACTTTAAATTAAAAGTTAAAAATGAGAGAAACATATGATTAAAATTAATAAAATAATTTGGTTATTCTATATGTAATCTTAACATATTAATTGATTGTATAAAGTTCTAATACTTTTGGGGTGAAAATACTTACCAAAAAAATCATAAATTCGACATCACGCCGCTGAAGTTGTTTCTTCTCTGATGTAGCTATGTGCCTGTAACAAACCCTCAGGTGGATGCAGACTAATGCTAAATATCCCAGCTTTATAAACATAAGATACACTAACTGCAGATGAAGTCCTGTGATAGGAAGCTGATGATAATTAGCAATAATCTCACAAGAGCCCATTATATAAATGAATTTCATGTAATCAATATTCTTAAATACTTCTGTAATTTAATTACTAAGTTTTCTTAGTTACTGAGTATAAAGTATAATTATATCAATTATATAGCTTAATTATGCAACACAAAAATGTATAAAATAATGGCGCTCCTGTGTCCATGCAGGCACAGAATCTACTTCTATATAAGAAATAGTCTGTGCCTACATTACAGTTCTTATCAGATCTGCTATATACCAGAGTATAGCGTTGATCTTGATAGAGATCTGTACCTGAAAACTTGTTACAGGCAATATCAGTATCAGGTAATGTATTGTTAACAAAGAAAGAAAGAAAAAAAAGAAAGAGAAAAAGAAAATATAAAATTATATTATGTAACGTCTCACTAATATCTCAGATTCATCATTTTATCAATCCTAATTACTAATTTGGTTACAAATATATATTTAATTAGATTAAATATTCTTATCATAGTTGCTTAAAACAATTTTCTATAATTTAAAATTAAATAAATATAAAGAGACAAATAAGATAAATTATTCGGTAAATACATAATACTGTTACCTTACGAGCCCAGGCTTGATAACCTGAAGTGAGCTCTGCAGGTGAAAGTACTTTGGCTCCTGTACTGCCAGTAAATTGACCTGGTATTTGTTTACTTTCAGCCCAAGTCTTCATCTATCGTATATGTAATAGATAAATTACAAATGTATGATAATACAGTTTTGAATTGCATATAACAATACCTCATTCTGTGCTCTATACATTTCATTTTGAGCACATACATCATTTGGATTTTCCCTTAATTTTCTCATTGCTGCTAATCTTTGAGATACTATTGAACCAATATCTATTGGCTGAAAATATAATGTACATGTGAATGCAAATACATGACAATGTCTTCTATTTTCCGTACCTCTGTTGTAATTGAGTGAGAAAAAACTGTTGATTGCACTGGATATATAGATGTAGTTGAAGATGTTACAGCAAAAGATTCAGTTGGAGCAGAAGCTGGTATAAACTGTTTTTTTGTTTCTGTTTTTTTTGGAGTAACTGGTATCCATTCATTTTCTACAATAAGAAATTTTTAATAATGAAATTAGTTTAATTATAATAACTAAAACTTTACCGCTTTTTCTGTGATGTTGTCCACTTGATACAGGAAATTGTAAGCGTAATTGATTTGATGATTCTATTGTTTTTTCTTGGAATGTTTTGGTTGGTAATTGCTTTGCATCCTAAAATGTAATATTTATAAATAATTTATTAACATTTACACACATATTATATGTATTAAACTTACCTTAATATTCATAATAATAGAATTAGGTCGCCCTTTGAGTAAAAAGGGATGATGAAAACCTTTCTCAGATTCACTTCCATCTTCTTCTGAAGAAATACTTGAAAGTTCTCCTAATGCTTCAGATTTTGATAATGATTTACAAAAATCTAAAATGAAAAAATAAATTTATTCATTATTAAAAAGATGATTATTTTTATTAAAATATATACCTGTAAGTTCATCTACTGTTTTCCCTCCAGCTTGTATTGCAGCAATAGCTTTATCTTGTTGTACCAATGGTAATGTTCCTTGTTTAATCATATTTATTGCATTTCTTCTTGCTATTTCTAACAATTTTTTTTTATCGATTTCTATCCGTTCCCTTATAAGTTTTAAAAATTAATAAATTACATATGTATTAAGAAATCAATATATTGATATATACAATTTTAAAAAATGATACTAACTTTCGTTCTCTACTTCTGCTTCGTCCACGTACATATTTGTCTCTGCTTCTATCATTACTACGACTTCTGTGTCTTCGTCGTTCTTTACACTTCAAAGATTCTCGTTGATCGCTATTTCGATTTTTGTTGTATCTATCTCGACTTTTATCTCTTCGTTTATCTCTTTCTTTGCTTCTACTTCTATGTGAACTCACACGTGAACGAGATTCAGATCTTCTTTTCTCTTGAGAATGACAATTATGAGTATTTCTGTTATCTTTGCTCATTGTAATTTTATTGTTATAATTATATGCTTTTTGTTTGTATTCATTATCCATATATAATTTCGACTTTTCTATTCCTTCTAACCTTTTATCCACATCTCCTAATCTTTTTTTTTCTTTTTCCCTCAGAACTAATCTTAAATCATTTCTAGCTGTTACTTCTCCTTTCATAGGACTCAATACTCTATTTTCCACTTTCTCTAAAGTTGGACTCAAAGAAGTACAACGAATTGGACTAGGACTTAATGTTGGAGTTTTATTATCTGTACTACTATCAGATAATTCACCATCTTCCATTCGAGCTGCCTTTTCCTTTTCTTTGTTTTCTATTTCTCTAACTGTATCATTATAAACTGCACTATTTTTAAGATCTTTTATTAATATTTTCCCTTGATGTCCTTGCTTTGATTTTTCTATGTATAAAAAAAGATATTACAATAATAACATATATATTGATACATATAATAATTATTTAGTTATTATTTTTCTACTTATCCCTTGATATCAAATTAACACAATGATACAAAATTAATATCTACAATAAAAAATGAATAGATAAATTTGCAGATTTTTTTATTGACAATAAATGAAATTTCTACATTTAATTGTGTATAAGAATCACAGAAATTTTTATATATGCATGAATCAATTTTGTATCTTATATTTTTTTTAGTTTTGTCTAACATGATCTTTTGGATTTTTTACAAAACTATAAATGCCTATACACATCTTTAAAAATGTTGCATTGAATCCATAATCATAGTAATAATAATTATAAATAATAATAATTAAAAAGCAATGTATTGTCTGTTAAAGAATTTGAAAGTAAATATTATTCACAGCTTTGGTAATATATTTTGTTACTAAAAATGTCATATAAAAATATCATATGTATATGTATAGATATTTTTTGAAATATTGTGTAAAATTGACACAAGAGAAACTAAAGCTCCATGAAAAAATGTATTTAAATCAAAACTATATTTCAAAATCATTTTTGATATAAATAATACAAACCAAGAACTTTAGATATTAATTGTTCTTCAGAATCATCTTGAACCTTCTTTGAAATAGGTGGCAATTGAGGACTATCAGGTTCCTTTTTAAACACATTTTCCAATTCTGGATCTTTTTTAATTACCAATTTCTCAAAACTTTCTGACTTCTCTATATCTTTTTTTTCCGAATCATTATCTTTGTTATTTTTCTTTTTTACATTGTTGCATGTATCAAGTTTTGAAATTTTAGTTTTGGGCTCATCTGAATCTGTTGATTTACTTGAATGATCTTCATGTCTTCGTTTTTTCTTTTTATGTTTTCTTTTCTTTTTAATATCTATTTATTATAAAAACAAATAATGTTTAATTATAATATATATGTATATATATAGACTTACCTATCTCTCTAGTTATTAATATTATTTTAATATTACTTTCAAGATCGCTGTTACTGTCAGAGGAATTTCGTTTTGATTTTCTTTTATGTTTTTTATCTTTATGCTTATGTTTTTTCTTGGTCTTTTTTTTCTTGAACTGAGATTTAGAAAGCTTTTCAATTTCAATATTTGTGTTTGAAACTTGTTGATCAACATTTTCTGACGATACTATTTCTTCTTCAGCAGCATCGAATGTGCTAAATAACTCTGTTAAAATTTCATTTGAAGATTTTTCTGGCAGTCCAGGTTCCGGCTTAATTTTTATTCTATCAACACCAACAGTTGTAATTAGATTTGCGATATCAAATAGATCCCCCATCGCTGATATTAATTTTAATTGTAATGAATTGCAAAGAGCACAAATATTGAAATTTTTAATAATTTAATTTAAAGTATTAACATCAATGAGAGTCCACACGTCTATACGTCACACAGTAGTCGCCATTTTAACATCAAAATCACAACGTCATCTTGATAATTAAAATTGTTTAAAACACATTTCATGTATTTTCAATTAAATAAATAAGGATATATCATGCTAAGAATGATATAATTATTTTATTTTTCATTCATATCATAGTTATATGTTTTATAGTTGTTTATTGGTCTCTTTAGATATGTGTATATATATCTCTGGCACACACACACATATATATATATATATATACATATATTTAAATTTCATTTTAAAGAATTAAAAACATTGTAATATATACATATAAAAATATTACATAAAGAATAATGCATTAAACTATAAATTGTAAATTTAAAAATATACAATATTATATACAATAATGTTAAATGAATTTAATGGGAAAAATTTGTCAAATGTCATTTAAGGGTAATAAAGATAGTGTATTCATTTATTATATACGGTTACTACAAAAAATTTTATATCTAATATATATTTCAATGAAATTTATATCCTATTTTCGACATTTTACAAAAAACTACTTTTAGAATTTTAATTATTTTTACAATACATACAGATATATATAATATATTAAAAAAATTAAAACAAAAAAGACAACGCATTAAACATGTAAAAAAGAATTGCAATAAGTGGAAAACTAATAATGAAGATGTATAAATTATTTTAAAATATAACACTATATAAAATTTAGTAACTTATATAATTAATCATTTTTGCGGAAAAAACAAATAAGTGCATTACTTTTACTTCATGTGAAATAAATTTACTTAAATAAATAATAGCAATAATAATTAAAATTTTGGAAATATTAAAATCTGTTTGTACTTTTCATTCGCATTTGTATTTTTAAATAACAAAATCTTTTTTATACAAGCTAATATTTTCGTATTACTCCATGTTTACATAATTACCCATTTTAGTCAACGCATAAATTGTAATGGAAATGGATGATACAGTTGTAGGCAAAAGTTTGTATACCTAGAAAATATACTTATAATGATTCTGTATTTTGTATTTTACATTTAACTACTTTCAATCCACTAATAAATATATTTTAATCATTGAAAATATACAAACTACAAAAATCAAAATTGTATTGTACTATACTTTGCTTTATTATTTTCTAAACCTTACACCAAATACTTATTACAAATGCATATGATACATATTTTTTAATCCTAATATACGTATATGTTAAGAATGAATTTTTTAAATATAGATATGGAGAATTGGGCGATGTATTGTACATTATAAAGTAATATATTGATGCTCGTATTTGTACATTATAAACTAATATATTGATGTTCATAACATCCATAGTTAGAAAAAGTTAGAGATTTTAATTACGACCATATGAATTTTTTCCTTATTTAGATTGTTTGAAAGTAAAATTAAATATTTAATCTGGAATCTCTGAAATAAGATAGTTTATGGTTGTCTAATATTTATATGATTTTAATCAAGTAGCTAGTTGAGAAAGACATATTTACGTGTACAAATTATCCAACAGGTTAAGTCAGTCATTTATAAACAAATACATATGATTTAGGCGATTGAAACTGAATTTATAATTACACTTTTTTGAAGATTATTTTAATGCTACATTATAATATTATTTTAGTTGCTATATCATATCTTTAAGATAATGAATACAGCAAAAATGAATATAAATAACGCAATAAATAAAATTACAAAGCAAATCCTAAATAATTAATGCTTTTTTAGTCTGATATAAATTGCTAAATTGATATTCTGTTATCAATTGAACAATTGACTAGTATTAATTCGTCAATAGCTAAATCACATGTTTTACATGTTTTGTTTATTAGCATTGACTTGACTCGTTGGATGGAATATAATAAGCCGTTTATATTGAATCAGTTTGGCAAAAATAATTAAAAATAAAATTCGAAGTACAGAATCATCATAAATCTATCACTTATGTATGCAACGTATTTTTATCTATGATTGTTGGAATACTATGAGAAAAAGGCTCGTACAGTCATAGTAACAGGTTCCCTGCATACTGCACAAGTTGTCATGCCAGGAGCACATCTTACACACGCAACCATATGTCCACATGGTAAAAATACCACCCCTAATTCTCCATTATAACAAATTTTACACATCCTTGCATCATCCATGGATTTACTACTTTGTGCTTTCACATTTGATACATTGTCTACACTTTCTTTTATGGGTTTTGTATTGTTGGCAATATTCGAAATATCATTTTCTTGAGAATTTGATTCTGAATTGCTTCCCGTTTCCTCCTTCTTTTCTACGTTTGTAGGTTGTACTTTTTTAATACAACTAGGTAAATTCATTTGCATTGTTTCCTGAAATAAATATAAATACAAATAAATATGTAATGGAATTATTAGTAATAAGTATGTCATAGAATATAAAATTTGTGTATTTACTTCTTTAGAAGGTGGAGATACATGCTGGCCTGTTATTTTATTTACATAATCTTGCCCTTGAACCATTAATAAATAACAACATTTAGAAAACCATCTTGCATGTTGTTCCCAAGGTTCATTATCTGGTTCCCAATCTTTTAAACCACCTCCACAGTGATAACATAAAGTTTGATCACCACTCCCAGTATAAAAAAAGCCTGCACTTGCTAGTTGTTCCTTTGTTTGTGCCATAAATTTTGGCCATGATGCAAATGTGCGTAATCTAGCATCATAACTAACATATTGAGGATGCACTGGTCCCTTAGTCCTTCCAATACCTAAGCAGCCAAGTTTAGCTGTACTTGGTAGTTGTAATTCCGTTGAAAAATTATGATTATCAGGACCAGATGTAGGTCGATATTCAAGATCATAGGGACCACATACATCCCTACTTCTAGGTCTTGGTGGTATAACTGAACTGGGATCTACTCCGATTGGTACATTGCCACAATTAATTTTGCGAATAAATCTGCATCTTGCAGACCATCTCTGATGATCAACCATGGGAATATCTCCTTCTACCCATTGACCTATTTCTACCTGACATTCAAAACATTTCACTTTATCATCATCACCTGTATAATAGAATCCTGCAGCTGCAAGTTTTTCAGGTTCAATGAATGGTACAGGCCAATTTTCAAAACTTTGAAGTCTAGCTGCTTCGAAACGATAATCAATACTATCTACTTCATCATTGTATATATTAGTAGTTACAACAACTGGAGGTGATAAATGTGCATTTGCTGAGGGCTTAAAGTTCGAATCATTTCCTAAATCCCTGTGCTTAATAATATCAGTCATCTTATTCGAGTTATCGTTAGAAGTGTCTTCAAACCTATTGGAAAAAATGCAACTAGTAAATAACATATTAATTGTGTCTTTACTTCTTTATTCTCTACTTCTAATTATTTTTTTCCTATTCTTTATAGTTGCAATTTTCATAGTTCGCATATATAATTGCAATTTCATTCTATTAATAAAAGCGAGTAAAATTTATTTTCAATTACATATAATGGAATTGTAAAACATATGGGATATGTATGGAATATATCACTTGTATCTGAGCAAAAAGAAGCGAGAGAAGCGAAAGAATTCTAAACTCGCTAGATGATTGAAATGTCATTAATAATCGTGAATGATGGAGTATGATGAATTTTTTCTCAGTGCATAACGTTGAAATGACGCAGCCTACGTATCGTGCACAAACGAGAACTTCCGAGACTCTCTCTCTCTCTCTCTCTCTCTCTCTCTCTCTCTCTCTCTCTCTCTCTCTCTCTCTCTCTCTCTCTCTGTCTCTGTCTCTCGATTCTTAGAGTTTACACAGGCTCATGCTCTGTTCACCGCCCTGTGCAGCGTTGCCGCTTGTATGGCTCGTATTTTAACTTCTCTTGTTGCATTACACTACTGTATACTCATGAGAATGAAATGTATCGACAAGGGCGTAGCAACTTATGTTTCCCATTTTTTAATACTATAATCTCATGTTAGAAAATTTGATCGTATCACTAAAACGTACTACTAAAATACAAGCATCTAATCACTTTGTCTATCTTGCCACTTTGAAACTTTTACATGAAACCGAAATAATCTAATGAATGTTATCTAATGCATATAATAAGTACTATCATATATCAGTTATTAAATCTGACTAAAGAAAAAAATTAAGATTTTGACTCTTTTAATATTTTGATACTATTACTTTACACAGAGCATGTTAAACCCTTTTGTTACGCATATATTGGAAATCTATAATAGATTTCTCTCTTATCTGCAGAGCGCATATTTTTCAATCTTGTTTATATTCAAAAGTTTTGAAATTATTGAAATATATAATGAAATGTGTGTACAACAAAAATGTAATTAAAAGAAATATATACATGTATAACACAGTTAATTGTTATTAATTCGTTTAACTCCAAAACAAATTTTTTTCAAAATATATTTTTTAATGATACATAATATAATTTTTAATGATAATGATAAGCCATAAAAATTTAATAAAATTTGACATTATTAAAACTTCAAAAATTAATTAATTAATTTCTTGTATTATATTGCTAAATTAAATAAAATAAATCGTAAACAAGATACACACACATATATATGCACATATATATCGCAGAATTAAATCTTAAAGTTAGTCTGAACTTTCACATCTGTCTGACTGTGTGACGTTTGGCAACAGTGTAATCAAGAGTAGGAAAGGGAGAATACAACGGAAGTTGGTATGCAAGAAAGATAGACCCAACAAACATAACTCATCATTTCTTTGCAATAAAAGTTAAAAATTGCCTTTCGAGAATTGCTATACACTCGTAGCATTCATATATTATTAATATTTGAAATATTTACTGGAAAGATAAAATTGCTGTATAATTTATATAAATTTTACGAATTTGTGTGTAAATCATTAACTAAGAGTCACTATGTTTTTTCGCACAAGCAAGAAAAAGTTCCTAGCTTAACTTTTATCGAGAAATATCATACTTGTACGATATTACCAAGCAAAAACGAATTACAAAGATAACGTACCAATGCTAGGTGTCACGTTTGGCTTCGTCAATTTGTCAAATTCACAAATAACACTATCATACAATATTCAAACATTCATTCAAAGCGTCTGTCCGACACTGAACGTGGCAGTTTTACGTCTTGCGTCCCACGTCCAGCTAGGCATTTGACCATCGATGCTACGCATGCGCGACAAACATCCAGAGAGGCGGATAATACGTTTACCATTAGCCATCTAGCGCGAAATTTAAATGAACAGATTCTTAGCAGTAGTTTACATTTATGCTTTATATTAAGTATATTTAGTATATTTAGTTCCATATTAATTTAGAATTATTCTACATTGTATACTGTAATTTCTATATTGTACACAACTTTTTTATATTAAGCTACCTTTATAAAGACATTTTTCAATATTTAATTTTCTATACGACGGTACTGGATACAACCATATAACGATTAATTTTTAATATCAAGTGGATTTTCTCCCAAATAATCTCTTTCTACTGTACTTTCCTTAACATAAATCTTCCTACAATGTAACTTGATATTTATCTTCCATCTATTCTTTTTTACATTCTTTCTTTTCTGTAGGCTAATCAACTTTGTTTCCGACAAACAATCTAATCTTATTCCAACAATTAAACAACTCTAATTCCAAAAAGTCAATCGATATATATAATTAGTTGTGTACAAGCAAGAGTTCTTCTGAGAACAATCAGTCAATTGATTTATCTGTCGATAAATAAGCTGAGTTTATATTCGATGAATGGAATTACTGATATTTTTCGATAAGAGAATGAGACTCATAAATCGAACCTCAATATCTTCGTAATCCAATCTTGCAACATGATACAAGAAGACGTAGTTTACACGACATATATTATATATTTAATGCAATATTTTGTAATTTTATTATTATTATATTAAATATACTTGTGTAAATATATTCACGCAAGCTATTAAATGAAACGATTAAATATACATGCAATTAATTTTAGTATATATATATATGAAAACAAAATAGAAGTTCCAAACAAAAAGTATCTTTCAAATGTTTTGATGTATTCTTGAAAGATAGCAATGACGTTTTTTTCATAAACCTTCTAACCTTCGTTCTATTTGATTTAAACAAAGCAATATGTAATAATAATAGTCGTAGAAAAGGAAATTTTCTCTTTGTATGTTTTTAATTGTATATTAATTCATACAATTTTTGGAAATTTTTTTTAATTAATAATAATTTAATAAAATATAATTAGCTTAAACTTTTTGCATTTCAACATTTCTATAACTTTGCTTATTTCTATACACATAATAGAATTTTTATATAGTAGGATCAAATTTAAAATAAGATGTAAAAAATCATTTAATGAATGAATATACGTACTGTTATAAAAAGAATATGTTCATGAGAAAAGAATTGATGCATTTGCAAAATATTTCATGATTTCTTTCTATTTATCTCCGACACATTTCAAGAAGTGCAATCAGTTCTTGGAATAATCTTAACTGTTGCTTGCTAAGTCAGTGTTTTAACAATGAGTCAATCAAAAATGAAGATGTCATTATAAAATGTCATTATATATAAAAAAATATATTAAATTACAAGAAAAGTATGAATATTATATTACAGTTACATAAACTATAATATTGTATGTAAAATATCTAATATAATTTCTATGATATTTTTAACATTTTTAAATTTGATATATTCAAATAAATATATTACAAAATATAAAAATATAAAATATAAATTTATTAGATAAAAATATAACTTAATGATTTATTATAGTATTTATTGTAAAATTATTATAATGAAATATAATTATAATGAAATTGCATGTTTTAAAAATATACGTTAAAATTTGTACTTACCTTCAAAAGATTTATACACTTCACAACATCAGTGTTGTAATGACATTGATGTATCAACTATAAGGATTATTTATATTATCGTATAATCTAATCAAAATAGCTTATCTTAATTTTAAATTGAAAGTGTACTGATCTAATTGAGATTAGATCTAAATTAGATAAAGATTTGATCTGATTTTGTCTATACAAAATATTTTATTTTTGGTGATATAAATAATAATAGTATAAGATATAAATATCTGAGAAAATCAAATTTATGAACACGTTATAAGTCAACTAAAAATTAAAGTTTTCAAATATAAATGTTTAATTATGTAAAAGAATATGTATTTAATACTTACTAGATGCTTTAAAATTTTTATTGCAATCTAATTTTGTATTAATTCAAGAACTTTCTCTTTTGTAAAATTCATTTATATATAGTCCAATGTAACCTATCATTACTATTTTTAAATTTCTTCAGGGATGAAAATTCCTTTCGTAAGTTTTTTTAAGTTGAGTCTTATAATCGAAAAAAGATATTTATATTCCAGAGCTGTTTTCAAATTTCAATTTTCAATTTTTAATAAATTTATAAATAATTAATATTTACTATTGTAATCCAATATATGCAGCAATACAATGCAACAGAAAATATTAAATATTAAATATCCATTTCATTTATAGTATATAATTAAAATTAATACAAATCAACTGCTCACGGAGTTATTATAAAATTTTATTTACTTAGACAAATACTATAACCATTAAAAGTAGTAACACAGTTTTCTATTTAATAAATACTATACTATTAATTTGTTTCTTTTTCACTATTTTTTGATATGTACTCTTAATTTAACAAGTCTAAATTATAAATACAATGATATATCCATAAAATTTACAAAAAATATATTTTTATACATATACATCTTTACTTTATATCTTTATTATAAATAAATTTAAAAACGCGGTCACTAATATTTTATTATTTGATTTATGATAAAAATGTACGAACAGTGGCTTTAATTTCTTGTCGACACATTAGGCAGTGTGTAAGAGATGGTGCACAATAAACACAAGTTGCTAAGTGTCCACAAGGTAAAAATACAATAGTTGTTTCTCTATCCATGCAAATTTTACATAAACGAGCTTCTTTCAATTTTCTATTTTCTTCTTCTAAAGCCGCTGAAAAAATAGATAGTACTTTTCATTAAATTAAGTACATAATAAAACTTGTTATAGATTCAGTTGAAATTAATAATTTTATAATCAATCTTTTTTTTTATATTTATTACTTACTAATTCCTTCAGAATCAGATTTTTTATTAGTTTTTTACCTTTGTCAGTAGATACTGCAGAGTTCTCATTTTCAGTTGAACATACTTTAGATTCATCTTTTCTGACACTATTAAACTGTTCTACACCACTGTTGGGTAGCTCCCTTAACATATGATTTAAAAAAATCATTAATTCTGCGAGAAATGGTTATGTAGTTAAGAAATAATTTTATTTGTCACTAACCTTATCATTTCTTCTGTAACCTGATCACAAAGAACATCTTCTATAAGTTCATCAGAATTTGTATATGGTGTTCCTTTTTCTTCCATTCGCTTTTTTAAAGCTCGTTTTACTCTACCCACATGTAATCCAATTTCTAATGCTTCCTAGGAGAAAATGTTACTCATAATTGTAATGAATAAATTTTAGAAATAATCAAATATGTGAAATATATTACTATCGCTGGTGGACTCTCTAATAACTCATTCAATGTTGCTTCTGTAATTTCTGATGAAGACACAGGAGGTTGTGTTTCAGCTGTATCCGTGCTTTCATCTTCTGGCACACCTTCAAAAATCTATATACATATAAAATAATTTAAAACTTTTATAAGATATTTGATGTAAATATAATTATATAATATTTACTGATTCATCCAAAGATGGCCTGCTGTCAATGCATTGTTTAATAAATTCTTGTCCCCTTACAAGATTCACAAATCCACATTTAGGAAACCATCTTGCATGTTCAGTCCATACATCATCAGTTGCTTCCCAATTTCGTAAACCACCATCGCAATGAAAACATCTAACATGATCACCAAATCCTATTATAATATTTCGTCACCATTAGCTGAATATCATTTAAAATTATTATACTTTTATTCTGTACGACTTATACCATCATAATAAAATCCAGCACTAGCTAATATTTCAGGAGTTTGTCTAATATTTGCTGGCCATCCACGAAAAGTACTTAATCTTCCTTCATATGTTGCACATTGTGGTTTTTTAGGAGTTGTGTGTATTTGTATTCCTAAGTCGGAGAGATTTGATGTTGCACCAGGCATTAATTTTACATTAGTTAAATATAAACTATCTAATGAAAGAAGTTTTATTAATAATTTTGATTTAATTAATTGATTAATTTCATTAATTTAATTTTAATTAAAAAAACAAAATTAATAGTTGTTTTAAAAATAAAAAAATATACTTTTTTGCTTGTTAATACCATCTTGATGAAGGTAGAAATCACAATCAGGAAATGTATCTCTGTGCTTTTTCTCGGGATCATCACCAAGTTCCCATTTTTTTAGAACACCTCCACAATATGTACATTGTACCTATGAAAGATATAAAATAAATTTATATGTTATATAAATATTAGACAGTTTTATTTTTTAAATGTGTCATTACCTCATCATCTTGTTGAAGATAGTAAAATCCAGCTTTGGCAAGTTTTTCAGGTGATACAATAGAAGAAATTGGCCAATTAGTAAAGGATTGTAACCTTTGTGACACAGTCCTATATTCCTTTTGAGGTTCTTTATTTTGGCAAGGGCTTGTAGACTGGCATTCAACTACATTATTATCCTGTGATGTTTCTGTCGATGATGATGATGCTAATCCAAAATTGTTAATTGGTATCAAAGGGACATTGCAAGTACTAGAAGGATTTTGAACAAAAGGGCAAGTAGGTTCAGCTAATCGATGACGGGCTATAGCTTGGTCACCATAATTCCAATCAGAAATTTTTACTCCACATAAAAAACATTGTACTTCTAAGGCATGTCCAGTATAGTAAAATCCGGCTTTTGCTATTCGAGCAGCATCGACAGCGGCATTTACTGGCCAATCAGTAAAAGTTCTCAGTCTATTTTCTTCAATGTTCATTTTAAATATTTGTTTACATCTATTTGAATGTTACAAGGAGAAAATAAATTAAATTTTATCGAAGTTTTATATTCGACTTATAACGTAGAATGGATTATTGTTTTGAAGGCTCCATTACTGCATAATTAGACACACTGATTTGACATAGAAATCATTTATATAGCACATTACAACGTGTAGACCGAAGAACACTGATAATGATAATGAAGTAGAGAAATATAATTAAAAACTTACATTTCTACGCGTGCGCAATATTTCAGGGCCGTCCTTATTAGGATACCTATATATTTTGTTTAAACTTTCGTTAAAATATACTCGGAATACAAGTTAAAATCTGTTATTTTGTACGAACGAAAATTTATTTGAAATAAACTTGAAATGTATATATATTATATATATGTATGATGTTATCTTAGTTATAATTAGTGGAATGTAAGGAAACCATGGATCGGAATTCAAATAGTATCAGCACTACTACTTTTATCTTGTGATGAGTTATAAGTTATAGTTACAATATAAGATCAAATCTTTGAAAAGTTAAAGTACTTAATTTTTACAATATAACAATTCAAGCAAGTTATTAAGCATTCTATTAAGCACTCAAAATGTTGATATTAAAAAATAAAGTAAGTTGTTAATAAAGTAAATTGTTTATTTTTTATATATATGCTTTTAAATAGAATTACTTCATCATTTCATTATAATATATATATATATATTTTTTTTAATATTTTCATTATAATATATATTTTTTAAATAAAATAGAAAAATTTATTTTATGAAGTTTTTTTTATTACATAGTAATTTTTTTCTGTTTAGATTTCTCTTATCACTTTACGTCCATATAGCTCTAAAGTAAAATTAAATGATGTCGTTATAGTTAGTGCAACTAGAACTCCTATGGGATCATTTCTTGGAGGGTTATCAAGTTTATCTGCTCCAAAACTTGGAGCCACAGCCATTCAAGTAAATATTAATTTTATATTAATTTTGTATTTATTAACTGGCAATAAATTGTTATAAAATACCAATTAAAAATTATAACAGGCAGCAATCGAACGTGCTAGTATTCCCAAGGATTATGTTACAGAAGTATACATGGGAAATGTTTGTCAAGCTTTTTTAGGTCAAGCACCAGCAAGACAAGCTACATTATTTGCAGGTTTAATTTTGTATTATTTTACATATATCATGTCATATAACAATATCAATATCTATATTGGTAAATTTTTAAGTTAGGCCTTCCAAAGTCAACAGTATGTACAACAGTTAATAAAGTTTGTGCAAGTGGCATGAAAAGTATAATGCTTGCTTCTCAGTCATTACAATGTGGGCATCAAGAAATTATTCTTGCCGGTGGTATGGAGTCAATGTCCAATGTACCATTTTATTTGCCACGAGGGGAAATTAAATATGGTGGTATGAAACTTGAGGTAAATTTTCTAATAATATGTAATCAGTAAATTTTCTAATAATATATGAAAAATGAATATTTTTTATGTCTATTTGAATCTGAATGTAATTCATTAATTTTTGTATTCTTTATTTGTAATTGTAATAGGATGGTATTGTATTTGATGGTTTAACTGATGTTTATAATAAGTGTCATATGGGAAATTGTGCAGAAAATACTGCCAAGAAATTCAATATTACTCGTGATGAGCAAGATAAATATGCTATTAGCAGTTATAAACGCAGTGCTGCAGCATATGCAAATAAAAGCTTCCAAAAGGAACTTGTACCGGTTTTTGTACCTCAAAGAAAAGGCAATCCTGATATAATATTTAATGAAGATGAAGAATATAAAAAAGTTAATTTTGATAAATTTGGTAAATTAAATACAGTTTTTCAGGTATAAGATTGAGTTAATTAGAAATTACTAACACAAATTTCAAATAATTTTTATTTACTTTACTTTTCTAGAAGGAAAATGGTACAGTAACTGCTGGAAATGCATCAACCTTAAATGATGGTGCTGCTGCATTAGTCCTAACAACTGCAACAGTTGCTGAAAAAATGAATTTGAGACCTTTAGCACGAATTATTGCATTTCAAGATGCTGCAACTGATCCTATTGATTTCCCAATTGCACCGTCTTTTGGTATTTCTAAAGTAAATTTTTTACAATATATACAATAGAATGTTTGATAAAATTTTGAGAATATAAATTATTACACTATTATAATGATATGTATTCATTTTTTATAAAAATTATACAATATATATTATTTTCAGTTGTTAGAAAACACTGGAGTTAATAAGAATGATGTAGCTCTTTGGGAGATAAATGAAGCTTTTAGTGCTGTTGTAATAGCAAATCAAAAATTGCTTGATCTTGATCCAAACAAAGTAAACGTTCATGGTGGTGCTGTGTCTCTTGGTCATCCTATTGGGTGAGTATTTAGTTGTTTTTATGTACATGAATAATATTTAAGTTGCAAAACATTAAAAATTTTAGTATGTCTGGAGCTCGTCTTGTAGTACATTTAGCACATGCTTTAAAAGCTGGCGAAAAAGGTGTTGCATCTATTTGCAATGGAGGCGGTGGAGCCTCATCCATTTTAATAGAAAAATTGTAAGTTCATAACGGATAAAGTTTCATAAGGAAGACTGTAAAAAATATTTTTATTTCTTTTTACCATGCATGAAGATATACTATTTTTATATATCTATATAATTATTTTTTATACCATATTGTTACGATAAATAAATAATATTAAAAATAAAGTAAGAATAAAATTTTTGTTTCATTCTATAGGTATCATACAATATCTTCTCCACCAATATTAACGTTATATACAAAACATCATTGTCCACTTTGTGATATTTTAAAAAATGAATTGCGATTGCGTTTTTCTGGTCGTTATCAATTACAAGAAATTGATATTACAGCACTTGGAAATGAACGATATTTGAAACTGTATAAATATGAAATTCCAGTTCTTTTTTTAGAACGTCAGTTTCTTTGTAAACATCGTTTAGATTCGGAATTGTTGGAGCAAAAATTACAAGAATTTTCTAAAAATTGAAAATGATAAACAGTATCGAGTTGTATGTATTTTATTATTGGTCTTTATATTAATCGAATACGTGATTAGTAAATAAAAATTAATTAACGATCATTGATATATGAGTATTTTAGAAACAATAATAATGTAAACTAAAATATAATGCAGTAATATTTATTCAAGATTGGCAAGTATCGTCGCTCGACAAATCTTACAGTTCTCTTACTGCTTTCGCCTGTACTTGCTCACTTTGAATCGCCTACTCCTTTTCACCCTCTCTCTACTGTCTCTGTCCTCTTGCTTCTCTTTCTTTTCACCATTCAGTCTGAATACTCTCTTTCCGATGGATAAGCAAGTAGGCACGCACACGCTGACATGTCGAAGATCGGCAGTGAATTGGTGAATGCACGCATCAGACTCTCCTTGCCGACGTTCGTTCTTTCTTCAGTGCGTGCCTTACGCGGATAATGAAAAGTATCTGTTTCTTTCATATCATCTACGTGGCGTATTGTAGTGAATAATTTCTTTGAACTCCTGAAACACAAAAGTAAAAGAAGAGACTAACAAATACTTTTTAACATCGCAGAGATCAACAATAAATGTTGAGTTTGTTGCAACTGTACTATTGAAATCATACCAGTGTCCTATTTGATTTTTCGTGGGTCAACGTAACCAGTACCAAGAATAACGGAGTGAATAAATGTAAAATGACTCTTGATCTTGTTTAAAAAGAATTGTATGCCCAAATTTGGTGACTTGAGTATTCATGTGTCTTTCAAATATAAATAAACAAAAAGATGTTCAGAAAGAGTTTTAATAAAAGTGAAAATTCAAAGTTCGGAAAATGAATGGATGAATTATGTTATTACTTAAAAAACGAGATTTGAAAACCACAGTGAATAGTGTAAAATATTTAACTAAATGCAAATACATATGTGGAATTCCAAAGTAGCAACGAAGTTTCGAATTTTGTAATATTTCTGTTTATTAGTATTATAAATGTGAATAGAACACACCGAATTCAACTTTTTTTTTGTTCTAATAGAAGCGCGCTTTAGACTAAATAAACTCATAATATTTTGAGATGGCGTTATCTTCCGTCATGATCAGTTTACAAATTCTAGGCCATTGCTATATTTTAAAAAAATATCGACAGCTTTCATTTAGTTGAATAACTTATCAAATTTTATATATTATAAAATGACACAAATGAGGGAAGATATAATAAGTTTTGCATTTAATAAAGACCAGATTAAATAAGAATTGAAGATTTAAACTTTTAATCTATGAGTAAATAAGAATTTACCAGAAGAAATGAAATTGTTCATTAATGTTTACAACGTTATATCTTTTTTCGTGCAGCTATACTAGAAATTCATCAAGGATCTTCATTTTTGAACGTGCTTTTTAAAAATTTATTACGAAGGTATAGAAAATATTTAATATTTTATTCTACAAAGATTTACTTTTATATTCACTTTGCTAAATTTATATCGCGGTTTTACATGCATACAGGATTTGGTGAATTAAAAATATTCATAAATTATGTAACATAAATTATGATAAAAAAATATTATTTGTACCAAATCACAAAAATATTTGTAAACATGTAGTTGGCCTTCAAATATTGATATATATTACATGCTGTTTATATGTAACAGAGAATATGATTGTTAGTATATATTGTTCTAAATATATTCATAAGAAAGATATATGCTTATAGACGAAAATGCTTATGAAACAAATAGAAGACTCGTTGATCGTTTATTTTCTATTATTAATTATTGTTTTCTTGCATTCATTATCATTATTTTGTTAAGAATTAAATATGCATCGAATATTATAAATTATGCGAGATAAGATCTATATAAACTAAACAGGAAAATAACATCAATATATATAGAACTTAATATATATTTAATATAAAATTAAATATTTTCATTAAAAAATCATTTTGTGCGAGCATGTGAGCAAGTAGACTATTTGGCAATGTTGCTTTTTTTAGGATGTTGATTAATTTGAAGCTCTGTAAGAATATTCTGAAGCTGTTGTCCTGGTTCGTGATTCACGAATGAGTTATGTAGAGCCATAGCCAGCTGAGAAGGTCCGGTTACTGGTTACCTGTTACCCAGACAAGTGTGCTGGCAACAGGCTCGTCTTAAAGTATCGACCGTGACAGTCGCTCGATTCCAGTTACAGTTTTGTTTGATAGTTTTCCGACAATAATTTCAATTCACTTCTTTTTTGTTTACATTCTCAATCATACATCCATTAATAAAATGTATGAAAATCGTCATAGCCAATACAAATATTAAAGTTCTTTCTGTTACTAGGCATCATTCAGAAGAACAATGCGAAAACATCTTTGTGTTCCTCTGTTCTCAAGTACTAAAAGGAAATGACTCGGTTAATGAATGAATCATATTCTCTACCAACTCTGATGTAAATAATGTAACAGTCAAATTTTTAATACCGTTCATAACGTTCAATTTTTACGCGTTGAATTTTGTATTCAATTCTGCTGATCATGATCGCAATAAAAAAATAAAATAGATAAATAATTGTTTACTAGTTACGCCTCTTCGCTTATTAGACAATAGATCATAATTCGTATTATTATCGATCGATAATAGATACTAATGGAAGAATAATTGATACCACAATCGAATTTTAGATGAAATGTTATCAAGTAATAACACAATTTAGTAAATTTGCGTCAATAATGCTTTCAGTTGATATCGTATGCATTTTGGTAGGTATGAGAAATGATATTTATATTTACATGTTTCTCATGATATTTCCACGATCGTAAGACTAGTTTATAAATAATCGAACTCGTAAATTGCCTTTAGCATCACGTTGTTAATGATTCCTAATAATATAACGTCATTGGTGAAGTTGTAACTTATTTTCCTGAACGGTCCAGCATTCATACGTATTTCTTCATTCAACAAAGTTAAACAACAACTTCAAACAATAATAATTGTTTAAACATGTTAACTGCATGGACATTCCACAACGTTGTTCGATATTTCCAAAATAGTGAGTCAGTTATAGCAAGTTCTATAATCTATATAAAGAACAAAAAAAGTAATTTATATAATAAATTTCTACGTGGGAGAATAGTTTTATAATTACTGGTTTCCATCGTATCGGAACATGATGAAGATACATACGTATTTGGTTCCCAAGTCAAGCGAATGTAGGACAAGTTCAAATGTTGCATCGGCCCACTTTGTTCATGGGACTAAGCTAACCCGATCGTAGAAATTTAAAGGCATATAAAACAATGTACAAGGTTGTTACACTGCTTGAATTAAATAGACATTTTCTCGTTACAGTAATTAACCATTACAGAATGACCTCCAGCGAAGATGGTGATTTAATCGATCTTGGAAACGACATTTGTGTGCCACGGGTGCCGATTCAAGAATCATCGCCCGACGAACAGGAACATCTTCTCGACGTGTGCTTACCGAAGTTAGAACAAGCATTGTCATTAACAAGAAAGCAAGAACAAGTACAATGCGTAAGCGACAACGGTGATGTGTTAGTCACGTTAGGTCACGACCAAGTGGTGCCGAATCATAAAAGAATCGACGTCGTTTCATCCGATACGATAAAAAGGATTCGTGACATAACTAGGAACTTGGAACCAGTTATAAGAAAGACTTGTTCCGACATTAACGAAGAGCATCAAGACACTGTTGATTATGGAAATTCATCAAATAGCAGAGACGAACCTTGTCCTAGCGAAAAGTTCGAAGATGAGACGTTCGAGGCACAGGAAATCAATAATGCTTTCAATTTTCTGACAGAACACGACGACAACGAGGATCAGGCTGACGCGAGGTGTAATCATTACGATCAAGTTATAAACTCTGGACTAATCTTATTAACCTGCCGTACTACGAAAAGCGAAGATTTATTAAATTACCATGATAATGGTTCCTCGCAAGTTCTGAACTGTTGGAAAGACGCAGACACTGATTTAAACGATCCAGCTTTTGAAAATATTTCAAGGAAGAGTAGGTCTGATCCTGTTGATTATGATGAACTCGGAGCGAGTAACATTGGTCCTGAAAAACAAACATTTGTACGAACAAATAAAAGAGGATCATTTCAGCATACGCATCGTAAATCTTGGACGGAAGGAACTACACTTACAAATGCATCGCAGGATATATTTTCTCGATTCGACAGGTCAACTAGTTTAAGGGAATATAATTGCGAGCCATCGACTTCCAATGACATTCATCAGCAGTCCAGCTTTATTTCGAGGTATGACAATTTTATTATACTTATTCTTACGTCTCTTCACAAGTAATGAAACGTCAACTATTAGAAACAGGAAACGTGACATTATTATTAATATCGTCAATCTATTATATAATGTGCAACTTACGTGTTATGTTTTAGCAATTATTGAGTAACATTCCTTAATCAAGAAGTCGAATCCTTCAGATACAGTTAATAGATATAAAGTGGATATCTGTTGTACGATAGCACAAATCAAAACAGATTTGATTTATATTGAGTTCCTAGGAATAGAAAAAAAGATACTAAATTTTGTCGTGTTTCTATGAATAGAAGAGAAGGTTCAGAAGAAGGGCCAGAAGTTCTTTCGATACTGCACTATATTGTATTCGATTCTTTCTGTGCTCTAAGATGTAGTTAAACTTTCTTCTTCTCATTTTCAAATGCATAATGTTATAACGTTGTCACGTCATGGTAAAATGTAGCATGTTAAATTTGTTGACCTAAATTGAAATCAGTAATATAACTGGAAGATAGATTGTGAAAAATTCGTATGCGTATTCGCATGTAAATATCCGTGTGCGTGTAGTTTCGCTTCAAACTTTGAAAGAGCATCCGTTGCACGACAACAGCGACTAGCCGGAAGTACTGGCACGAGTTGTGTGCGAGAAGCGTGGATTCAAGTCAGCATTGAATAGATCTTTAAAGTGGCACGTGCAGCCACGCCTGAGAAACAAAAGTTTAGTTTAAAACTTTCTCCGTATGACCTGTGTCTCCTAAGTGTTTTTTTAGGATTCACGGGTATCTTCTTATCCTTCCTAAGACATCTAGGTAGCATACCTGACAGAACAAGAAGGAATATACTATACGCATATAATTTTTTTTTTTAATTGATGCGTAATTGTAAGATGAAAAAAAAAAAAGAAAAACGCTAAACTTAAAAACGATCGTTGCTTACAGCTGTTCAACGGAGAAAGGACTGGAGACGAATGGAGACGATCAAGAGGACGGATGTTCAGAATGTTCGGAAGTAGATTGGTCGTGGTTGGAGGAAGTAGAATATCCGCGGGCTACGGAGTCGTTAGCACCCGGTGTGGTTGACGCGGTTCAGGAGAACACCGAAGGAGGGAATGCATCCCCCACCAGTGAAAATGCGAGGCGCAGGCGCGGCCGCGAGCATCAGGCTACCGAGGCGGGCTGCAGTGCCGCGATGTCTGTCTCTGGGACGGTAAAGTCCTTAGTGGTTAATAGTTCACGATGGTCAACTGCCGATCCACTATCTGATTATAACGCCAATAATCAAGATGAAACTGTACATTGTAACAACGAAACTATCAATCGGGAAACACGCGATAACCCTGCGCTTGTTAACTCCTGGGTACGGGCCTCAATGAGACGTTTGCGCCACTTGAGATTACCGGAAGAAACTGAACGACAGCGAAACATCGATTCGAATAATTGCCGCGGTACGATCGTGTCCGCGCCAAACTCCCTGCCAGACATTGCTTTAATTGCTCCGGAAATATTAGCTGCCCAAACAAACGGTACTTCCGGCACCCTCCTCAGGCCGTCCAGCGCTCCTGTAAGAAACTTGAATAATTCAAACGTAGTGCCATCACGGAGAGGAGGTGGAAGACAATTTAGAGCAAGTCGATCGCAAAGGACGAGGAGCCGCGATATCGCTTCGAGGCAAAGCAGCGTTTTATCGTCGACCACGGGCAGTGACACAACTGCTTCAGGAACCACGACGTGCTCTAGCTCTTTTGGCGGTGCTTCCACAAGTCCACCTTCCAGCACGGCGACAAGTCCGCAACGTATCACTTCCAGGCGGTGAGAGTTCTCACTTTTTTTTTTTTAATTATTACTTGTTTTATTCGTTGTTTAGTCGTTGACAATAGAGAACCTAAAAGAAAAAAAAGGAAATATACATTTACTAATGCTCGTTTTCTTATTGTCAATGCCTCACGAGGTATTACTACGGACAATAAGCCAAACCGTTGTAGACTCTTGCTAAACTCGCGAACCGCGTCTTTCATTCTCGTTTGTTCAATCTTATTGCCACACTCACCGGAAATGAGAATCGGCTTAATGAGTTAGTTGTTGGTCGTTGCTCATCCATGCTTGACACTACTTGCGCTTTGGATCCTTCTTACGCAAACCACCGATACACTTCGTGGACAGAATATTAGGAAATTAATTTGAGAAGTTATTTCTATATAGATTTCTATCTAAATAATATCGTTTTTGTTTTATCATGTATTCTTATTCAATTTCATTTGAAATGTGGATGTTGATTTTTCTAACAGCAATGACACTGTCAAATCGATCACTGACGTATGACGTTGCAAGTAGCTTGGATACGTTGCAAGTAGCTTTCCTTTTCACAACGTTTAGTATGCTATACGTTGGAAATCAAGCAGTCCATGAATTGTTTATTTTGTGGTTAATTGTAATTAAATATATAATGAGGATTTGGAATGCACGCTCGATGCATACCGGGAATGGCAAACGACAAAAGTCGCGATAATTGTTCGTTGTCGTGTGCACTGTTTAAATGTGCGCATGCTTTACACTTTACAGTTCCGTCACGAATGCATGCGCTCGATGAAATGCGTTACGGTAACAGCCTAACAAATAGATCTTATTTTCTTTCATGTACATCACCTTGATCAATTTTCTTTCTGTATATAGAAAAGCAACAATTTCGTTTCTCAATGTAATCATCTGAGATAATGTTTCTCATTTCAATTTTTCTTTACTTTTATAGCTCAGACTTGCGGAGAATTTGTAAAATTTGAGTTGTTTGTACTCGCTTCTTTCTGAGATGATATTACTAGATATTGCATGCTACTCGGTTGAGTTTACAAAGGTCAATGATCTCGATTGCTCACAGATTGTTTCGCTGTCGATGAACCGCGTAACCTGTTGCACAATCTACATTCTAGTGTCATCGAGCATGATCTTTTGAGAAAAAGTCAAGAGAACTTCCTTGTAAGTGTCTGCTCGACGTGAGAAAATTTCAGATATCCGGATCTTAATTGCAGCAATTTTATTTTTTTTTTTTTATCTACAAAGTTATAAAAGCTTTGTTAGTTTAGATTTGACAATTGAACAATAAATAGGTCAATTTAATTGGATATACGTACTCGGTGTGTACTGTAACATCCACGGAACCATTGTAATTTAAACTGGTCACTTTCTCTTGTAATTCGATGGTTAGAACGCGTGTGTGCAATTGAACAAAAAGGTAGATCGGAGTTTCGCTTTACCAGAGTTTGCAATACGATTTTCCTGTCACTGAAGCATATTTTTGAAAACTTAGTAATTTCATTAATCAAAATAATAATACTTTCCAAAAATGGAAAAGGTTCAAAGGAGCAAGTGATTTTTAGACCGTGACCGCTCGTAATGTATCTGGATAAATAACCCTTCTTTTAACACCATAACGTCTGGTAACGTTAATGTAGCATCAGCAATTAACAACCAGTGATTTCATGCGATTTTGTATGTAGCGTTATACGATTTTCAGTAATTAGCGACTGGTGACGTTACACAGCGTCATGTGATTTTCATTTGTAAATTATTAACAGAACTTGTCGACCTTGGTGAAAACAGCCGTACATATATTTACCTGAAACAATAATTCGCTTAATTTTACATATTTCTACATTAGTCACATTTGATCTATTCTTGAATAAATATTTAGGATTTTTCAAAATTTATTCAAAGGTTCAAAATTATTAATACATTAAGTATAAGTACATAATGTTAATATCGAGTCTAACATTATAATATTGATTTCTGAACAATGAGTGTTGTTTTTGGGTCAGTAGTAGTATGGGAATATTGTAGCTCCAAGTCAACGGTACTGCTTGGTGGAGCTCATTTAACGGTATATCCATGTAATAATTGTATTACTTTCCTTAAAATTTTATAATTGACTATTTTCATTAAACTCATCTGAGTCTAGAAAGAAAAATGAAACATAGTATGAGTATTAACTATTATTATTAAGAATTTTATACAATAACAATAAATAACATAACAATAATAAAACTTTTATACAAATAATAAGATCTATGAATATCAGGTGGACGTGCATGTGCATGTTTCTTCCTATTCATCATGTTTCAAACAAAGTGTTTGTACAAATACATCTTGACAAATAAGTATGTAATATTCAGAATACCGGCGTCAGTTGTCTAATACATTGACAAATTTTTCTTTATTTTTCTTATTGAAAATAGTGAAAAATAAAGCTTGTTTCTTCATAAATGCAAAAGATTAAGAAATCACTTTTTGTCATAAAAGAAATGCAAAAGATTAAGAAATCACCTTTTATCATAAAGGAAAGATGCGACATATAAGATTAGTTGGTCTTCTTGTGTTATTTGTTGTAGAAATCAAAAGGATTCATCCAAGTATTCTTGGATGTAGTTAACAAATATATGATTTTTCTCTTTGTGTCTTTCATTTCTTTGAAAAGTTTTTGTAAAAACACTTTTATATTCATCGAAATATTTTCTGAAAAACAAACGTTTTTTTGTGATTTATGTGCGATTTATATGATAACTATTAGAAAAAACTAATATTAGTATTTGGAAAAAGTTAGAAGTACGGCTGTAATACGTATAATTCGGGTATGATACTAACTGGAAGATTCAGACAGTTCGAATTTCTCTCGTCCAGAGTTCTTTTCACAACATTCTCATGCTTAAACGGATGTTATCAGATTAAATAATCTTCCTTTTCTCTTTCACCGCTCTCTTTTTTACATTTCTTTACTGGTGATGTAGTAACCAGAGTGCGTGACTTCGGTTCACCTTCCTGCGTATTATCATTAGACTATGTTGAATGCAACTGCGTACGTGCCTGGTACATACACATAATGCATGTGAAATACTAACTGAAACTTGAGTTGTAAATGTCAGTTATGAAATGTTCTTTTAATAGGAAAAATTATACTTTAATAGGAAAAGTTTTATTGTTGATTATTTTTTCGAAGTTTTAACAATCCAATGGTTTCCTAGAAAAATAATGTAATTTCAATTGTTTACATCTTATTGCACATGAAGCTTGAAAGTATAATCAAATAATAATTTAATGGGATAGGCGGATAAAAACACGTTTTTAGAAACAAACATTTACAAAAAGGCATATGAAATGGAAGAATATTCTGTTAGTAACTACTGATCACCCGCATGTGTGGTTCTCAGTTCTACTTGTTGTATTTATAGTCAACAATATATATGTCTAAGCGTTTCGTGTGAAATTTTTTGTGGTCAAAAACGAGACGAAACTGAGACGAAAGTCACTTCGTGTCTGGCTTTTGCGGTATTATCTCGTGCACGATCAAGGAATAGATATCAAATGAAATTTATTATGCCGATTATATTAAAATTATATTAAAATGATGTTATATTCCATTTTACGTATTAAATATTACTAAGTATCTAATTAAAGATATTTGATTATTGTATTTTTCGCGCGAACTTTTTAATTAGTAATTTGACGTTATGAAAATTATTATATTAGATATTTATATTTATCTACTCATTATCAGCATTATATAAATGGTTTTATCGATAAATAAATTTTACATTGGTATATATAATTGGCATAGTATATGAGAATATTTATTTTTTGTTAATGAAATTATTCTCTTTGTTACTATAGTGTGCATGCACCAACATAGCTACATTATTAGAACAAGAAAAAAGAATTATTTAAACTTTAAGTCTTACAGTCAAAACTTTCTCTAATAATCAATTGCAATGTTTTCTTAATCTGATTTACTTCGTCTGTCGCAATACACATCACTTTCGTAATATTGTTAATAGATAGTATGAATCACATACTGTGTAATTCATAACTTGACTGATTTTTCATTTTCTGTTGTTCAGAAAGTACAACAGTTGACAAATCATGATTTATCGAATCTCTTTTTTTTCCTTCCAATAAGTTTTGATTGCTCTCGAAAAACTTTCTAAAGTTCAAGGAAATTATTTTGAAAAATTTTCAAAAATATTTTGGTCACGGTGAAAAAGATTAATGGTTCACACGGTAGTTCCTCAAATTGGGTTTTCACACTGAAAATTTTAGGGTTTATTAAATATCAAAGACGAATATTAATTTGTTAAATATCGATAAGCGATTAATGAACGGTTGAATCGTAATTCTGATCATTTTGACGAGTGATCGAGCACGCAGGCGTAAATATACACGTGCGTTCGTCTACCTTGTTCGTCACGTGACTCTAACCGGGTACAGTTATACATTGGCTCGGAGGGATCCCACGTACTTACATACATACGTACGGTTCACCGGCAATCGTGCATTCAGTATAGTGAGTTGTTCGAAGCACGAGTGATCGTGGATTCTTTGAAAGTTTGACCGCGATAATGCGGCAATTTGTTCCCGAATGTTCGTCAAATGCAACGACGTTTCATTAATCTGCCGCTTCTCTGTCGTTTGTGTATCGATTTTGTGTACTACCACGAGGTGTCAGTGATTCCTAATACTTCCTGTCGTTTCCGCATCTTACTTGAAAAAAAGAGAAAAAAGAAGAGAGAAAGAAGTTGCAAGAATTCAAAGTAACAACGAATATAACTATTTGTCAGTGTCGCATCGTTTTTTTCTCGGCGTTTCGCGACTCCGCTGATCGATAATTCACGCGAAAGAAACAAGCTCGCTCGGAACACAATGGTGTATACCTGCTTGAAACGCTATCGATCGACTAAATTCCATTTCATATTCATGTCAAAGATCAAAGAATGTTCTTTGCAGAGATATAATTTCGTTTCGAGATTGTCCGAATAACGGGCCAGATTATAAGAGGGATTCACTTCTCCTGGAGGAACCTTCGTTGCGTACGTGACAATTGCTTCGAATGTCATCGTTTCGGCGTGTATCTGAAAACTCGGGAAACAGTTAAGAGAAACGATGAGTATCGACGTACGCATACGGAACGATGACTGTCTTTCAAGGATTGTGCCCGAAGCGTTATGTTAGTTGGTAAATCTTGGCAAGCACAAGTTGCCTTAGTTGTAGAATCGATCGTCCCACGGAGAAGCCATATGCCTTGCGTAAAGTTCTCGTGTGACTCGTTCGCTAAAAATTCTACAATTAAAAAAAAAAGTCTGTTGCTCTTTTTTATCTCTTTGCTTTGTTATCTCTTTCTTTCTTTTTTTTTTTTTTTTTTTCCCAAAGAACGACCAAACGAAAGTGATTCACTTACTATATCGGGAACATTGTGACGGGGTGGCAGCGAGAAACTTTAACCGTTTTTCCCAAGACGAACGAGCGATCGAAAATCAATGGAACCCATTGATCGATTATCGCGATATGAAAACGACTGAAGTGTAACGTACTTAAATTGCAGTATCGATCGGTCACGCCGCTATCGATCAACAATCGAAGATGTTTAGATAACTTGGTTTGCTGATACTTGGATATATTTAACCTTGTACTTCTCGTGAATTAAATGATCGTAAGTCGTACTCCGCAAGAATTTCGAACGTGAAATTGTTGAAAAGTTCGCGGAATACACAAAGAAAAATGCAAAATTGGGGGAAAAAGGAACAGACGAACGATGCTTTGCGTGAATGTGAAAACAAGCCAATTGTACGATCAAGACAATAGGAGACGAACGAAACCGTAAAATTGTTCCTCGAAAGCAAGACGCCAGAAAGAGGGGCACAGTTTTGAAATTCGATTGTTCTTGCCACGTTGAACGTACCGAACGTCGGAACCTTGAATGATCGTGAATCTAGCAAGTCGATTCTTCTACCAGTCGTAAGAAATTTTCGTTTCTTAGTTTTTTATAATTAACCGGAGAATCCATTGAAAATTTGACAAGAGAGAGAACTGATTCTTTGACGTGTCAATCGTTGGTTTTTGAAAAGGAGAGGATAGAACACTGAGAAAGAGTTTTGAGAAGAAGGAAAATCTTCAGAACACCGTGCAAACGGTCATCGACATCATTGGCATCGTAATATGTATTCAAGATGAACCACGATCCAACCATTTGTCGCCAATACTTTTACTGTAGTCAACGTAGACATCGTATCAGGTATACTCTCTTTGATCGTAAAAATTTCTTTTTATCGTTTGATTAATTCCGAAAATAAGTGGACAGTAATAAGTCACTTATGGACAGCGTTAACGGACAAGGGAAACGTTACGATTAACCTGTTGACTTTTAGATCATCTAGATCGTCTCTAACCTCTGTGAAGTCTTTCTTCCAATTTACCTCGGTAACAGGCTTAACTGTTCATAGATTGAGCCGAAAGGAGTTACTGATCATCGAGTTGCTTTCCTTGAGAAATCAAGTTGGCACGTCCCTGAGAACTAGATGGTTCTATGATCAAGGACCTGAAACCTACGACGATAATCGGGTTTGGAGAGAAATCACTGAAAAGGGGAGACGTTTTTTAAAAGGGGAAAAGAATTGAATAACAGTATCAATTTTGAATCAAGGTTGCCACTAATGAATTACGAATCGCTTCTAAACACGGTATACCATCCTACTTGTTGTATTTACTTGTCAAAGCTAAACATGTTTCATCAACTTTTTTTTTTTTTGTTACAAAGGTTCACTGCTATACGTAGCATATGCTGTTTGTACGTGTTGATGAAGGCTTCCTCAGAGCACGAGATCTCTTTCGTTCCCACGGTCTCATTGTATTGCATACTGTGATAATATTCCATGGAATTAGTTATACAGATATCTAACTCGAAAAACTCTGTTTTTCTTGAATTCTTTCAGTGAAAGGAACAGTTTTTTTTATTATTTTCGTGCTTAGACGGTGAATTTAGTTCAGCACGGTGACTATCGCAACGAATCTACTGTTCGCGTGCTTCCAGTCTCGTGTATTATTAGGACACACCACTAAAGATATCGTGGTCATTAGAAGTGGTCAGTTTATTGATTAATCGATAGAACCTTTTTACTCTTGCTTTTATATCCTTGGAGTTTCAGGATTCGAGTATTCGTGACCCGAATTATTTTCAAGATCGTAGCCGATCAATTATACAGCGTGAAATCGGTCTCAACGCATTTCTATATTTCTAGCGTTGATCATTTTCAAGATGTCTAATCGCAACAGGATTTTCTTCGTCGCTTTATGAAACAATAATTGTAGAATGTTCGTTCTAGATGAACCGAAGAGCGGTCGATTTGTATTGAAAGAGATCTACATCTTGATCGAACGGTCCGCAAAACAGCGCGGTAATAAGGATTCGTTATCTAGAATCGAGACGATCTTCGTACTCATACGGGTATGAATAATTCACGAATCGTCGTCTAAAACGTCAGGAGAATTGCGAGATTGGTGCAGTGAAGGTGGCAGAGACATACTAACTCTTCGTATTCCTCACGCAAAACAAGGTCGAGTTGCGCCTTTAAGTTGGAACCACGTAGGAATGTTTGAGTCTCCTTTAAGTATTCATCTCTTTATTCCGTGATAACGGTACATCGATGATTCTCGATCTTTTATCGTAACAATCGTAGCTTTTACTTGTTGTTACTGTTGTTATAAATTGTTGGCTCCTCATTTTCTCCATTTCTTCTTTACATACATATAACTCACACTCTGTTTCATATTTACCATAAAATGAACAAATGATGTCTCAGTTGTCTACAGTTGAAAGTGTAAAATTATTTTCATTGCAACTCTGTTATGATAAAAAATAACGTTTAAAAATAATGACACAGATATTCTGTGTAGTAATCTCGTGTTCGATGTGTCGCGCGATTGAATCCTGATATAGGTTTTCATTTGCCGCAACGCAGTCCCAATCGACCGTGAATTTTCTTCGGTAAGAGCGACAAATACGATACAATTATGTTCGACCCAGTTTTATGTCAAATCGATATAACCTTTAACATGATTGTTTTACATACTCTTATCACGAGTTGTCAACCACACAATGATATGCTTAATGCCGTACCTAGTATGTATATGTATCATTTCGTTTTATGTCGTCCACTTTCCAAACGATGATCTGTAATTCTTTGATTGATTTGTCACTTTCTTTTAAGATGTTTAATTTATTTATACAAAATAAAGTTAAATAAATGCAATAACGTATTAATCATTTTCTTCTTTTCTTCTAACTTCTTTCTCTCTTCTAAACGAAACACTGTATCTTTTTTTAGAGTATGTGACAGACAAAGAGATGTTGATAGGGATGAAGATAGAGGAGAAGACGAGGACGAGGATGCTAATCCATTGGGAAAATGGCCACATGCTCTTAGTCCAGCCTTGGCATGCCTTAGTTGCACCCTTGGTCTTTTCAATATAAGTAGATTTTCTATTCTTAGTGTACAATTCGGAGGTGAGTATAGAAACTGCTATTAGATATGTACTTGTAAGTACTTGTTACTCACATTTAATTGTTTTATCCTTTCAGCAAATTTCATTGTGCAGTTCCTGATTTTGTCTTTGGTATTGGGTATCCCACTTTTGACATTGCACGTATGTCTCGGTCAAAGATTGGCGGCTGGATCCGTAGATATGTGGAAAATTTCACCCCTCTTCCAGGGTGTTGGTATAGCTCTTCTAATTGCACAAGCATTCATCGGTATTTACAGTATCGTTGGTGTATCCTGGATGTTCGTGTACTTTAGGTCTGTCGATTTTTTGATAAAGATAGATTTTTACTTTAGCAAGGAAATGTATGACAATAATGACCTATCTATATTTTTCTAGGGATTCGTTTATAACGAAGCAGGACAAGTACCGATGGGCAGAACCGTTTTCTTTGTACAGAGAAGATAAACCTACGCAGAATAATAGTAATTTGCATAAATTATACGAGACAGTACCAGATTATTTTAGCGGCGTTGTTTTGCAAAGACATCATTTAAACGAGTCAGAGCCTGGTGTTGTAACGTTAAAGTTTCAAGTAGCTTTCAATTTAGCTGTTGTATGGATGATTGTGTTCGTATCATTAAGCAAAGGTAATGATTTTGCTCAGTGATCTGTTTTTCTTGTTGTTTTCTTTTAATATTTGATAGTTATTCGACAATTATCAGGTTTGAGATCCTATGGCAAAGTAGTATACGTTTTTACATTGGTGCCTGTATTTGGTACTTTGGTTCTTTGTACGAAATTACTTGGTCTCACGCCACCAGGCTCCATACATCAACTTTTTCCTGCCACTGTATGGACTGAGTTTTTCATTAATGGCAAATCATGGATAGCAGCATCTATCGAGGTTTTCCTTACTTGGGGATTACTTGGTGCAGCTGCTATGCAGGTAATTATGACGTACTGTTAACGTTATATTCAGCTAACGCAATTCTTGAAAATATTATCGTTTTTCTAGATAGCTGCTCACAATAAGCACAAGCATCTATTACAACGAGACACAAGTTTAGTGATTGTGTTAACTATCGCAGTTCTACTACTCGCAGCTTTTCTGGCAAATACTTGCGTACAAGTTCTGAAACATCACGGATATATTTACATACCTAGTTCGTTTGGTAAATGATATGACAATTTATTATCAATTCAAAATGATCTGAATTTCAAAGTTATGCTTATGCGTAATATATTATTTCTGTTTTAGAAAGAATATCATCATACATGTTTATGAGACCCGTGAACCAACCAGCACCACCGGGATACAGCAGTACACCAGAAAGATTTATGGCACATGCATCGTTTATTGTTGGAGAACGTGTAACTCGTCCTGGTACAGACTTCAGCGTTGAATCTGGTTATCAAGCCTTGAGATTTTCAACTGAATTAGTTCCTGCGACGTTGGCGTTACTAGGCACTGAGCAAGTGTCGCCGTTCTGGGCAATCCTTTTTTATTTTATTCTTATACTATTTGGAATAGCTCAACAGGTACGCAATTTAAAACATGACAACCAAAATCGAAGATACAGAACTTTTAATATTACAGCTAGCAATATGGCATTGTGTGATAACTGGTATCATGGCAATTAATGCGAAAATGATGAAGTTATGGGAAACTACTATTACATTCTTCAGTTGTGCTTGTGCTTACATACTAGGTTTACCTATGGCTACCGAGGTAAATATAATTATTTACATTTATTTAGTAGTTCTTGATTTTATATTTTTACATTTTATATTGAATTTTGAAATAATTATATAACTACTGCTGAGAATAACTTAAGTTATTGCTGTTTTGTTCAAGTGTGGAATTTAGAATTCTATTCTTATCAGACAAGCCCTGTAATATTCTATTTACACAGATAACGATTATCACTTCACAAGTTCTGATTAAGCATTTTATCAGTATCGTTAGAGTCACCGAACGTTTCAGAAAATGAGTAATCAAGTTAATTCTATAGTACGGCGAAGCGTACCTTGTTATTTTTGCAATGAATTTCTAGAAGAAAAATATCTATATGATCACGTGAAACATTGTGGATCGGTCTTAGAAGAATGTCCTTTCAAGTGTGGAGTTTACGTGCCTCGAAATATTATGGAAGATCATCGGAAAACGTGTAAAAATATTACTAAAGAGAATAATCAGTTCAAGGAAGTCCAAGATTCTTTATGGAGAAACAAAGTATTCTCTGCTTTAACATTGCTTCGTTCTGTAATAAACAATGAGGAAAAGGAGCGCAGAACCCTTCAGAATACTATGTCTCAATGTTTAAAGTTATTAAATTCTCAACAAGAATCGATTGATTCTTTGCGATTTCAAATTTCCGAGACAACAGAAACATGTCGTCAATATAATACAACATTGAATCAAAGATTAAATGATTTAGAAGTGATATGTGATTGCATGGAACAACGCACCAAATTAAGTTTTCAAAGTATTTCGGAACAACTGAAACTTTTACACGATGAGTTGACTAACGAACAAAATAAGCACGATAGAATACTTGATAATTGGTGCTTAGAATTAAAAGATCTAAAAGCTTTTATAAAAAAAGAGAGCGTACACATAAATGACATTTGGCAAGAACAACAACAGTTAATTCACGATCTTAAATTAGAATTAGAAATGAGATGTAAAAATTCGAAGGAATTAATAGATCAGCAAGAGCATGTAATCGAGAAAATAAAAAGTTTAGAAGAAGAAGTAGAGCGGCAATCAGAAACTGCAACCAGTCAGAAAAGTAACATTAAAGGATTGAAGTTTCAATTGAAAGAAAATTTAAAGTATCTGGAGGAATTGATCGTTGATAATTCAAAATTTAATAGTCCGGAATTTCTTGAATGTCCGTGTAAACAGGAATGTTTCGAACAATATTCAACTAATGGTCGTCTTCTATGGAGAATTGATCGCTATAAGGAAAAAATGACCGAGGCGAAAGAAAGTGACTGTGTAATTTACAGTCCAAAATTTTTAAACAAAGAATATGGATATACCTTAAGAATGAAACTATTTCTGAATGGTATAGGACAGTGGAAAGATCGGCATATTATCGGATGCCTGCAAGTTGAAGCCGGAAAATGGGACCCCCTGTTAGATTGGCCTTGTGTCCTTAAAGCAACAGCCACATTGAGAAATCAAGAAAATCCAGCAAACGATATAAAAAAAATCGTTAAAGCTGTAGGGCAAGACAAATCGAATCCTAAGGATGTGAATAAAGAAGCTGGCATTTACATGTTTATCCCACATACAACTTTAACTCGATACTCTGGATATGTTCAAGACAATACACTGTTTTTAGATATTCAAGTAAAAGATATAAGAACTAGCGCTTCTACGCCATCCTTAACGTCATAAGTAACGGAAATATCAAAGAAAATTATTAATATAATACTAGATGTCCATACGCGTATCTATAAATTGTACAATATTCTTAAGTAAACGTAAAAGTAGATTTTATTTGTTTCATGGGAACTTAAACTTTTGTTTATAGTTGGGCATACACGTCGTATATTATCTAGACTACACAATTGGTGGTACTTGGTGGATAATGATTTTATACTTGGTGCAAGTTGGTGCTGTATTCGCAGTGCGAGGACGTCCACATAGTGGTGAAGCGGTGGTAGCCGAATTGTTTCCTCCAACTGGTCGATGTCTCAGACACTGGGCTGGTCCACTTTTGTCATTCACGTGGAATGTCGTGCTACCTGTAATTCTTATGGTATGTTTTTGTCAAAATGTTTATTACTGTAAAAAATTACAGTAATCATGGACGAGTTATTATTAATTTAAAATCAACAGATTCTTAGCATTACGGTATTTAAAAATGCTGGATTTCGAGAACTTTACTCCTATCGGCGTACCGCTAGAGAATACTGGTCAATTTGGGCAAAACAACTTGGAGCTACGATTCAGTTAGTACCAATATTAACAATACCGGCAGTGGCTATCATACAGACATGTCGATATTTGAACAATGGTCCGCCTGATATATTTGACGTAAGGATTCAATTGAATTTTAACAAACTAATAATTAAATTAATAATATTTCTTACTTTCTATTCTCTAACGTACTAATTTACATATTTTACATCAATTTTTGTTTATGCTAACATTAGAACAATCAAATGGAAGTTAATGTAAATCACTGCGAACAATGCAATGGTGTAAGTTTTCTTTTCTACTTGCTGCACATCTTACATCTACCGTATAAACAAAAAGATGCTCCTTCTTATTTTATCTATATGTAATGTATTGCATTATCAGTAAATGAAAATCCTAATTTTGCAGAGAATTCAATTGTTGTATCGACCATCTTTGGAACCGGATGATTCTCGAGACGGGCAGACGCATACTGGGAACGATATGAGTACCAGTATTCACGGCAATGGTATTGTGCATGCGACAACCGAAGTGCCGTTTGAAGATCCACCGCCAAAATACACACCTCCTCCAAGTTATACCACAGCAACGGGAGCGAGAATAGCGAAAATGTTACGGCAAAGTTTTCGAAGAAGTGTACGTCGAATAGCGAATGTGCTCGGCGAGAGCAGCACACCGAGACAGAGACCGGCGCTACAACCTCCACCCCCTGATTACGCCACTGTACTTGTAGAAATGAATCAAAGTAGACAAACGCAAGACGTAACGATTCACATAACTGAAGTAAGAAACGAGAACGCCAATTCTAACATTCAGAATAATGCTACCGAAAGACATAGACCTAACACGATAGATAGAACGATGAGAATCGGCGCGGTAGAACGTTCAGTAGGAAGAACGCATTCGACGCTCGAGAGACCTCGTCGACCGTGTATAACTTCATCGAGCAGTTCGAATTTGACTGCGGTTGATGTGGCTAATTTACTTCGTAGTAGCATTAGAAGAGGGACTACGCGAACTCAACAGTCTCTGCGTAGAAGTTTTTGCCACGACGAATCGACGGTAGCAGCGTCCGTTGAGAATCTAGTCGAGGCTGCAGCGCCGATCGGTGAAGAATCTTTGGTCCTTCCGAAGGACGTGTCTCTAGTCTCCAATGAACAGGCTAACGATAATAGCGACGATAAGAAGACTGCCGAAGAAACGGACGAGTCCGTTTCTGTGATATAGACTATATCTTTTCTTTCGAGCCTTTATGAAGAATAATATGACTGTTATTTAATTTCTGCTGCATAGTGTTACGGTGATTTATTCCTTGTTTCATTTGTATCAATATGCGTCTTTGCAAACTATTCAATATAATATAATATAAACAAATTGCCGATGATATCATCGATGATATCAATAAATGAAAAATTAATTTTATCTTTTAGACTGAATTCAGTATTTTCTAATCTTGTCACATAAATAATGGCATAATTTCTTATCACTTTAATTACTGTGACGCGCAAATGAAAATCGGATAGCAACGTGCAGTGAAACATATCATAAACTCGTTTTGTTACTTACTATAGACATTGATTTTAGATTGTGTACGTTAAATTTTATTAATGTTCAATTTGCTTTTAACCAGTCTATTTTAGCATTTTGGCATTTTTTTTAATTAAGACTGTGCAACTAAAATGTTTATGTGTAATATACTGCTGTAACTTTTTAGTAGATTCATGATATTAGTGTACATAATATTTTAACAAATCTTAAATTCGCTTAAGCATTTTGTTCGTTAATTATGATGGCTGTTTAGTGTTACAATAATCTAATCCGTCCAACATCCATCAAAGTCTACATATTAATTTTTGAGCAGTGGTTAATATGCAGGCTAGACCAGCTAATTGGGATCACTTAAATATTTATATATCTTACTTGTTATATGAAAATGCTTCTCAGGACAAAATTATATTCTATACATTCACTCAGTGCGATTCTTTATTTTCTTTAAAGATATTAAGATACTTATATCAAAAAATGCTTACTTAAAAAATATTACAATTTTAATTTTACTAGATTTGTGTATGAACGAGAAGGAAAGTAAATAAGTACACTATTTATAAGTGTTCTTTTTTTTTCATACATCAAATTTTATGAGATTAATGTTGTTTTTTTAAATTAAGTATTTTTAGATACAAATACCTACTTTATATATAGAGAATAAATAAACATATCAATAAATAGATAAAAAGATATAGAGTTCCATTGAAAAAAATTCCAATGACCTTAAAATCTTGTAAAAGATTACTATTTGAAGAAGTGTCCTCTGGTATGTTTATTTTCTGATATAATACAATTTCCTGAGAAATAACATACTTTCAAACAACAAAAATTAGGTAAGATAGATGTTTAGGTGATACTATGTAGCTGATTCACCTAGTATATACAACGTATACGTTTATTTGGAAAAATCATGAAAAATAAAGAAAAGAAAATTTTATACTGCAATCGGAATTATTTGTTAGATAATATATATGTATAAAAAATGAAAAATCATTGAACTAATTAGAAATTTTAATTTTAATTACATAATTATGTAGCATATATATATTACCGTACAAATATTTTAATATTTCATACGTGTAATTGCTATACCTGATATTATGGACCATAATAAAATTTTTATGTTCTTTTTTAAATTTATGGTGCTTCTGTGACATCTAATTTAATAATGATAATATTTAAACAACATTGATACTTTAAATATTGATATTATATTTAATATCGTATAATTACAGAAATAGATATTAATATAATTGATGAAAGCAACAAAGTACAAAGCATTTTAACGGTACTCATTTTACTTTTTTAATAACGCTTGTAAACCGTATATTAAGTTTTTTTTTATTATATATCATTCAAATAATATAGATCCTACAATATTCTCGTACTTACACTTAGCAAACATAACGTAACTTTGTTACAGAAAGCGATTTTTGAGTTTAAACGTATAGAAAACTAAATAAACTATATATATTACAATGCCGTTATTGGAACATCAATTCTAAAACGGATGTCTTGCATCTTTTTCAATTACATTAATTATCAAGTATAATGTTTCATTTTAATACACGTTTACAAAATATTGTGCTGAACATTTTTTTTTTTTTTTTTTTTTTTTTTTTTTAAGCGATAAATAATATCTTTACTACATATTTAGTTAGTACGAGAAACGGGCAAACTTTTTATTTTTATTAACCATCAACTGTGAGACTATATGAGTATTGACAGAATACTATATTAGCTAATTAAAAATGTTTTATAAATAATTAAAGATGATTAAATTAATAAATATCTTCGGGGAACAGTACAATATATGTAGAGACTTTTTACTAATTCAATTCTAAAAAGTTCGTTTACCCATTTCTGTGATAATTTTATCGTTAGATTATTTGTTAAATATCGCAATTTGCTAATTTTATAAGTATTAATTCAAAGCAGTAGATGTAAGAACAGCGACTCCCCTCTCGTAGAAACTATGAGGATCTTGACTAGGAGCAATATTTAAATCAACGGTAAATAATAATTCAGTACGTGTGCTGTTAAGATAAACTGGTAAAGACAATTTTCCCTTTCGTACATCATCGGTGGCAGATCGTATCCACCTCAACATGGTAACTGGTAAATCGGTCATTATAGTTGAAGTCAGATACAACTGATTATCTTTACACTGCGCTCCTTGCAATTTAAGACCGGTTACAGCAAACGAACAATCATCGGTAGCAATATTGTCACTGTCTCCTATAGTTACATCGAGTTGAAGTTCCTCTAGTGACCAACTGTTTGCTTGTGCTATGCACTGTCTCGTTGCTGTAATATATGCTTCGGGATTCAATAACCCGCCAAGCCAAACAGGGAAACTCTAGAAAGAATATGATTATAGGAAATGATTTTGCTAATTGATGCAAAAATGTTTAAAGGAACAAACCTTAATTTCTTTAGCTCCACCTTGAGATACCAATCGTGAAACTTCTTGTAATTGTGACACTCTGTGACTGAAGTCTGTTATCCACTGTATGACAGTACATCCCCTGGGAACTGTGTATCGTCTCCAACCACCTGGTAAAATACCTTTCACTAATTCTGACAACATAGTTCTATGATAATTGGTTTGCTTCTTTTTACCCTGTAAAAAAAAAAGATATTTATATTTAAAGATCATATCAAAAGTTTTTTCAGTTTTTGAACTTTGCTCATGTTTGATAACACTTCTTAAATCAAGTAACATCAATTGTTTCTACATGGTTTTGAACAATGAGTGCATATTGAATGTAATAATTTTTCTGATAGTAGAACAATATCAATTTGAAGTTGAAAAAATACCTGACAAATTAAAACAACGTCTTCTAGATCATGAATCACGTCTTGTAACAATTTAGCTCCGCTGTTAACTTCTCTCTCAAAATACCTGTAGAGAGGATCTTTTATATTCTCTACAGTTCTTTTCAGCGTTGGTAAATTTTTCGGAAGTAATTGCAACCATGTTGATGCTGAATTGTGTAATGTTCTCATCCATGATGGCCTGCCATCAGCTTCCGCTTCTCTAGGTGTATCCAACGATTCTTCGTTAGAATACGCCAACTCATCTTCGTCTTCTAATTGTTGCATTTTTAGTAATTTAGACACCAAGTCTGTACCTCTCGTCGTGAGTAATACTTTCTCCGCGTTATTTGGTAGTCCAAGCCACGAGGGCGTTTGTCTATCAGACAGTGATTCAATCCATTTAAGGAAATGATCGCGTCTGGTACCATCTGGCATAGTAATATGTCGTTGGCCTCCTTGCAAACCGTCAATGTTAGCAACAAGCGCGAAATCGGCTTCAAAAGACCGCGGAGTAAAAAGCTTGCGAAGGAACGATGCAAGAAGACGTTGGTCGAAATCATTATCAATTTTACCACCGTATATGCATTGAGACAGTAATGTCACTAACGCATCCCAAGGTACCTTCTCTGGCGGTAAATTAGTTCTACCCATAGCAGTGGCCTCTATCCATGTATCCAAAGTATCACAAGCTACTCTTAAATCACTTTCGTTGAACTCATAATGTTTGGCCCATCCTAACGGTGCATAACGAAGACGTTCTTGAACGATAGCATGGAACCACGCTAATAAGAAGTAAAGACGAGCTCTTTCGTTAGGTACTTTCATCATTCTTGATGCTGGTACTGTACTGAAAGTTCGTAATAAATTTGCTCTGATTCCAGGAGGTGGTTCGAAGACAAATATTCTACCAGCTCTGAGCAGATTAACTGGCACTTTTGGATTGATTTCCATAGTTAAGAATAGTCTAAAACTAGCATGTGGTTGTAAACTGTGCAATTTCTTTTCAAGTTGTACTAACCACTGTGGTGCTAAATGGACATTTTTCAATAGTACCCATCTACCCGCTTTAACAGCCATATTTATTGCTCTGTCCGCTTGATTAAATCCTTCTGCAGATCCGATCGCGATGCTGGCTATTTGTTTGCCTGATTCAGCTGCCAAATCATCTACTCGACCAGAGGCATCGAAACCAGGTACTGAACAAAGCAGTGCAGGTACAGTAGCCTTTAATTCATTTTCAACAACGGAAGCAAAATCAAGTTCTGCTTCTGCAGCTGCCATGAAAGACTCTCCCAAAGCAGAGGTCACAACTAAAGACGCAGCAGCTATCACTCGATCTGGCCGGAATGCTTGAATTATTAATAGTTGATGCATAGCTGTTCCAGTAGGTGTCAATGGTTTTTCTTCGTCCCAAAGTTTCGGTACACACGTCTCGGGTGTTGGCGATTGTAACCACGTATTGAATTCTGTATTCTCTTGAATTTTCTCGCGCAACTTTTTGAAAGCTGGCAATCTAAGGCTCAATCGCATCATAGCTTCTTGTTGCTCTGAACTCAAATTAGGCATTATAGGATCTCGTATATTCAGTACACCTTCTTTTCCGCGCAAGAAAAATGTAAATTCACTGTCGTAAGTGGATTCTGCAGCAATACCTTTCAGATGAATTCTGCATAATAGTAATGCAAATGTTAATCTATCGGTGTGCAACATTCCACGAGCAACGCGTTCATAACAGGCAGAAAATAAATCGCTTGTAATAAATGATAGCCTTTGCGTGTAATCTGATATATTAGATAATCTTGGATTTTGAGATAAAACAGACGTAAAAACATCTAAGAACATTTTCAAAGAATACTGATATAAGAAGTGCACTTGATTCAAACTATCCATTGTGAAATACATATTTGAACAAGCTTGAGACAAAGGCATGTACTGTTGAGAGACTGTTTCAATTTCTGCTATCACTTTATCCGTTTCCTCGACTTTTTTACTAATATCAGCCGCTTCCTGTTTCAAAGTTTCAAGAGTAGTTATCACAGAATCATCATCGAGGATTTTCCCCTTAGCATCGTTTAATGCTTGCAACAAGGATTTTTCTAGCTGCCTCAGTCGCAAATGGAATTCACCTTGTAATTTTAGTAAATCAGATCTCTTCTCATCAATGTCTGGTCGTTCAGCTTTCAGAACTTGATTTAAGCACTGACTTTGCAACGAACTTCTAGTAACGGTGAAATTTACAAAGGTAACACGAGAACAGATATCAGGTGGAAATTCCACTGTTGGATCTCTCGTTGATAGAAAGATCACGAAAGATGGTGAAAGATCAATATCTTGATCCCCGAGTGTGATTAGCACACGCCCACCTGTTCTTCTTAATTCTCTGTTTAGGACAGGATTTAATATAGGGTCATAATTTTCGACATCCTGTACCAACAAAGGATTACCAAAACGTAACGCACTCTCCAGATTCTTTCTAAACGAATCGTCCAAGAAACTTGTTTTCGTGATCTTTCGATCTTTAAATTCGTTCATTATAAATTCTGTTGCTTGTCCAGATGGATCAATAATTAACGGATATCTATTGAATCGTTTCAACATAATAGCATTTTCAGTGCAAAGATCGTCTGTTGGTAGAGCATTAGCTTGCCACCTTAAACGTTCATCTGGATTTGAGAGATATTCCGTTCTTGCTATATCTGGCCGGAATTGTAAGTTTGCATGTTGTAAATGTTGACACCAAGTACTGAACAAATTTTGTCGGTACTGAAAAATATCAGAAAACGTACATATTAATATATAAAAATATATATATGGAAATATGTGTATATCTATATAGGGAAAAATATACATGTATGGGAACTATATTATTAAAAACCTACGTGTTGATCGAAATATCCAGCATATGCTAAGAAAGCAGATGACAAAAGTACATCTCCAATAATTGTAGACATTTGACTCTTAAATGTTTCACTAGTTGCTTCCCAACGTTCTCTTTCAATAACCAATGATTTTAATAAGGCGATAGAACGATCTACTTTAGCTTGTACGCTCTCCAAATCGGCTTTAATAGCTTGTGCCTGAGAAATAAGCTGCGCGTATTCTTCCTTATATGAAGCTATGCTCTGTTCCAGTTGAGCAATCAGATTTTTTACTTCTTCGCCTTTTTGCTTGTTTGTTTCGGCTTGTCGTTCTAACGAATGGAGTTCATCTCTCAAAGGTTCTACTCGTTTCAACATGTCTGCATATTCAATCTAAAATTTTTAAATTATACATTTTTTAATCGTTTTTTTTTTTTCGAAGAACACGTCAAATATTTCGTGGATATTTACCTGTGCGGTGGCCCATTTAACAAGAGGTCCGCAAGCCATACTGGCTCGATTGACTTTCTCGAAATTATAGTCAGGGTTGCTTAAATATCGACTCTTCATTTTCTCTCTCACTTCGTCTCTAAATATTTTAAAAAATTCTTTAATCTTTTAACTTAACGATTTGATAAAGATTTTTTTTTTTGCAATTTCAAGTAAAATTTTAGCATATTATATTATACACATGATTTTGGTTAGTAACAAATTTGTCAATTATTGTTCACATGCTCTACATATCAATTGTGCTTTGTGATTTGTCCAACGTTTGTTTAGATTTGAGATCAGCAAGCACAAAGATTAGTTGTAGATACATATATAACAGATATTAGTATTGCACATTTCTTTAAGATATTCGTGTACAACTTATATTTTTTTTCTTACTGTGAGCTTTAATTTCGATGAAAATCTTTTAGAAAACATTTGTATCAACGAACCGTGTTCGCTGATCCCTAGATTAAAAAAATTATTATATAGTTTATAAAACAAACAATGAAAGCATGCTTACGTAATATCCTCGGTACTGAAATTAGAGACAATAGTATTGATAAAATTGTCCCTCATGATGACTGTGCGGATAGATTTCCAATCGCTGGCATTTTCGCCGAGCAATAAGCAGATAGACTCCAATGCAACCTTCACGATCGCCGGCGGATTCGCCATGGACCGAACTTCGACTAAATGTTGTTTCTTTATTGATTTCACCGCTACACGAAAAACGAAATGATTTTATATATAGTACAATGAAAATTAAGTGCAGGCATGTGCAATTAGAAGAGTTATGACGATGTTGTTATGTGAGAAAAGCTCCGCAGCAGGCTGTATGTTTTAAACGACCTGTAGATAGTTAGAAATAAAAAAAAAAAACACGATACATTTTTATTTACAGTAACAGAGTATTTACGTATCACGTCCTTATAATTTTCGCTAGAAAATATTTAAAAATTGATATGTTGAGATTTAACATGAGAAATTTTTATAAGAACGTATATGCTATACATGGGTGAGTATACTGTATTTAGCCAAGAGACATAACATATATATATATATATATATATATATATATGTCAAGCGGTTATAGAGTTGTATCTGCCTCAATAAATTCCCACGCGAGTACTGAACATACAGCGGATCCAGAATCATTTCTTACGTGATGTATTCTGTGTTGAAGTTGACGATGGTTGGTATGAAACTATCCTTCATAATGATAGCACGAATCTGTTTCCAATCAGTAACATTTTCCTCGAGTAACAGGCATATAGATTCTAAAGCTAGCTTTACGATTTTTGGAGGATTTGCCATTGACCGAATTTCAACAAGATGCTGCCGCTTAATCCCCTTGACAGCTACAGTCGTTGTGAATGTTTGAACACAATGCGCGTCGCATGTTTCACGTATTCAAAATAGTGTACGGATGTACATCGATTACAGTTATATGTATATCAAAAGATAATAATTGTTTGCATTCGTTGCAATGATTAAAATTGGAATATAAACAATACATACCGTTTTGTGCATCAATAACAGCTGGTTCAACTTGTGCCAAATCGGCCATAACATCGTCTCGCTTTTGGTTAATAGCAACAGTTTGTATAGCCAATTGTTGTTGAATTTCTTGACTTTGCACTTTCTTCTTTTCCGCTTCCTGTTGATCTTTAACCATTTGCCGTAATTTCGCATTCGCGGCTTCATTTTTGGCGTGCAGTTCCTATGTACAAGATACACGTGAGAAAGAGCCGCAAAACAATTTCTTTTCATTTAGTCACCTTACCTGAGATTTTATAGCTAAACTTTTTTGCATTTCTTCCACTTGTTCTACTGTTTCCGCAATTTTACTTAAACCGACATTTAAATGCAACTGTTGTTCTTCCAAATCACTTCTCTTTTCTTGATACAACTTTACAAAATGATTGATAAAATCTAAATAATGGCGGGGTGTAATAGCCATTGTCCTGCCACTACGTTTGGCGAGCCTGGTATTGGCTTTGTGTAATGTTTGGTGCACATAAACGCAAGCGTTTATCACAGCATCTCGATGAGAAGGTTGAGATGGGATTAAAGAGCAAACTGAAGGGAAGAAATCTGGACACTTCCACATAGGTCTTTCCAAATCTACACGGCTGGTAAACTCTTTGCCAACTTGGAATAGCGCGTTATCTGACCAATCACCAAACCAATTCAACACACATCTATTGAATAATGCAGGTGATGTGGCAGCTCGATCTTTAAGACCATCAGTACTGGGGTTCATCGTGAATACTACATGCAAATTCTTCATAACTTGACCAGTAAACCATTTGTACAGTTCTTCGTTAGAATCTAACATAAGACCTTCGCGTTGCGCTCCTTCTTTACATTGTGTCATAAGTGTTGTGTATTCATCACCTTCGAATAAACCAGGTACTTCTCCATTTGCAAGCAAGGTATTCATACGCTCAAGAAAACCAGAATCTAAAACGTTAGATTCATCAAGAATAAATGCTATTTTTTCATCTTTACAACCAGATCGTCTTAATACTTGACGCAAATCTTCGTCAAAATCTTCACCAGTATATTTATTGTGAACCTTTGATGCAAAAAATACACATATTAAATCAATTGAAAACCTTTTAAAATGTAACATTTTTACAAAATATGAATACCTACCTTTATTTGAAAAATGGATAAACCATTCATCCAAGCAACGAATCTAGACAGAGTTGTCTTGCCAGCTCCAGAAACACCAATAAGCAATAAGTGTCCCTGAGGCTGACGGAAAATTCTGTCAATTCGTAAAACATGTTCAAGAACCTCGTCAAAGAGTACCAAAGGAACATCCAGCTCCTCTTCATAAAATACTTTCAATCTCGCTCTAACATAATCTCGTAATTCTTGTCTATTAACTGGCACATAGTCTTTAGATAACCAATTACTATATAATATAGGCCTCGTTAATGCTTTTTCCTTATCAACACCCATAAAATGTTTCATGGCAACGGTATCTATGTTCTTATTGGTCCAAGCTCTTTCAGTGTCTTCCACTAATCTATCTTGGAATAAACGAAGAGCCTCGTGTGCCCATAAGCGTACTAGGCCTTCAACCGACAAATTATCCAGGGGTCTAATAGCTTCACAAATTCCGCGTACCCAACGTGTCATTTCACGCGGAGAATAAACGTAATGTGGTTGCATGTCTTGCGTAAATCTTTCCTGCGAAGCTAGATAAAATTCTACCATTGCATTGGTTAAAGGTTCCGCGTAACCTCGTAAAGACGGTGTTAATCTGTAATGACAAATTGTGGATTGAAAGAGTTATTCTTTAATTCATTTGCAATAGTTTTAATGTGATTAACCATTATTGTTACTATTACCTAAGCATAGCCCGCGTAAATGTGCCATAAATTTGTTTTAAAGATGTCTCTCCCGGGTAATCGACATATATAACTGGAACATGTCGTAAAAATCTGTGACTAAGCGGTTTTCTACCTGGATCTGTTGGAGGATTGCAAGCACCAACGAATTGGATTCTTTCCAAAGTAACCCATGCTTGATCGCTAGTTCGATAGAAACCTCTATGTTCTACCAATTGTCTGAGGAACGAGATTACGCGTTGTGTCCCATAATTATCCATGTCCGGTAAATTAATTTCATCGCAAAATAGAACCAGCCATTTGCCTAGTTGTACTGGCGAAAGTACAACGCCATTGGGTGTTTTACGATATTCACAGTAATGATCAAAAGTTTTCAGCAATAATTCAGGTGTAGTAGCGGAAGAAAAGTTTAGCCCAACAACTTCCATATCGGGCAAAGCTCGTAAAGCAGAGAAAAGCGTCATAGTTTTACCAGAGCCAGGTGGACCACAAAGCACTGTAAAAAATTACACAATTTATTTTATATATGCTTCCAATTTTACAATCAGTTTATAAATATAAATATAATATAATATTACCTATTGGCTTATGTTCTGCTAACCATGTGTAAAGTAAACTTTCATGCCTTACTGTATCCAAAGTAGGTACAACGATATCTGGACTAGCAACTTTATGAGTTTCTACTTCAATCTGCGGAACTTTATTACTCCAAGGTAACCATTCACCATGAATGCTCACTTCAAAATCAATAATAGGAATGTTGTTTTGCGTTGGCAAAGGTACAGTCGTAATAGATCTAACAAAATCTCCTAAATCAGATCTAACTTTTAGCTTCGCGTCACCTGCAAAACTCCATAGCAAAGCATATACCAAGCATTTTGGCATGTAACGTTCCAGTTGTTCACTTGGCAAAGGGAAATCTGTATGTGAATGATTATATTGTAAAACATTGCGTACAGCTTGATTCAACATAGAAAATAAAGAGCTTAATGCTCGCAGACGTGTAAAATCCATTATATGTTCTTGTTTCATAGCATATTCCAAACATCTTACTACCAACCCATCTGGAGCAAAATAACTTTGTAAAATGCTGGCAACTTCTCTTTGAACTGACAATGCAGGAGACAGAGTATCATCTTTCTCCGTTGCCTTTTTGCCAAGATTATCTTCTTCTCCATCCTCGAGAGGAATGTTTCTTAAACGCAACATGTAATTTTCGAATATCATTTCTGTAGAAAGTACATCTTCAGAGAACCACACCATACCGCAACGAGAAACAGTAGCCAATGTGGCATATTTTAGATCTTGTACTTCAAACATAACTCTCACATTTGGAGGCAAACTTAAACGTTCGCCGTTTGGTAATGTAAGCAGTTTATTATCATCTAGTACAGAATTTAAATTTTCAACCCATTCTGGATCAACATCACCATCAAATATGATCCACTGTCGTTTATTAATTTCTCCTCTTACATTGTCTATAATTTTTCTAAGAATATGTGTAAAGAGTCCATCTGTCCATTCACGTGTATTTGGATCTAATACACCATATAATATTTCTTTGCTAATAGCTTTAGGATCGATCACATGGGCTACACCTTCTATTCCTTCGAATCTTTCCAAGGCTTTTAACAGTACTTTCCATGCAGTCGTTTTTCCAGAACCACTTGGGCCAACCATCATCAAACCATGATTCAAGTTACAAATTTGATATAGTTGCAGCACCTGAATAAAAGTATTTTATAAAAGTAGTAACTATCAAAATAAGAAAAAAGTTATAATTATATGAGTTTATGAAACAGGATGACATCTATGGAAAATGTTATTCGTGATTTAATTTTCGTCTCACCTTTTCTACCCAGGTCTCACCGACCATTTCCTGGGGGATGCATATGATAAAAAATTCAAACATTAGGAAGATATACCTATCTTACACATGTTCTTGGAAGAGACAAAAGTCACTGTTTGTCATTTTATTTATACTATCTTTCTTCATGCTATTTTTTATGATAGTGATAAGACTAAATAATGCAAAGATGATTATATATTATGCTCTATATTATGATATTATATTACCTTTTCCTGCCAAGCTCCTCCTTGTTCGTCACCTTCACCGCATACTAAATACTCTTCCATGCATACTTTCCTAATCTGATTTTTCAATCCTATAAGCATATATTTTATTTATAGTATATAATAAAAGAAAATGATAAACATATAAGACGTTGAAATATAACTTTTAATGTAATAATTACCTTTCATTTCAGCACGCGTATAATTTACATTCGGGAATACATCATTAAGTAAACTAAACAGCAGCGGAATATCTTCGGCGACTAATTTTGGTACCATTGTTTCGCAAACAGATTGAATAAGAATTTCTTGTTCCGGCAAATTTTCAGCAATCGAAGCCTCATCAATATTAGTTTCACCGCGGTTCTGCATACCCTCTTTAATTTTTTGAATCCGATCACGTTTAACATTTCCAGCAGAAATAAGTACAGATTTAAGTGCGCGAAGACCAAAATCATAATGAGATTGATTAGAAAGTTGTTCATCACAGAGCCTAAAAACAATATCATATACAGTGAAAAAAAGAAAAACATATATTTGAATGACATACAAAAAAATTAAAATCTCACTTGAAGAATGGTACAATCTTGCATGCTAATTTTTCAGCAGACCTAAATCCTTGACTGAAAAGCATAACTTCAGCGATTAATTGTCTATCAGGTGTAGTCATAGCTAGCGACCTAAAAAGCTTTTTCAAGTTATCGGGAAGATTTGATCGCCCAGCATAGCCTGGATTCATTGTAATAAAGATCGCCATATCTGTGGATACTTTAACTTGTTTCCCGACTAATTCTACACAAAGTGTTCCTTCTTTTTTCCCTTCCATCTGACTTTTTAATGCTTCTTGAATGGTTTGTACTTGTTGAGAAACAGCTGAAAGCATACGCTCTTCAAGACGATTGAATTCATCGAAGCAGCCCCATGCTCCAACTTGACAAAGACCGACAAAAATACGGCCCATAGCCTAAGAAAGCCAATACAATATTACTAAACATAATTTTTTAGAAATAGTATAGCTATCGTATTACTTTAATAATGTTCTTTATTTACCTGAAAGTCGAATGTCTCATCGCAGTTAAACACCAATACAAATCTTCCAAGTTGATGACCAAGAGCTTTAACCGATTCAGTTTTTCCTGTTCCAGCTGGTCCAAACGGAGATCCTCCAAGACGAGCTTCTAAAGCTTGTGTCATTGTTAAGTAACATCTATCTGTCAAAGGTGTTTGTACTAATCTATCTTGTACTCCCAAATACTCAAATCCGTAATAAAATTTCGCATTTGCCATATGTATTGTAAGTTGTTGCAAAACTTCGGTTTGCCGTGGATCAAAATAGAATCTCATTTCACATAGCCATTCAAATGCTTTAGGATTGGAAACTTTATTCGCAATTAGTCTCCTTGTTACTGTGCGTTTGTGTACGAACTCGTTAATTAAATGCTCTAACTTTTTCCGTCTTAACGATGGTTGTTCTTGAAGAACAGAGTCCGCTAAAACATTTAATGTACCTTCAACTTGTAGTAACACTCTTTCCAAAGAATTCTTACTTGGATCGCTTTGTGATTCATGCAACGCGGCTTCAACATCTTCTGACCATAAGATCTGAGCAGCTAAAACTATAATCTGAGCCTGATAATTATCACACCATGTCATGAAAGCTTGAGGATTAATATTTCCATCTTTGAACTGTTTGATATCTTGTACTGCTCTTGCAAGACTCGATGCTAGTGTAACTCTCATTTCTTTTTCTACGAGCGTCAACCATTCATTGATTTTTGGATGATCAACAGTAGATACCGGATTTTGGAAAAATACTTCTTCTCCTTCGCGAGAAGCAATACCAGTAATAATAGTGTTATCTTCGCTCAAGAGAATAGCTGCTACACCAGCAAACATTTTTTTAAAATGTTTCTGTAATCTTGCAATATTTTTGCTATTACCAATAATTTCCAACAAATCCTCATCACCCACGAAATAAAATCGCGGGAATGACGTACGTTCTCTTTCAAGGTATTCTCCTAAAGCTTTCTGTATTTTTCCAAGTAAATCAGCTAAACGTTCAAGTGCTCTTTGCACACCAGGAATATTTAGGACATCCATTACCATTGGAGATTTAGATACTTTTTTCATTAAACCAAGAAATTCAGAGCTAATACTTTGGAAGCGTGACGTTTCAACAGGCAATAGTGTTTTAATGTCAGCACTTCCTGAGAAAATTCCTTCCAGATAAACCCAACGTCGCTGAACATCTATCCATACGTCAAATAAAGCATTGATTCTGTTTAGTTTTTCTTCCCAGGTTAATGCCTCTTCTTCAAATACTTTATAATAAGGTGAGAGTTTCATAGCAGCTACAGAATTGATGTGTTCTTTAACTTTATTAAAAAGATCATCCCAACCACGAATTAACCTGCATTTATTTTGATAGTTTATTAAATCCAATTCATAAGTCTGCCAAGATTCTCGAACTTGTTTTAAGAATTCTTCTAGTGCCATTTCACCTTGAGCAACAAGAATAATATCTTTTACTATCGCTTCATTTTTCTGTAAGTTCACATCCCAAACTTGGCCAAGGGTAAGTTCACTTAATACCCAGTTGACTCGTAGTTGTTTTGTCAATTGTTTCCAATGTCTCTCTTTCAAAGCATCAGACTTTAATTCGAAAATTAACATGTTAACTTTGGTATAACTTTGCAGCATTTTTTTGACGTATTCATATGAGGAATATTGTCTTAGTCTAGCTGGTAATTCCTTCAGTTGTGCCATCATTCCATCCAACTGCTGGCGTAATTTTCTTGGTTGAACAGATAACCATGGTTTTTCTCGTGTGTCATCGATCTGAGCCCATATTTTTGATAATTCAGACCAAACTCCTCTTAAGTCTTGAAGTTCTTCAAACACTACTTGCATTCTATCTTCACTGGTCGATACTGCCCCTGGTTCTTGCAATTCTAAAGCTTCTTTAGCCTTTGCTACATTATCTCTTTCTTCTTTCAATCTAGCAAACTTGCTTTCGAACAACTGTAATTGTTGCAATGCATCGTCTGGTCGTAAATGACCCTCGACTGGTTTTCCTCTTTCCCAATCACTGAGGAAATCGGTAGTCCTTATTTCAACTGCTTTATCTTCTGCTACGATTTTCATTTGTAACGACGCAACCTGTGTTTGTATACTTGTATCTTTTCTTTTGATTATTTCATTGAATGCACCCCATTCACCTTCTATGTTGTCTACGTGCAACCACGAAGAAGGAAATTGGAATCTCTGACGTTCCAGTATTCTTTGACCTTCGCGGTATATATCAACTTGTTTCTCCCAAGCCTTCATTTTACGTTTCAATGATTGGACGTAAGTTATGAATCCAACTGCATCTGAGGTACTTGCAGCTTCGATCGATTGTTGTTCTAAATCGCTTCTGGATTTTGATACTTGCGAATGAAAACTTGCCATTTCATTGCCGAGAAGGGTTCCAAATTTACCTAATGTTTCTTTGTGCCATGAATCATATTTCAAAGATACTTTGCTTTGTACTTTTGCGAAATCAATAATAACAGGTCCAAATTCCCTCCTAGTATCTGATGTATCGAACGTAGCTCTGGTCTTTTTAATATCATTCAAACATTTCATCCATAAATTTATATTTTCTCCTAATTTTCCATATAAATTGTCTGGTTGTAAGTCCCAAAGTGCTTGATAACGTAGCCACTGATCTACATAATCGGCGATATCTCTCATTTTAGACTCAACTGCTTCATAAGCTGCTTCTAAAGGTTGTTTTCCACTAGGTAATTTTGTAAGTAAATTTCTATAAGTACCTGATTCAGGTTTATCTAAACCTACTTGATACCTCGAACTCTGAAGTCGAACTTGGGAAGTTACGATAGCTTGCCATGCAAATAGTTGTTGCATTATTTGGAATCTTGCATCTTCGATGCTTGGATATAAATACATTGTTTGGTTTGTTATACGAACTTCGTGTATCTGATTTTGAATCTTTGGATCACCACCAGGTTTATGAGTGGGCTGAGACGGTGCATCTGTATCCATACTTAGATCTACATCTTTTTTCTGACCAGTGAGTGCGTCAGTCCATGCTTTTATTCCTGCCTCTAATCTGGCTGCTAAATTCTTTTCTACTTCTTCATCAAGTCTAGATACCCAAATAGTTAAATTTGAATAATTTTTTAAAGATAGTTCATCCACAGCTTTCTGAATTTTGGAAAGTATATCAGCAAATGTATTTGCTGAATATGGACACGTTTCGAGAGATCGAACATCAACGTCCAATTGCTCTTCAACCACCACAAGATCTTCTACCTTTTCTTGAAATGAAACAACGGCATCAGAAAGACGTTGTACATATTGATCTAATTTATAACTTTCCCAAATTAGAGCAATTCCCTAACATCAAAAATAAAAATAATTAATAATAAAGATAACAAATTTTTATAATGCAATTATAAACTTACTTCAGAAATAAGCGATAATACGTCATTACGCATTCCAGCAACTAAGGGAATTATACTGGCCTTATCTTCGATCTATGAAAAAAGACAAATTATCAAATGTAATTTTAAAAAACTTATATCATAAATCATATCAATACAATTTCACGACATAAATTACCATTTACCATTCAATAATGTACAGACAAGAAGGCAAACAAAAATTTTACATGTTCATAGCTTATGCTAAAAAATTATATGACAATTTTCATTTATGATTAATATATTACAAAAACGGAGAAATATGACATTACTATATCAATTACAAGCAACTTTCTGAATGTGCGGCCAATCAAACTTCCCAAATCAATTATGATCACATAATGCAAGTTTCAAGTAAATGAAGAATATGAAATAGAAACAAAAATTTACTTATGATGAATTTTGAGATTTTTGTAAAAAATTCGAAAGCCAACAAAAATCAGGAATATTAAAAAGAACCAAAAGACGTGTAAATTTTAATATTTCTATCGAAATTGAAAAAGCTCCAATTTTATGGGGTTCCCGCACATCCTATGATTCACCTACTCATACTTTCTTCACTAATTTCTTTCAATTGTTTAGTTTACTAAAATAAAATCATATCATCTTGCAGTACACATTTTTCTACAAGAGCTAAGCAGGCATACAATAATGATCTCGCAGATATAGGCAAAATGCATAATTCCTGAAAGCATCATATATGACTACCTTCAGTGCGGGGCAGTGGGGACTCCGATTGGTAAGCTAAAAATATTGGACACCCAAGGAATTAAAAATATCAATATTACTAACATATATAATTTCATCCTGGTTCTATTCCCTATCATTGTCTAACCTTTCACTTGTATTTTTAAAGTTTATCGGTAATAATATATAAAATAATAATTATAATGCAATTAAGTTGCAGTATGTTCATAAAATCATATACGAATTATAGTACTATAATTATAAATAATAAAATGAAACAAAGTATTACCTTTTCAAGTGTTCTCTCATATGTTCTAATACTCTCAATTAAGCTGATGGCAAAGGGATATAACTGATTAGCTTGATGTGCTCTGTTCACAATAGGTAAAGGTACACGGAAGCCAAGGTTCCTTAAATTTCTAACTTCCTTCGATAGTGTAATAATTTCAGGAAGAAAATTCACTTTCAATTTTAATACATTGCCACGCCCCGTTCGTGAACGTACATTTTCTATTGTAAAAATCCTTCCAGTTACACCGAGATTTCTTTGTTGCACTTTGCGTGCCCAATCATCAAAAATTTCCTGAGTTGATAGTTTCATGCGAAAACTATCTCCATCAGCTTTCAACTTTTGACCTTCAATATGAGTTTCCCATCCTTTCCCTATAAAAGAAAAATAAATAAGAATAAGATAGAAAAACTATGCAAAATAATTTTAATATTTACCTAAAACATCTTCAACTCGTTTTAAGTACATTGTAAGCTGATAATCTATTTGTTTGACCCAAATAATAGAACCAGCAACAGGTGGTAAATCTCTAACTATACTCATTTTGCAACACTTGCTTTGTGCATATTGAACCTGAATTGGTAATGTAACTATTAGCATAGATTAAGAATAGAAGATAAAGAATATGAGTTTTCTATGTGAGTTTATACCTTAAACTTTTCATGTAATGCTTCAATATCATCCTTCACCCTTTGTATCAGTTGCGTTTGATACTCTCTAATGGCGCCTCGAATATGTGGTCTTACAAAAAGTGCATTGAAACGTGAAAAGATTCTAAACATTTCATTTGCATTTTTTGCAGTACCTAATTGATCTCGGAGATGTGCTGTGATTCTTGCTTCAACTCTTTCAATACGTTCTTCATATCTATGGACAGCAGCTTTCCATGATTCAACACCTTCTTTAGTAATATCAAGGCAATCGATTTCTTTTACATTTTCGTATGCCAAATTTACTTCACTAATGGCATTTGCATCTGCTGCATCTAAAGCAAATTCAACTTTTACGTTATCATTATCTGAATTCTCCATTGCAGCATTATTATTATTCTGACGGACAGTAGGTCTAAGTACCCGAACGATTACTGTTCTGAGTTGTTCATGTTGACGCCGGAAATTTCGCATCTGTTCCATTCTTGTTTGTAATTTTTTATGTGCTGGTAATACTCTCCATACCATTTTCATATGTTCATCACGTTTTTTTTTAACTATATCTCTTAGTAAACCAGTTAATTTTTCATATTCATCATCCCACGTGTTAAAAACTTCAAAACATTGTTCCATAACCTTTTCAAATTCATCAAATGGAATGTGCATTAACCTTCTTGTACCTAACACTTTAAGAAGCTGCTGTCCTAGGTCTCTAGAAATAGCTTCTATCAACCTCAATACTCTTTGAACAGGATATTTTGTATTTCTGATTTTTCGTAGGTGCATAAATATTTGTTGAACGCTAGTTCTTATTCTTTCAAGTTCTGTAGCTGATAATAAGTCATTAATTGGGAAATCTTTCATTAACGGATTGTAATCATTGACAGTAGCCAAAGCTTGTTGTAGGCCAGTATCTATATCGAAACTAACTGTTGCATGAAATCTTTTTCCATGTTTAAGTATATCAAGTGTCAAAGTAATTTCTATACTTTCCCGTTTCTCTTGTATTCGATGCAATGCTCTTTCCAAATTTAACCAAAAAGAAATTTCTTGCAAAGCAGTGCCCGATTCTGGGTCACGATTTAGTTTAGTAACCTATGAAGAAATAAATATATATAAAGCATATAATGTACATAACATCCATGAGCTCTTTACCTTCTGAATTTCTTTTATCCATCTATTGACACCATTCTGTAATTGATTCAAAAATGTAGAATCTTCAACTTTATCACCAAAGTCAGCAACTTTGGGCTTACGATTTTCTTCTGCACATTGTTTAATTACTTGCGCCACAAGTGGATGAATTTGTAATGAAATCTCGGGAATGTCTATATTCTGCTGTAGATGCAGCAAACCCATTTCAAGTTCTGCTATCTTTTTTTCAACGGATGGTGCCATTTTATCACCATCCCTGTCTGCACGGCCTGTCTCTTTTACATAACTTTTAAAATATGGTGCCATAGTTTTACTTATCGCATGTAACGTTTCATACGGTGGCCCATCTGAGAACGTAACTAAACGCAGCTGCGAATGGATAGATTTATCAGCTTCAATTACAGCTCCACGTTTTGTTAAAACTAAGGAGGCCATTTTAGGACTAGTAAAATGTATCTCATTTGACATATAAAAGACAGTGCTCTCTTTTTCTTCATCTGCTTCATTGTTGTCTTCCTCTGAAAGATAATAAATCAATTACACTACCCTTATAAAATAAAACAAGGGCATATTCAATTAAAAATAATGTCAATCCTCATTTTCTAAAAACATTGTATCACTTAATAACACCAAATGCTCGATACCTTATAATGTTATTTCAAATAATTTACATATTTAACGATTTAATTTTATATTTTCAGTTATCACAGTTCAAACTGTTTCGATTTCCTACTAAACACGAGAATAAAAACACAGTTGATATAAGTATCAACGTATACCGGCATATATTTATTACAATCTGGTACGTATGCAAAAAAGTATCAACGAGAAAAAACGTGTTCACGGTATTACGTGTATTGATTATGTTAACGCGTGAGTCATATTTACGAGATTGAAATGCATTGAAACGGCGAACTCCGCACTAATATTCAGGATACATTTCCTGTCGTGACTTAATGTACCGTTGTATCGAAACACTGCAATGGAGGATATATCATAAAAGGGCAGAGTACGAAAAATTCCCAGCAAACGAACCAGTTAAAATGACTAGTGTTTATTGCGAATCAATCCACGTACCTTTGCTCGAACTTCTTTGTATGTAAAGCGCCCACACTTGAGAGTCGCCTAAGAACTTTCTCACGCACTCCTGATTGTTCTTATCTTCGAGGGCAGAATTGAACGCGGGTGGTACCACATCTTCGTCGGGCAGGAGGACCGTTACGACTTTCTTTAAATAATTGGCGAATGCCGAATATGATACAACTATAACAATTTGAGACTCCGGGGACGGCTCCCCGGTGCCGTCCAACGAGTCACCCATCGCGCGTTAAATCAATATCGCAAAATTTTTCTTTTCTTCTCTCTCTTTTTTGAAGTCTTGAGCGGGTGATCGGACGACCACCGCTCTAGGATGAACTGTCACACGAGTGATGACGAGTATGGTAGGCATAGACTATGAGGCGCAACCTACCTACGAATTGCGACGATTCTCTAATAATCATTTCGGCTAGTTCTCATGTTGCCTCTGCCAAGTCGTAAATTACCTTGATCTTACATTGCCTTTACGCTTCTTTCGCTCGTTACTTTTGAGTTTTGAGAATAATCACCGATCGTGACGTGTTCGTTAAAGTGCGCGAACACTTTTTACATGAGTGTAATTGTTATTGAAAAGCAACGATTCTTTCTACGAAGAATGTTCGCGTCGGTATAGTAGAAACGATACTTCAAATACACAGTTCGAGCATGTGTATACGTTAGTACGTTGAGTATCGTAGGATGCGTGTAGATTATAAGCATGAAGCAAAGAATGGGTGGTTGGGAACAGCAGGTGTAGAAATTACCGCGGTGGTTTTGATGATAAAAAAATAACGTTTGCTTGAAAAGAACATAGTGTAACAATAACAGTGACATTCGCGGGCAGTTGTACGTTCTGTAAGAATATTTGATTGCTATTGGTGTACGTACGTGATTACAGGTTTACATATAATAAAAAAGAACATTTTGCACCGGCTTGTACCGCGTAACTGTCCCGATCGATTTATCTTACGATTATTCTACAATGGAAGCTTTAATACCTGTAATAAATAAATTACAAGATGTATTTAATACCGTTGGCTCTGACGCTATACAATTACCTCAAATCGTTGTACTTGGTACACAGGTCAGTTAGTACATTTTTTGAATAATAAAAAAAATGATTGCTACTTTGCAATTGACAAAGCACTTAATTTGAACCTTTTTTCTTTCTAAATGTAAAGACGTAAATCTGAATAGATCAAAATTTATTAAATTAATTGTTTACATTACAAATAATAAATATATATTTATTACACATACATATGTATGTATATATGATTGTTGAAAATATTTACTAAACGTAATATTTTGTTTTTTTTAGAGTTCTGGAAAGTCATCTGTAATTGAAAGTCTAGTTGGTCGATCCTTTTTACCACGAGGTACTGGTATAGTTACTAGACGCCCCTTAATATTGCAACTTGTTTATGCACCCAAAGATGACCGCGAACATCGAAATGCAGAAAGTGGGACATTAGACCTAGATGAATGGGGCACATTTTTACATATGAAAAACAAAGTCTATACAGATTTTAATGAAATCCGTAGGGAGATAGAATCTGAAACAGAGCGTATGGCTGGATCTAACAAAGGAATTTGTCCAGAGCCAATTAATTTGAAGATATATTCGGCGTCAGTTGTTAATTTAACTCTGATAGATCTTCCTGGTATCACAAAGGTACCAGTCGGCGACCAACCAGAAGATATTGAGAGTCAAATACGACAGCTTGTGTTAAAGTATATATGTAATCCTAATTCTATTATATTAGCTGTTGTTACTGCGAATACTGATATGGCTACAAGTGAAAGTTTAAAGCTTAGCAAAGATGTTGATCCAGATGGAAGGCGTACATTAGCTGTTGTTACTAAACTGGATCTTATGGATGCTGGTAAGTCTATAGTTATTGTTACAGTATTATTAGTATTGTTTGTTATTTACTTACTATGATTTATAAAATATGTATATATCGTTTTAGGAACTGATGCTATAGATATATTATGTGGAAGAGTTATCCCTGTAAAATTAGGAATTATTGGAGTAGTTAATCGTTCCCAACAGGATATAATGAATAATAAAAGTATTCAAGATGCATTAAAGGATGAAGCTGCATTTCTGCAACGTAAATATCCTACTTTGGCAAACAGAAATGGAACTCCTTATTTAGCTAAAACATTGAATCGCTTACTCATGCACCATATTCGGGACTGTCTGCCAGAGTTGAAGGTAATAACATGGATTTTACTTGATAATAATCTATAGTTAGAAAAAACTAAAGTAAACATAATTTGGTAGAACTTATATTTTTTAAAAACAGACGAGAGTAAATGTCATGGTTTCACAATTTCAAACTCTTCTTAATTCGTATGGTGAGGATGTTTGTGACAAGAGTCAAACATTGCTCCAAATTATTACGAAATTTGCAAGTAGTTACTGTTCCACGATTGAAGGAACAGCTAGAAACATAGAAACGACTGAATTATGCGGTGGCGCTCGAATTTGTTATATATTTCATGAAACATTTGGAAAAACGCTAGATTCTATACACCCGCTGGCGGGTCTGACAAAAATGGATATTTTGACGGCCATTCGAAATGCAACTGGACCACGACCTGCGCTATTTGTACCCGAAGTTTCTTTTGAATTATTAGTTAAGCGACAAATTCGCAGACTAGAAGAACCATCGTTACGATGCGTAGAACTTGTACACGAAGAAATGCAAAGAATTATTCAACATTGTGGTACTGAAGTGCAACAAGAAATGTTACGTTTTCCAAAATTGCACGAGCGTATCGTTGATGTTGTAACGCAGTTACTACGTCGACGTCTTCCACCTACTAATCACATGGTGGAAAATTTAGTTGCTATAGAATTAGCATACATCAATACTAAACATCCAGATTTTCATAAGGATGCAGCTCTTGTGTCATCTTTATTAAAGAACTCTAATGTGGATCATGTAAAACACAACAGAAAACTTCCTTCTGCAAATTCCACATCAAATACTGTAGTTTCAAATGACACTGTAAGTAATTGTTGATAATATTTATAATAATGTTAGCATATTCTAAATGTAATAATTAAATGTATAATTATAAAACTATATATAACTGTATATAACCACTGTATATACCATCATTATTATAATATTTATTAAATTGTTATTTAATAATTTACCACGTACCTTTATAAATAATGTAACTGATAATTTTATGTTTAATCAAAAGATTAATATTTTTTTTAATCATTTTCTGTGTGTTGTATAAGTAAATACATGTAATGTTTCTAACAGAATGTAAAATCACTCAATAATCAAGATGAAGTGGCATCTTTTCCTGAGCAGAATAAGGACCAAGGACATCAAATGGTGTTAAGTAACTGGTTATTAAATAATCTTATACCTCAAGGAAGAACTGAAAGCAGTTCGGTTGATGGTTCTCCAGTAAGGAATCGTGAAACCAGTACTTCTCCTCACCCAAATCAAAATACAGTAATTGAAATACAGAAAGCATCTCCGCAACAAAAACCTGTAAATCTACTGCCTGAAGTACCAGTGCAAACATCTCGTAAACTAAGTGAACGAGAACAACGAGACTGTGATGTAATTGGTATGGATAAAAATATATATTTTTTCAAGGAATATTATTTTATGTTATTTATTTATATACATTTTCTTTTTACAGAAAGATTAATAAAATCATACTTTTATATTGTACGAAAATCTATACAAGATAGCGTACCCAAAGCTGTCATGCATTTTCTAGTCAACTATGTAAAGGATAATTTACAAAGTGAACTCGTAACACATTTATACAAATCAGATCACGCTGAAGTTCTTTTAAATGAGAGTGAACACGTCGCTGTTAGGCGCAAAGAAGCAGCAGATATGCTAAAGGTATGTACAAAGAAACAATACTTTTTCTTCTACATAAATTCTTGATCTGTTTGTATTTGTTTTCTATTACAGGCACTAACACAAGCTGGTCATATTATTAGTGAAATTCGAGAAACGCACATGTGGTAACTGATTTTATATATTATTTACATGATCAGTTTATAGTTCAATTTAGACAATTTGATGGTTTCATAAATAAACTGACAGACGAGATGATGTGTACCTCTAAATACTGTATATAAATTGTATTTTTCGTGCAAGTAGTCTTTATAATTACAACAGTTATTTTTAAGGTTTTAACATGCATTTTGTTTTAGTTTTATTTTATAGAATAAAATACAATCACACGTGCATTTGTAGTAATCATCGATATTAAACGATCAATGTATTACCACTTATAACAATGGTGCTCGTGCCATGACTTTAAAAGCCTTACCAAAGTTATGCAAATATCTAATTTACATAAAAAAACGATCACGAATGCTGGGCAGTTTGTTATATTTTGTAACATTTTGCACTACATGAAAAAATTGAAAAATGGCAATAGCTAATACAAAAGATATGTAATGTAAAAAAATCTTGTTTTTGAATGCTTGTGATACAGGTCCTGAGTCGTGTGTGTGTGTCCACGTGTGTATGTATATAATACGTATATACATATTAATATTTTTTTGTTGATTTATTACTATTGAGAGGTACAACCAAACTGATTGTAACACTGAATAATACATTGTTGTGTTTTAATAGTTTCAATGTTGGGTGCGATGAGATACTTCTCAATAAACTGTATATGCTCAAGTAACTGAGGAAGAGCCTGTTCATAATGGCCGTCATACATTTTAGAAATAGCGTTCAATCTTTTCTCAACTGACTTTTGAAACTGATTCTTTATTTTTTTTAGATCAATTTTCTCGGTACAGTTGCGACACCGTTTACTAGATATATTTTGCATATGTTTTTCATTTAATGCGATTGTACCAATAATTTCTGAACACACCTTGCATTTGAAATTCATAGTTTCAGGTAGCGGATATTGCCAATTTTGTGCACATGCTTCGCATGCACATACGAAACGATACTTTTTCCACAAGTATTCAAGCCTTGATTCAAGCCTCTCGCTAAGCCAGTGCGGTCCATAACAATCAAGAATTTCGGTATCCTTACCGATAAAACGTAATGCTCTTAATGCAACTATTCCTATCGAAAATTATTCTTGTTTATTTAGATTTCATAAAACATAAGGAATCAGTAATTAAAAGCATGCTTTTTACCTGATGGATAAGAATGGCGAACTACATTTGGATAACAACTGTGGTTTGTAAGACTAACCGAAGGATAAATTGCTCCGCCTATATGCCTTGGTTCCCAAGCATGCGTTTTTTTATCATATATATTTTCTACAATTTCATAAGCATTGCAATTAATAACTTGTAAGTTGTGCAACATTGCCACTGCCAAGAAGATGAAAGATTCTTTTAAGCAAATAACGTCCATTTTACTCAAGACAAAAGTAAAACACTTTGCTAAAAATATAGCTTCTATAGCTCGAACAAGATTTATGCTAGGTTCCATCTCTGCACAATGAGTTTCTAAATTTAATATGGTACGATAATCGTGAGTACAATAAGCTTGATTTATTCCTAGATCGCTGTATTCTTTGTTTTTATTTGCAGCGTAATCTCGAAGAAAATTGTCATTTAAAAAAGGAATTTTACTTTTTTCCGGATTGTTAATTTCCTTAGTATTTGAAGATAAAAAGGCTGAAATTATCATTCTATAAGCTAGCAATAAATGTGAAGTATGTATTTCTTCAAGATCATTTCCATAAAAAGCGTCAAATATAAAACATTCGTATTGATGATACATTTGCCACGCTTCTCTGCGACATTTTTCCGTACAGAAAGATACCTGTAGAAGTACAAGTTTATTTATATTTTTAAAATAATATATTAACATCATATCAATAGAATATGAAAGTACAAGAAAATAGAATGATCGAAGATAATAAAAACGATATCGATATCGTGGTCTGTGTTACTAACTGTTTGGCAAAAATAACAAGGAATTTTAACACTGTCACTCGATTTAAGAGTAATATGACAGTGTAAACAATTTCTATCAAGTGCTTCCTTCTTCGTACTGAATGCAAATGGTGTTTCAACGATAAGAACAGATCCTGCCTTGATGTTTCTTGTAGCTACGAGATGTCGACCTCGTGTTTCATCAAATTGTAAAGCAATAGCATCGGAACAACTTTTAAGAGTAGCATGCTGTTTTCTATCAACACTCGGTACCACCAAAGCATTTCTTGTCAATGCATTTTCGGGGGAAACATTTTGACTTTTGTTGCATTTTTTACGCAGTCTTTTGTCCTGAGAAGATAACAGCTTCATATTTTTATAGCATTCACGCTCTAATTGGGTACATGCTTTTCTACGTTCCGAGAAATCGTTCTTATATTCAGGAGTTTTATCGTAAAAGTTTTCGGGAAGTGCAAGCATGCATTCGCAATATTTCAAGCATTTTACGAAAGCTTTCGAATTATAACAGTATTTTGCGCAATCTAGAAGCGCATTCAGAAACAATCTACTAGTTACACTGGCTTTAAACAGTGTTTCGGTAAGAATACTACTTTTATTTGTTTCCTCGTGCACAATTCCATCCTCAGTTATCATTCCACTTCTTTTGTAAAGTTCCGCCGCTTTAATATCATCCTTACCCCTGTACGACTCGACTATCATTACTCTTTCAATACACGGTATGTTTATGAGAACCTTTATCATTCCTTCCCTATCTCCCTTTTCAGACAATTCCTTGAGACGACTTGCACATGGTTCTACAATTGCAGCGTTGTAAGCAACCTTGAAAAATTCGCTAAAGGAGATGTACCTATGAAAAATTTCAATCATTTATACGTATGTATATAATAGTAAAATTTAATTTGTACATAATAGTAAAATTTAATAATTGTCGCGTAATTTCAACAATTATGCGCGCAGCTAATTTAGATTTCTAAATTTACCAGTGGAAGTTAATCCAAACTGAAATAGTTCGAGCAATTATTTTAAACATGTACATACTTACAGTGATGTTGTCTTTTATTAGTGGTATTTTATCAGAAATAAATTAAATAAAAACTGTTTTATTTATATGTTTGTAGATCTAACGAAATAGGGCATATCTTTCTAAATGTATAGATTATAAGAAAAATTGATTGCTCACCCTTTCGTAAGAGACATGATTTTGCAAAATATTGATAAATTGTATAATTATCATTACATTAGAGCTTGCAAGTTTATTGCAGGTGCAAGTCAAGAAGACGAATGAGCTGTGACGAATTCTAAAATTAGATCTTGCGCGCTAGGACATGTAAATGATTTCTATTGATGCATTTTAAATTTAAGCTCGGTAAAAAGTAAAGAATAATTTTATTGAGTCACTGCTAATTTTTGAAATTTCAATATGTAATACAATACCACGACGAAATAAAATGAATACAATTAAATTTGTAACAATAAAGAAAGATTAATACAATACATGTGATTTTAATATTTTTAGTAATTTATAATGTAGTAAGTATATGCTCATGAAATGATTTCAAATAATTATACATATATCAATTTCCTGTTAGAAATTGAAATTTAAACTAAATTGATTTTTAATACTACTTTTTACAGCTGATGTCACTAGTGTAGGTAACCACCAGGACTAAGAGTGCTAGACGTCACATGATAAAAACGGGTGTGAGCGCTTTCGTCTTAATTTGTATATGAAATTTACTTAGTTTAAGTGTTTCTGAAACACTCTGTTGTTAATATATATTTTGAAGTTGAAGTTAATCATTTGTTGGCGTTCTCGTGTTTATTTCAAGAAGTAGACGCAACAAAGAAATTAAAAACAGCACGATGAGATACATCTTGGGTTCTACTTTTGCGGGGACTGCTTCTGCAACTATTCTAGTATTAGGTATTTGATATTTACCTATTTAAGTGGCAATTTTTTCAATAGCAATTTTTCAAATATTACAAAAATAAACTGCTCAAAGTGAGATAAATTTGTTGCAAATATTAGTAACAAGAAACTCAGTTTTGTTCTTTGCATTTTATCTTTGGAGGACTTGTATTTTTTAAATAATGCTTTGTTGCAGTATTATATCATGTACTTACTGGAAAAGGAGAGCGAATCAGTATCGCATGGTAAGTGTGCATATTTAAATTAGATATGCTTTTTATTCAATATTACAATTATCTTTGATACATCTATTAAAACATTTTTACAACACAATTGTACTAGGTTTTTAGAAAATACATCCCCATATATGTGGGCAACTCTTGGTATTGGTCTTGCAGTTGCTTTATCTGTAGTTGGTGCTGCACTGTAAGTTTTACTTCTTTTTATAAACACGTATAATGCACTATTTTTTTTTATATATTATCTACATATATATTTTTATATGTTCAGGGGAATTCATACAACAGGAGTTTCAATTATTGGAGGTGGTGTAAAAGCTCCAAGAATCAAAACAAAAAATTTAATCTCAGTAATATTCTGTGAAGCTGTGGCTATTTATGGTTTAATCACTGCCATTGTATTATCTGGAATGCTGGAGCAATTCAACCAGGAAAACCTAGCTGTTCGCAGCCAAAATTGCTTAGCTGGTTATTTAATGTTTGGAGCTGGTGTAGCTGTTGGTCTTGTTAACCTCTTTTGCGGTATAGCTGTTGGTATTGTTGGTTCTGGTGCAGCCCTCTCTGACGCAGCAAATTCTGCTCTTTTTGTTAAAATTCTTATTGTAGAAATCTTTGGTTCTGCTATTGGATTGTTTGGATTGATTGTTGGCATTTATATGGTAAGTTTATATAGTAACTTACTAAAAATGTTATTTTTTAATGCTAAATAATTCGTTCATATTTTTAGACGTCTAAAGTAAAAATGGGAGATGAAGTGTAAGTTTAAATAGCGTTATAAAATAAAACCCATAAAATATTTTTTAGAATCACAATTTCATTCCATGTTTAATGATGGTTGAAAAGGAGATAAATACAGAAAAAGATATTAAAAAAAGAAATAGTGACAATTGAGAAGAAAAAATATTGGAAAAATATTAAAAAGCATAAATTTTTTCTTTGAATTAGCATAAAAAACCTTTTTTTATCTTACAAGGTTGGAATTTTATTTTCAAATTGAATGAAATTGAATGCAACTTTGTTATGGAGTGGTTTCAATTTGGATAATTGTTATAACTTAATAACTTAAATAGAGATTTTTGTCAACCATGTATATAGATAACTATGTCTAATAGTGTAAAGTTTATTGCTGTAATGCAGTCCTTTGCTTATTGTTTTGAGTGCGTTATAGCGCTCAATGCCTTTTTCAAACGTGTATATACATTTTTTTGACCAAAATATTCTATTAGATAAATATAACACTGTGTCACATTTATTAATATATGTGCAAAATACAGTATATAATATTATTTATGAGTTGATTTATTTTTATTAGATAATATAAAAAATGTACTTCTTTATATGTTTATAATAATACAACGTAACAATTGTACAAAAATTCAAGTCTTATGTGTATAATCAACAATATTAGAGTTTTTTTATCTTCGATATAATAACACTCATTGAACAGTGATTGCACTTATATAATGTTATCATTTCCCATAGGTCATTACAGAATAAATATTTGTAAATGCCTTTTCCAAACATTTTACATATTCGTTTACGTTACAATTAGTTTTGTAACTTGTTATTATAGCTCCTAATTTTTCATCTTGAATCATATATCTAAACATTAAAATAATTATTTTAAACGTATTATTAAACAAAATATTTAAACGTATTTATAAAAATAATAAAGAAGAAATATATCTTACGCGATTCCATATCCATTTTTTACTGCTGGTCCAAAACCACCAGCATATATAGCTGAATCTGAAAGAGTTGATGTAGATAAAATATTATTATTTATATTATCATATGCTGGATCCGCAAAAATAGTTGGTTTTGGAATATTCGAATGTTCCCAAATTTTTTTTAATGCAAATAAATGTCTATCAAATCCCTGACCTGTAAGGAAATATATTAGAAATAAATTTTCAGTGTTATTATTAAATTTAAAAATGTTTCATAATTACCCATAACAGCTTCTTTAGAAAGTTTATTGTGAATTTCACCACAATTGATTATTAATTTTTTCAATTCAGCCTTAGATAAATTTTCATTATTTTGAGCCATAACTTCACATGCTTTTTTTGTTTCCATTGTGCATGACCTTAGAGTTTCTGTTCGGCCATGTTTAAATGCTGCTGTACTACAAGATTCATATGTCGGTGCTACACAGCTTTTTTGATAATATAAAGCTAATTGGAAGGCTAACTGCATAATGGCATCAGGGCTTACACCGAATTTTTTACACTTATTTTTACCAAATTCATTAAATATCAAATGATCAACAGCTAACTCTCTGGTCCATTTTTCAAATTCTTTTTTTTGTGTATTCACAATATTTTGTATTTTATTATCTATAACAAAATTGAGCTTTTTGACTTCTGCTGCTCCTTTTTGAAGATATTTAATATCATCAACACAGAATTTTGGCTGTTCTGTTATGTCATTTTTTATATCCTTAAAGCGAATAAGAAAAAACGTTATAATTGAATGTTAAAATTCATTTGTAACTGTTTACCTTAAGAAATCTTAGCACAGCAACTCCATCTCCCCAAGAATGTTCAAAATTTATTCCAGCATATCCATCTTTTGTAACAATTAGAGAAAATGATTTATCAAACCATCTATTTGTTCCATCCGCATGGAGATATGTTCTAATTAACTTGTTATAGTCAGTGCCAATATTTATATCGTCTAATATCATTGTAAATAGAGCAGAATCTATATTTTGCAGAATTTCTTGGTTACCAATTTGTGATAAATGTATTCTTGTGTTAGCCCACAAGTTACGATCTGATGTTGTAAGTACACCAATAGGATTTTCATTAACTGATATGGTGGCTTCTAAAATAGATTTTAAACAACTAGCTATTTCGTTTGGTTTATGAATATAACCATTTTCATCTATTACATTAAAAGAGTAAAAGTGTCCTTTTCTCATGACAATAATATTTTTGCCAATTGGATTTTCATAGATTTGATCTTTTCCTAATTCTGGTAATCTCGTTGTATTGAATAGATTGTGATACTGTGACATATCTAATGGAAAGGCCTAAAATAAGAATAATAATTTTTTATTTGAAATATAAGAAAATAATAGTATCTTTTAATTTTTGCTAAAATTGTGATTTTACCTTAAACAAATAAGCACCATACCAACTGAACTGAGGAGGTAGAAGTCTTGTAATAACATGAAATGCATTATTTCGAGCTGTTTCAGATTTTAAATAGAATATTTCTGGTCGTAAAACATTCTCTTTTAAGGATTTCATAAATCGTAACGATGACACAATAAGATTTGTAGCTTTTACTAATTGTATATTATGTTCTGGATTTGATGCTGGTTCAAGAACTAGGAAAGGATTATAATTAATAGGTAAAGGTCTACGATCTTGGAGATACATATCAAACCAAGGTTCACTAATGTAGCTAGTATAACGATTTTTACTATCTCTTTCAATTAATTCTTTATGTAATTGAATACCATCTTTGATTAGAAATTCATTAACATAAGTTGCAGTCTTTTCCAACTGTTCTTTAGTTAACAGTGGCCTTTGTGCATTTAGATATCTTTTACATGTATCCTCCAATTTTGGAATAGGTAAACGTGGTAGAGATGGTTGAAAATGCATTGTTGGAGTTTTACTTCTTTCAATGTACTGATATTCTTCATTGTCTTTTATATGTATGCTTCTGTAATAAAAAAATACATGTACATGAGAATGCAACATCTTACATATTAATAATATCTGAATAATAATAATATTGAAGTGTTATTTACCTTGTTATTTGTAATAATAATTGCACTTTACTCTGATTAGTCTAAAATATAAATATATTAGTATAAACATGAGATTATTGTATATAATATATTAAGAATATAGAGTTTGCAAATTTCTTACCAGTCTCTTTTTGAGGTAATTATGTTTTACAAAAGGCAACATTGTATTATATTTATTTTATAGCTTTTATTTTTGCCAGTACACGCTATAAAAATATAAAACTTTATAAAAATATATCTATCGATTATAACAAATAAAACTGTAATAAACAAAATATATTGTGCTATATTGATATTAATTTAAATAACAGAAATCATTTTACAATGATGGCATTCATGCACAAAGTGCATAGGTGGCATTTGTACTTATACTGTACTTTAAAATTAAAAGGAAAAGTATACATTGTACGTGTACTTGTGTGTGCATTGTACATGCCCATATATATATACATATATACACATTGTGCATAATGTATATATCGTTTTCATTTTTTGTTAATTACATAGATAAATATATATGACTCATGTTTGAATACATATTAAGAATTAATGAGTTTCGAAAATTTCGCAAGGTGCGTGCACAATAATCATCACAAAGATATTCGTTTAGGAAAACATATTTCTCAACCAATAGAAAAATACTTTCAATATAATCGCAAGTGTTCATGATTGGTCGTCGCGACGAGTTTCATGAATTGTGCTATTTCCCGCTTTTCAGAACAGTATAGAAGCGTAATGGAACATTCGATGAATACAAATAATGTATTGTGCATTTTTCTGTTTGTTTTCTCAAAATCTGTCTGGGTTCTCTACGACTTTTCTTGATATGCTTGAGGTAGTTCTAACGCTCGAGTAAAAATGTGCCTTAGAAAAATGTTGCATTAGATTGTAAAACTTTTGTGCCGAGGAATTTTCTACTCTTTGTGAATATGTACGTTGTATTCAAAGATTTTTAGTGAAGTGCAGTGAAATTCAGTACAGTACTAAGTGTCAGAAACAACAGACTAGAATACAGTTAGCATGCATTGTACTGTTTGTTCGAAAAAATAAGTGGTTGTGAATGTGAAATCAGCACTAATACCATAGGAATTTAAGGTTAGATACGCGTTGCAAGTTGTACATTGCATTGTTCTAGTATTCTCTAGTAAAGTGTTCAAGCAAATGATTGAAACCAGAAAACATTTACTACGCAGGTAGCTGAAGAACATTCTTCTTCCATCATTCTAACAGCAAATACCCTTCAGTGTATACTTTAGATACAGCCTGACATTACCCGCGTGATATGTTTCTGCTTTGGTTGCTGCAACAAATATAAACATGTTAGTATAGATAAACCAGTGAATAGACCAGTGAATTACAGTGTCTCTCTGTAGATAGCAGTTATTTTAAACAGTACACAAATATATCTTTATGTGCTTCACATTTTAGGGCAGATCAAGATTATGATATGGGTCCAGCTACAGAAATGATGATAAATGATTTTGATGATGAACGGACTTTAGATGAAGAAGAAGCTTTAGAAGGTAGTGAAGACTCTCACAACGAGTTGTCCAACTTGCAAAAGGTATAATTCCGAAGCGACTGAGTTAAATATTTAACAATGTTCATTTTGTAACAAGATTCTGATCCCAACTATTCTAGGATCAAGCCTGTGAAATGAAAAAATCAAGCCCATAAATAATTACAATTATGATAAGTTTCTACAACACTTTGGACTCAAAGTGCGTTCTCGTAGTGAGATTCGTATGTTTAGTCGGTTTGTTATATGTAACATAGTAATCATTTGTGTTCTTGTCTCCTTTCAGGAAGGTGATATGCCACTAAAAGACCTACTTGCGATGTATGGATACGGGGATCCATCGACGGAAAATTCAAACAGTTCAGACCGAATGCTAATTCCATCGGGAAGCGGCGACCCAGAGATTGAAGGACAATATTCCGATAAGGGAGATAACGACGCTGATGATGATGAAGATGACGATGAAGCGGATGGAACTAGTAACGAGCCAGATCTTAAGCAATTTTATACAGAGATGTTGGTGAAAGGAAAGGACTCGTCGTCATTGGTGTCAGGATCAACGATGAAAGGAAGCAGCACTAGCAATGTAGATACTGGAGACAGTAGCAGACGACATCGAATTCATGATGATGATGAAGATGATGAAGAAGGTGAAGGAGAAGAATGTTCTATGATCGACGGTTGTAGTAACAATGAAAACACAAGAACAGCTTCAACTACTACCGCTAACTGTGCTGGTATAACTGCACTTGCCAGCTGTACAAACGATAATACAGCAGGTGGCATAGAAGGTAGTGTTAGTAGTGGAATGGTTGATGGAGGAGAAGATGGAATAGTTAGCGGTGGCACACTCGGTAGTGGCACATCAAGATTATTGCGAAGCGTATCGCGGCCGCAAAGCGAAGAGGAAGAAGATGATTGTGATTATAGTCCAGATGAAGAGGAATGGAAGAAGACAATCATGGTTGGTATTAATTACCAAGCGGCCATACCAGAAGGTCTTTGTCATTACGACGATGCTTTACCTTATGAAAATGAGGACAAAATGTTATGGGATCCCAGTCACATACCTGAAGAAGAAACTGAAGAGTTCTTGGAGCGGGCGCAGTTACCAGCGGTAAAAGGTGGTTCTCTGCCTACTGGGTCTCATATTAGAGACGACGAGCAAGCTTTATATCTGTTGTTACAATGTGGCTACAATCTTGAGGAGGCATTAAGAAGACGAAGAATGAACGTCGTGCCGCCAACGGATGCAGTTAGTCTTTGGTCGGAAGAAGAGTGTCATAATTTCGAATCGGGACTACGGAGTTACGGGAAAGATTTCCATCTTATACAGAAGAACAAGGTATGCATCATGTACAAGCTCGAACTACTTCGCAATAGCAAGAAACAGTTGTATATAACATAAGGATCATCGTAACAGGTTAGAACGCGATCTGTTGGGGAATTGGTGCAATTTTATTATCTTTGGAAGAAAACGGAGCGACACGATATATTTACATACAAGGCGCGGTTAGAAAAGAAGAAATACGCTTTGCATCCTGGTATCACGTGAGTATTTTCTCTGCTTTAAAACTAGAATATTATTTATTTAAAAGATAAAGTACTTGTCAATTCAAATTGTTGCAATTTTCGTGCATCCTATATTTATTTCTTTTTTTTTTCTTCTTTCATCTCATTAAATAAATCTGAATTAAATTAAGTTTCAATAAAATCATATAGTTTCTGTTGTTACATTTTTATGTTACGATTGAAAACTTGAAGTATGACAAGATCGTTGAATCGTAAGCAGGGACTATATGGACCGATTTCTGGAAGAACAAGAGGGTGTTCGCGATCGTAGCAGCTCACCGAATGTTCATTGCTTATTGTATGGTGATGCAAAACGGCAAAGGTCAACCGTTAATGCCCCAAACAATGACGAAACAAAGCCGACGGAACCTTGGGATGGTACCGCAATTGATCCTTTAGCTGATTTGAATGGACCAACGCCAGCGCCGCCACCACCTCCTCCTCCACCTCCACCACCACCGGTGTCAACCGCTGTGATTGTATCATCCTCAGGTTCTATTTCAACTACGTTGTCTACATCTATATATTGTACCACATCGAGTCATCATTCCGATTGTTCACCGTCCGATTCTAGCTACACTAATCCACATACATGGTCAAACTTGACATCTCGAGGTCACTCTACCTCTTCCATTGTAACGACAATTACAATAAATGCCACTACAACTAGCACCGTCCCGTTGGTTACAGCCGTTGGAGTCACAAGCACAGTTACGAGTAATTCTACCATCACCTCAGCCGCATCTAACAGTTTTTATCATTCGAGAGTGACGTCGAGAGCCAACGATGTGCACGATTCACCCTCGCCGGAAAACATCTTACCTCATTTGCCCCCTTAGCGTCGAACACAACTTTCAGGTTTTCAACCTGGAAGACGTCAAATGTCTTGGTGCGATGTGATACATTTAACACTCGCGTTATTACTATCGTCGTAACATATAACATTCGTTAATATCATGAATTATATTTTTATACTGTATCGTATAAATATGACTATCGATCTATGTAGCGGAAACAAAACAAAGAAAATGTTTCTCGCGAAATTGAAATAAAATAATAGCTAGAATAAGTAAACCGGAAAGAATAATTGAAATAGGATAAGTGGCACGTGAACACGAATTACTGTAGCTTTTTCCATTTTCTGCTTTCTACTTTCCGACAACTATTTCCGTAGATCAAGTTTTACGAAGAGATATTAGTTTAAAATGTCAAAATGATCCGCATTTTCAGATCTATAACTAATTAAGCGTTATCAATATGATGAATGATCACTTGATTGTATCGTTGTTCTAAGCACGTGTCTAATTCCTGGTATTATTAAGTGTACAAAAATGCGATTTATAAATTTGACGAAACATAAGATCTTGATGATATGGTGAAATAGTTAAATTAAATGAAATTCGATGTACTTATTCTTAACCCCCTCCCCCCTTTTTTGTATTTTTATCAAGGATGCACAATATGTTAAACGATTTTAGATATTTTGATATCACGCTTCATGTTTTATTTATACGAAACAAATTTTAAACAGTACATTTGTGTATCTTTGCATCTAATTTCTTCATCCTTCACACACGCTGAAGATTTATATCTTAAATAAAAATTTGTTGTGAATTTACAACATATACCATAAATAATCATAAACTTTTATTTCTTTTGTACGGTATATTGGATATTGTCCTTCCGTTTTTCAGTTCTCTTGAATCAAATCCATAAGTTATTCCCAATTCGATGCTGTTATCGATATTGTGCTAAATCTAAAGATTCCACCACTGTTTTCAATAATTTTCTCATCAGTGGCAAAAATTGTATGCTGCTAATATTGGTTGTAAATTTCCCTGTAGTAAATATGTTCTCTTCAAGTTTGTTTCTTTTTGTCTCCTTTAATCCGGCCGGCAGGATAGTTTGATTGAAGTCGACAGTTTGTTGAATAGTTCTTACGCTTTTCGCGTCAGGGTTAATTAACGATCCTTTGACTTGCCAATCGTCGGGTGTGCCACGATGTTCAAGAAAATCGAAGAAAACTCCTAACTCGGTTACTGTTTCACGTGCTATCAGCTGACGATCTCGAAGCGCGATCCTTGGACTCCTGACACCTTCTAGCGCTTGACACAAGATCAACACGAGATTGACCTCAAGAGCGAATCTCGTATTGTTTTCGTCCATAGATTCGAACCAAGGGTCGCTGAATTTTTGATATTTTGCTACAACGGGACTATCGTTCCCAGCGGATACTCCTTTCGCCACGTGTCTACCGCTTGTTAAGGCTGTTGCCCTTGACAAAATAGTATTCTCGCAAATAAGAGGATCGTACGGTCTTCGCACAAGTCTTGGACTACTTAACAACGGTACGGTCACATCTAGACCACTGACGTACACCAAAAATTCACTTCCTACGTTAGAAGACGACCTCGAAGTAGAACCGGATGCTGCGTGGATGATCCTTCTTAAATCTTTGCTCGAGTGCATTCGTCGATCTTCTGGCGCGGCGTGTTCCCACTCCTTCTTAGCAGAGTTTGCTTTGTCCGGTTGCCCGCTAAGAGAAACAGACGGACTGCTCACGGGCTGGGATCGGGAATGTAGAGCCTGCGTGAACAATTGCGTCGAACTGATTATCGTGCCGTAAGTCAATCGCGGCCCGGAACTCATGCTCATCTGAGGTGGCCCGAAGTTCATTTCTGCCATAGGAGTGTACCAAAAGTCTTGCGTGTATATAGTGTCCACGAGAGTGTTCAGCCTCGGTGAAAAATAAACGAAGCTCAACGCACAGGTTGTGTTTATGACAATGAGCTTGTTGACCAGCAATTTTAATTCACCACTTGGCGATCTTTTGTCACAGGATTCCAACTCTTCGGCACTTTCCACGCTGATGCCATCGATGATGAACTTGAGAATCCGGGGTCGCAGCAACAAGTTCACGGTATTATCGTACGCTAGGTACATGCATTTAATCAGAGTTTCGCAGATATTCGGCTGTATCGAGTTCCAGATGTGGGGCTGCGTTGCTATGATATGAATGAGAGCAACGAGAGATTGTACCAAGTCCGCGGCATAAAGATCCGCCGTGTGTCTTAACAAGGTTGACACAACCATCAATTGATATTCGTGGGAATTTAGAAATGTGACGACAGATTTTATATAGACGGTGGGCGTTTCTCTAGTGACGAGTCCTATTAGAAATTCAAGACCGAGCGTGTACAGAAGCCACCAATCTTGGCATCGCCACTGTCTGTTCTGGCAGTCGTTGTACAACGAGTCCAGCATGCTGTTTCCAATGTCACCGGGTGGTATCAAGTTCAGCCATAGTTTCGCTATGTCGTTCTCATTGACAGGATGCAAAGTATATGGCGAACGAATGATCAGATTGAGCAAGTTAAGAGCGGCAGTGCTAAATCTTAAATACGGATACTTTTGCAATGTGATGCCGATGCACGTCATCAGTTCCGGTATCATCTGTCGAAGCTGCACGCAGCTGGTCTTCCGTTGATGTTTCAATATAGAGCTCCGTTCTACGTAGGAGCGTAACAATTGGGTAACCATGCAAACAGCCAGGGTTGCTGGTAAACTCTCCCGAATCCCACGGACAGTCTCCGCATTCTGTTCGTCGGCGTTCCTTTGCGCTGTCACGCTATCAATCGTCGCTGTCTTCTTATCGATTGTCTTTTGCTCGATCAAATACTGCTGTTGTTTCCGTTTCTCTAGTTGGGTAGCGTTCTCCTTCAGTTCCTCCAATTCGCTGCCGGCGATTGTACAAGCGTGCGACAAAAGATACTCGAGGCTCGTCGCGTCCTCGCGCAACGTGCTCTTCACGCATTGCACGCATCCAAGAAGCAAAGAGATCAGCGTTTGACGCAGGGACTTGCCATAATTACGATAAGCTTGGCTGATTTCCTGCATTAGCTGTGTCAGTCCAGACTTGAAAATTCTGGAATCGTCGACGCACATCTGTTTCCAAGAGGTGATACATCGGAGCGTCAAAGACGCCAATAGCATTGTGATTTTTCGGCTAGAAATATCACAAGACTGTTTGACTCGTTCCAGCAGTGACACTAAAGAAAGTTGCGTTATAAACTGCGCCTGGGATACGTTGATCGGATAGTTCGTTGCTATCCTTTCGTCGGTTAATGTAACAATAAAATTATACCAAGATTCCAAATTGATTTCGTACAACGAATCCGTGACATTAGGATCTCGCTTCTCGTAATTTGATTCTTCGCTATCGGCGTGTACATCGTTCAGAATGTATATCGTCAGCTTTTTCCAGTAATCCGTCGATTTATCTAAAAGTTTCTTCAAGTTTTTGGTAAAATCCTCTTCCGGCGTAGTACTCTTGAACAGTTCTAACGTTATTATATCTAACAGATGAGAATAACCTTTCGCACCTGGTACTATCTCTCTGAAGAGGGGGGCAAACAGTTGAGTCCAGAAGTTCTCCCGCTTTCGAAAAAAATTGACAAGAATCTCGTTCCTGTGATACCACATCGCTCGTAGCAACGCCATTGTGCTGTTGTATAATTTGTCGCATACGATGTCCTTCTTCTCATAAATTCTACTTAGATATTTAACTAAAAATTGTCTGCATCCCTCTGTAAAGAATTCTTCCACCGATCGGGGAAATATTCGTTTGCATTCTGCCGGATGTACAATATTAAAGAGAGCTTCCGTCAAACCGGGTTGTTTCTCCAGGCACACGGCAACCAGCTCGAGAATAGCGACTTTAACATCCGCGACACAGGTTGGCGACATGAGACCTCTGCGAGAAGCAAACGTTTCTCGTATAGCGGTACCGTCCATCCCCATGCAAACCAAAAGCGACATGGAAGATCCTTCGGCGAACTTCTTCAGCAATCTAACGGCCATCGCTTGCAAGGGTGGACTAAACCAGACGTACAGATAATTCACAATTGTAGGTACTATTAAAAGACCGTTCGGTACACGAGGCGAAGAATATAAGGCAGCTTCCAACGGTGATCTATTTCCTATTTCAAGACCCAATGATTTTCGAAATATTAGTAATCTATTTACTACGGATAAGGCTAATTGTACACTTTTGATCGCTTTGAATCCCTTTCCTCGAATCCAGTCTGTCTCTGCCATCATTTTGTTGTGCAAAGTACGTTCACCGGTGCGGATCAGTTTCAGTAAGGCGTGTCGTGGTTCTAAATACAGTAAACTGTACGCGACGACAAGTTGTAATTCATTACGTATGTCCTCTTTTGGTAGGCTGGATTCGAGCGCTCTGTGAAGGCAGAACATACTTTTTAGCCATAAATCGGTTCTTTCTGCGTCCGAATCGAAGTACCAGGAATCCAATTTTGGCAAGACACCTTGCAGTAGAAACACCATACCGGGTATTTCCACGGTGTATAGAGCTTCCTCGTTATATTTCCGGATTAAATACTTTGACAAAATATCTAGATACGTGTTTAAAATTGGATAAGAATGGGCAATCGTTTCTATGGCGGACAACCAGGATGCGATTATACCACCGTCAAAGGAAACAGCTTCCGCAAAGTCCAATGTTTTTTGATACCGATTATTAAATCTTGGGTAAACACCGGCTCGCATTCGTGACAAAATTTCTTCGGGGTACTCCAGCACGAGCTCGGACGAGATACTGATGCAAGCGGCAACTATTTTATATATGTACATTTTCTCTTCGGGTAATACTGGATAAGAAAATCTGTTTATAATCTCAAAGCTTAATTCTGTTGGAATGACCATACTTTGCCGTATCCCTATGTGCTCGGCTAATGTTTTCAACAATTTTAAACCTTCTGAAACGTGCTCGGGCAAATTCTTGTTCATTTCGTCAGTTCCTGTAAATCTGCCACCCGCCTGAGAGAACAGTTGTTCTATTTTGTGATGCAAGACGTCCCAATAGCTTGCCTTTTGACGAAATATCATCACTTCCCGGTCACTTGATAATATACGTATATTTTCACGGAGGGAATCTTCCAATATTGTATACGAATTCTTGTGAATCATGCATTCCTGTTCGTATGGTCTTAACGGTTTATTGTGGTCTCGTTGTCGCGGTACTTCCAATGTTAATGATTGAAGATTATCCAGTTCCACTGCGATTTTTTCGGCACTTGATTCTGACGCGCTTGCCAATCCGATTGCAATATTCGTCAACGGTAAAAACTCGTATGGAAACTGTTCAGCTGCGAATTTATAAACTGGCCACAAGCCATCGTTACGCTCTTCCCAAAATCGCGCTGCAGTTTCGGTGAATCGAATTGTAGCAGCAACGGCACCGAAAATATCATTCAGCACATTCAATTTGTCTTCGTCAACGAAAGCGCATACCAAGGTGAGTAGATTGTATACACTGCTCCTCACAATTTCAGCATAATGAGTTTTTTCACAGATAATTTCGCTGTTCATCAAGTCTTGCAAATAATGAAAAACATTCAGTTGTATAGCTTTAATACCAAATGGTCTAAATCGATTCATTGTATCAATATTTTCGGGATCAATGGCATAGTTTGCCAACATCCAGGCTAAAAATAGGGGACTGTCCTGTGTAGAATTATCGCGGATGCATTTTTGTTCAAAAGTCTCTTGCATACTACTTCTCACGCTCTGTATCCATTCTTCCATGTTGGGACTATAAAGAGAAAATCACTTTTAACAACAAAATTGCAGATATTGATTAGATTGTAGATATTAAAAAAACATACTGTTTTCTGACATCTAAAGTTACTAAAACTAAAGCTGCTTGACTATACTGAATTTCTTTAATTTTTCTAGCAATTGCCTTTTTATCTTCATGACTTTTTGTACTTGCTAATCGTCTTGGCTCTCCCTGTAAATAAGAGATTACTAAATTATCGAATACTAAATACTAATGACAAATTGTACTGCGATATATAAATCGTGTGCAATACTTACACCAATGCTTTCGTAAAACTTCATAAAATTAGTGTCTGTGATATGAATGTCATGAACGATGACAGTTAATATATGGAGTAATTCCCGCATTTCTACAAGACTACTATTGTACAATCTGTGTAGATATTCTTCTGTGCACAGCTGCGATCGTGTAGGCGGGTTCATTGTTTTTAACGCTTCTATTTGCTTCTGAATAGATTCCAATAGCATCCCAAACAGAACATCATTGAAAAAATTTGCAAACACCTTTTGATAACGATGTTCTTTATCTTTGTACTCCACCATAAGTTTAAGGCACTTTATCAAGGTCATTCTTTCGGAGTAATAAAATTCCCAAATGTCGTCGATCAACGCTTTCATCGACGTAAAATCTATAAGCTGCGATGCGAAAGTTTCCGCGCAATTTCGATACTCATACTTGATAAAATTACATACTAAATCCCACGTAATCGTAGCGTCTAGGTTCTAGAAAAAGAAAGGTAATTCATTAAACGTAAGTTGAGTCGTTCTTCATCATGAAGGAGAGTAAAATATTCATTAATACGTACGAGAAGTGGGGCAAGTTTACTGATTAATTCGTACATTCTAGGGGATGGATCATTCTTGGGAATGTTCTGAAGTGACGCTTCCGTGAACGGCTTAAAAAACAACAGCCCTTCTTTGAGAAGCTTAGTTTCCTTCTTAATTTCATCTTCCACTAGTTGTCTCTCACATCGACACACCGTATCAGATATTAAAAACCATAATTCCTTGCAGTAACTTTCGTTCCACGTGACACGCATTCGTCATTCGTGATGGTGAAGATATGAAAAAGATGTATTTTTATAAGACGATAAAAATAGCGAAAGCTTTCTTAATTGATGAAAATATTAAATGTTTACTTACGGTAAACTTTCTACAGTAGGTACTTCCATTTCGGCTTATAGTTAATGTACAAAACATGCGAAGTACGTTATGAATTTCTCGTGAAATGCTTCAAATGTACGAAACTCAACAAAATACATCGTTTGAATATTATATCTTATTGCATGATTACACTACGTTACATAGTATTTAGAGGAAATGTTATAAACAATGATTGAGACATAACCTCAATCAATATATGAAACATACCAACCGATGCGAACGATTGGTCGACTACTACTTTTATTTAAACCGACGATGTACTAGGGATCCTAGAACACTTTGGCAGCACTGTCGTTGGCAGCACTGTCGTTGATTTCCCGCCAAAGGCTGGCGCGCAGTTACAATTATGGCTTCCTGTTAGCCGGACGTGTGTGATTCTCGTGAAATTATGTAATTTTCGTGTGAAAATTTATGTTGTTACTGTTAAAAAACGAGTGTACCCGATATATCGATACGCTTTTATCTGTTCTGACACAGAATTATCGTGTAACGATGTCGTACAAACTTATGATTAATCGACGACGGGCGAATAGATACTGCATACGTACGTTATCCTGCGAATGTCAATTTTCGTTCCAGATAAAGGTAAATAAGATCGTACGAACTGTTCATTTCTTGAATTTTCGACAATATTTCTAATGTAGACATGATTACGCGCGGAGTATACGCGAAATTTACACTTTACGCGTGGGATTAAATCTTAGGAAACCGTTGTACTTTACATACTATAGCAAGGTAAATAACTGTAGCAAAATATCATTCAAAATAACGGAAATTCGTCTGTTTCGTAAAGGCGCGAAGTAAGAAGGGCTGGCTTTCCAATAAACGTTGGAAGTAATAAGAATTGGGTTTGTAACAGGTACAGGAGAAAAATCATTCTCAAGAGAGTAAGGCGAGAAAGAAAAAGGCGCTGCTGTTGAGACAGATGTTGGATACATTTGTTACGGTTAATACCTGTAACTAGGTATAAGAAAGTTGGCAACTCACACGCTGGCTTATCACACGCTGCGTTACCGGTCGACGGCCGACTATATACTTTTCGTTTCTTGCAGAGGCCTGTTATCTATCAAAGCTAGCTGACAATTCTATCTGGTGCAAGTAACTTTTTCAAGACGAGTGCCAACACGTTCGAATATGTGTGTGTGTGTGTGTGTGTGTGTGTGCATTTGCGGTACACCTATACGTACGTACCAGATGTCGAATCGCTCGTTGTTAACGCAGTGCCCGAGAATCGTAATAAAAATGAAAATAAAAGTAAGACGGAAAATAAGACGACAGCCGCTGTAGAAAAAAAAAAGTGAAACGAGATGGTCTCGCTGGAACACAGTAGCAGGCGAAGAAAACGGTTTGCGAGGAAAGAAATGACAGCGGCGTCAGAGCGCCGACGCGAGGCGTCGAAGCGGCCGACGCCGCGTCGTAGACGCCGATTGTTCGCCAGTGCACGTTCGCCTTGAACACAGAGCGTATCGGGTGTTACATCGTCGACGCGGAAAAATACATTTCGTTCGGCTGTACACGATGTTGTCACCAGCGTGAGTGCGTCAACGAAGCAGAACCGTGTATCCGTCGGGATTACTATGCGACCTGCTGCGCGTCACTCTCGTAAATATACATATCTGTACCTACCTGTACCTACAATCGGTTATCTTTTGTAATCGACGTAACACGCGTCCTCGCGACGTTCGATTTGCCCTTGCTCGTATTTCGTGGATCGCGAGTCGATTGACGAGCTAGAACACGCGGCCACATCTCGTGAGCCTTGTATCGTTTCTTTGGTTTTTCTTTTTTTTTTTTTTTTTTTTTTAAACAAATTTCACTCGACAAACGGGGAGTCTCGATGGAGCATCGACGGCAAGCTCAACGATTCTGTTACCGATCATTTAGCCCGACATTGTTTCCGCGGCATTGACAATGTTCGAAAAAGTATCCTGCGAATGTAAAGCGTGAAATCATTGGGGAATGCACAACACCAGCGAACAGGTTCGGAGGGTTGCCAACAACTTGGCGAATATTTCATCCCGGTCTGCTCCCGGACGTGTTTGTTTCCATAATGTATGTACGTCGCGATTCTTGTTACTGTGGATGCATCCGTCGGGAAATACAACCTCGAGAACGCGTACTGTTCTCCGACGCGTACGTGGTACACGGCGCGCGTTAAAAGTATTCTCGCGTTTAATGCGACTTAGCGAAATTCGAGAGTGTTGCATTCGTGCATGCGGCAATGCGGTTCCTCCGAGCTTCTTGCTAGGTCGCCCTTTTACTCTCGTAATTCAATCGCGCGAATCGCGACAAGACGGAATCTCTCGTTCGTGAACATTCGCTGGCGTTCGATGTTGGAGGTAATTTCGTGGTTGCGCGTTGCACCAGCACGGGATTTTGTCGATCCCTCGGGAATGTTCCAAGTTACTCACGATCTTCTCAGATCCGGGAGGAAGATCTTCCGACCATGGAAATAACGGAACGCAGCTACCAATTACTAACCAATTTATGAACGATTACGCGAGGATTTTCCTCTCGTTTCCCCTCGTTTCGCGCGTCTCCTTTATTTGTTATTTCGGTTACATCGTTTACGGTATGCAGAGTTCTGCAGAGTTAACGCGTTCGCTGACAAACATAGCGACAAACGATCGCGCGAAATGTAATGCAAATATTTCCAGTGTTTGGAATCGCGCGCCAATCGTGTGTAATCGAAAGGCTTGCCCGACATGCTCCGTTTTTTTCAGTTCGCCACCAATTACGTCGTAATGCGTAACGCGTAGTTAGAGAAGAACGTTATCTAGGATCTGGAAGCGAGTGTCTTTCACGCTGACTCAAAGAAATCCGTGACGTGGACGAGACCGGCGTCGGTGATTGTATTCTACCTCGCGAGGAAGCGGATCGGTAACTCGGTCCTCGCGTAAAAAGCACAGAAGTTTGCTCGTCGACGAGAACATGCGTGTGGGCGCGCGTTTGACGAGCCGCAGCTGAGATGCACGTCGTGGCGAATCGTTTCGCGATGAACTGATCTCGCGATTCGACGGACGATACGCGCGTTTCCGGGTTTGTGTCCGTGATCGTGCGTGACCGCAGAGGACACAGAGGAGGTGGACGAGACACAAGATAAAGAACACGAGGAGAAGAAAGCGGCGGAGGAGTGAAAAATGAGGGCCTCGTTACTGTTGCTGGGGGGCATCGTGGTATTCTCACTCGCGGTCGCGAGGGCACTCTCTTGCGTATGCTCGCCATTCGAGTGTGATATTCTCACCGACGACGATTGTCCCGGAGGCCTCACCTGGGACCCCTGCAGGTAAGCCACGCGCCAGTTTCGCTCTCTCTCTCTCTCTCTCTCTCTCTCTCTCTCTCGTTTGCACTCTCAGCTAACTCTCAGGAATCTAGCCGTGCAATTTCTTGTCCAAACGAGCCCATTGACACGATCCCAGCGAACATAGTGCATTATAATACAGGCATTGTACGTGGCATTATAAGTAATTCTCTCCGCGGTACAGCGGAGGCTCTAAGTTTAAGGCATCGACAACCAGACTAGATTTTCGGCTAAAGTCGACAACCGTCGAATATACAATCGACATACATACATACATACATACATACATAAGCACATATTGTATATGAGAAGTCAGACTGAATTTCTTCATTTCGTTGTACATACACAGATATACAAGATTAATATTCAGTTCTCAAGGAACAAGTGATTTACTTTCATAACTTCATTAATCTTGAGCGATGATAAATTCCAACGTAAATTTACTGTGCTTCCAAATTTATGGAGGATGTTCCGTAAAAAGGTAAAAATAATACTAGAATATCCAGCAGCGAAAACTTCATAAATGTTTCATTAAAAAAGTTATGACAAAAATGTGAAACGCAGAGGTACATATACTTATGCATGCATTTCGAAATGTCGTTTGCATTTATGAATGGAAAATTGATATCAATGTGCTATTGAATTTATTGTAGATTAAATTTCATCGTGGTTATGCGAATGATTAATTCATCTCGCGTAGATGTTTCTCTATTGTGAACTTTTACTTTCAACGTCCGCCATAAGTAGAACAAAGGTACAGTAACAGAATCGCAAAGACAGTGAGCGTATATTACGTCGATATTGTGTCTTGTTTCATCCTACATTAAACCAACAATAAGAAAAAAAAAAGAGTATTAACGTCGCATTACACATTTTTATCATAACTTTTTAACGAAGCATTCATGAACTTTTTGCCACGTGATATTTTAATTTTATTTTTATCCATAGAACACAAAACTCTCAAGCATCTCTGGATGTCTTATACACGTTCGTAATACTCTTTCTTACGTGAAAGTATTTCGCGCTTCGTTTGCTCTCTTTGAAGTGATACTAAATATCAGACGACAATCCGTACCAAGGGAGAGATTAAGATCAAACTTCCAAATCTTTGTTGTTCCGAGTTTCCTGTCAATTTGTCACCACCAAAGACAATTGGTTTGTCACCACCAGGACAAAACTTTAATACTCGACCAATATTACTCGCTGTGTCAAGAGAGATTACTGTACAATAATGCAGTTTCCTCGAAATTTGTCCTGAATAAATCCTTGGAATTTATTTATTCATCGGATTAACTCTTCCCATGTTTCTTTTTTGTTTTGGTTTGTAACATCTTTTGCATCTTGTCTCTTCACCTTTTCACTATCGTTGCCAACAATTTTTTTCCAACAGACACTACCTGTGGAGAGAGAGTCAAAAGTGGTTATACATCTAACAAAAATGAGTATAACAGATTTATGGAGTTACCGAAAGTATACTGAAACTGAGACAGTTATGTGATAGTGTGTAATATTTATGCCATATGGAGAGACGTATAAAGACAAAAAAACTTGTAAATCGAACGAGACAAAGATAATATAAAATGTAGAAATTAGTTTAGCACCTTTTTTACATATTTGTTCGTTTTGCTTTTGGTTTATTCCAATAGCATTGCTCTTTAGATCATTTGGTATCGCAGAACAAGTTCTTCTTGCAATTGAGCTTGATTTAATAATTGTTCAAGTTCTCCGAATTTTCAATTTCCAAATTTTTATGCCGAGACGTTCTTCGTCGGGCATATCTAAATAATCCACACCATCTATAACCGTATAAATGTGACGATTTTTACTTTGCAATTTCAACATTGAATATCATAGTTGGCAGTGGTTAAGTTGAAAAATTAATTTTGAACAGAATATTTAGATAACTTAAAGTCGAATCAATCGAATTAATCTACGGAACATTCCAAGTTCATTAATTTCCCACTACAATCTCCGGATTTCTTGAAGTAATGGAAAATTTCTAGAGACATATTTGCGACAAATTTCGTGCCTTTCAGATGTATTTATATTCATATTAATCGTTTAACTCTCCTTGCATGTCGCGCACGGCAGGTTGCTAGCGTCGTTAATCACATCCATCAACCAAAAACCAATATTTGGCTCTTTTCATTCTTCTTGCAAACAGCATTCGACATTTCCTCGCGTCTGTCGTATATCCATCGGGGAGGGGGAGGATCCGCCGTGCAATTAAAATCCACAATAAAACAGAGACTCGGGTTCCTTTCCCCGAGGCTCTTTGTCGCGCAGCATTCTTTGTCAGGTGAATTTTATTCCGGTATTAGCGGTACGCTGGTGAAAAATAGGGTTTGATAGAGCGAAACTTGAATATTCAAACTTAGGGTGGGGGTGAACAAAAGCGTCAGTCATTGAAATTTCATGCGCATCGATCGACCGTATTGATCGCTCTTTCTTCGTTTTTTTTATTTTTTTTTTTTTTCACTGTGAATGTGAAAAAAAAAAAAACGTCTTTCAATTCTGACAGTGAATCAATTAAACCATTCCGTGGATCGATCCATAAATATTTCTTTGCCGAAATTCGATGCAAACCAAAGACACCTGAATCGCGCGTGTTCCACTGCAATTCGATTGAAATTTTCTCTTTCACTTGATTTCCAGAATTTGCGATTGAAAGGGATTTGATCGACGTTCCTTTCGTGTCGTGACGTTTAATGTAGAATTTGTAGGGAAAAGCAAAAGGTATATAAAAATTCTGTGAAATTCACAATCGTGACGATCGCAAAATTCAAAAAGGAACCTTTTATAGAAACAAAGGCAGATACTGACAAGGGTTAATGCTCGAGCAAATGTGTTTTAACAATCGTTCAAATATCTCGGCTAAATTGTTTGCCTAAATTCTTTTAGGTATTACTGTACGCTCGTAGAAAGACAAGCGAAACCCAATTAAAAGACGATTCCACGAGTTAACGACGCGTCTCCCGTTCGTCGAATCGAAAACTCGAGAGATAAAATTAGGGGTTGATATCTTCTCCATTATCTCGGTCGTTTTGAATTTGATACGCGTAGCCAACGTTTATCACGACCAGCTCTTCCAGGTAGGAACTATGTACGTACGTAGTAGGTACTAGGTCGGGACGGGACGCGATGGCTCGAATCGTGCTCGAAAATGTAAACGGAAGGGTAACGCAGCGAGTAAACGAGTGATTTCAAGGAGAAATAACATTTTACGATCGTCGAGAACTCTCCGTCGGGGCGAAAGTGAAATCGACGATATTTCAGTCGATATTCGGTGGCTTCTTGGCAAATTACTCGCGGTATCGATACCTGGCTTCGATTACCTTCTCACTCCGCTACTTACTCCATTGAAATCTTCCTTTTCAAACGGATGATTTATGGACAGTTCCACTCGGCGAATGAAAATCGTTTTCGGCAACAGCGTTTTCGCGTTAAAGGTAAAATATGACACGAGACCTGCGTGGCTGTAGCCGAGAGCAACAACGTTGCTACTGATTCGTAACGAGCCGTGCATTAATCCATTTCGTGACGTCGAGATCAATTAAGGGTCTTGCGATAAACGGGATTTGCAATACACGTGGCTGAAGCATTCTGAAGTTGTTTAATTAAATTACAAACAACGCCGGGATGATGGTAAACTGTACAATCATTCTCGCGTAGCGATCACTGATAACTGTTGTCACGTTTATTATCCTCGAGTGTGAGATCCTCTGGATGTTCCAATTGCGAAACACGTTTGTTTCAGACCACCGAATTTCTTCAGTTAAATTTCGTTTTCTGGCGATAGTGTTGAGAACGAGCAAACTGGACGTCACATTAGAAGCGCCATTTGTACGATGATTTTTGGGTTTTTTCTTTTCTTTACGAAGGAACCGAATGTTTTTCCATCGTACTGTGGGAATTTTGGTGTGAAAGGATTGTTTATTTAAGAATTTTGTTTAACAGCGATTGTAAGATGAAGATTAATTAACACTATTTTCTCTTAATCTCTACGTTTACACTCTAAACTCGCTACTCGCTCACTCAAGACTCGCAACTGTACTCACTGAACGCTCGAAACTCTCTGACTCTTTTCTTTCTCATCTGCACGAAACATCCCTCGTTTCCCAGGTCCCAGGCCTGACTTTCGCTACAGCACGTGGCACGCTACTCGAGATAATATTTGGCAACAATTGTTGGACACTGAAGAAAGTTCATTTCCCAGAATTTGCTCATCACACAGTACTCTCCAGTGAATGGACATCGATCTCACCGATACCGAGTTCCAACAGACGCGAGTTCCCAGCTGTGAAGCAAAGAACCACTCCGACAGATCAGATCAATTCGCGTGGCACGAACGATTCAATTGCGTTTACTTTAATCGTAGCTCGTCTAACGAAATCGCGGGGAAACGCTTCGGTAGCATTTACAAGCGAGACGCGAAGAGAACGCTGCATTTCCTCGCAACGTTCAGCGAGTCTCGATTTCGAAAAGCTTGTTTCACGATACGATACGATGCTGTTGTGTTCACCGTACGAACGCGCGTGTTGCAACGTTTCGACGTTGAAAGACGGGGTGGTTGTTAAAAGCCCGTTGTTGTTTTTATTCCGCCTGTTTACGCTTTACGACGTTTGAGGATGTGTATCAGCGCGCAAAATGTTAACGTTACGTCAGCGGTCCGATTGTTTTGCCTCCCGCAGATTGCAAGTGAGAGTCGAAACATCTCCGAGATGAAATTACACGAACAAGAAAGAAAGGACAGCGAGGAGATCCCGTGGCGGAGAGTATTTTTCATCAAGTGTTTGTGTCGCGGTAGTAAATACTTCATCACGAGGTAAACCGGATGTAGGCGAATCTTGTTTTGTATTATGCCGGTTATAAAGCGCGTGACGGCAGGGAAAATTGTTTCACAGAGAAAGAGAGAGAGAGAGAGGACGAGAGGGAGAAACGCAATATAAAAGAATTGATTGCCCTCGATTCAACAACGAGACCGAGTAATAAAACTGCTACTCGTAGACATTTTCTGTACAAGGCACAGCAATCCTTGCTTCCTATCCATTATTTTTTCCTCTATACTTTCTGCTCCCTTCTAACTGACAAGAAAAGTTCGACGATTGGAAAATTAAGAGAAAGAGACAAAAAAAAAAAAAGAAAAGAATTTGAAACTTTGCATGAATGTGGTTCATATTCGCACGCACATGTAGTTCATGTTCACACTGTGATGGCAACATAATGAGACAATTTCGTCTTCTTCCTACGGTGGAAATCTTTCAACCTCTCCAAAGAGATCTTGGCCTTTCATTTTTATATTTCGTGTTTAAACAACACTTGCGCAAGACTTCAAATTTTGTACGATTTGCGCAAACTTCTCTTTACCAGGTTAAGTACATACAATTTCTGGAAAGGAATAGATTTTTCCGCATATTTCCCAGACTCCCGCTGGAAAACCGTAGAATTATTGCAGATTTGCTTTTTTTCTTTTTCTTTTTCTTTTCGAAATCATTGACAAGTTAATCACTTGCCCGATATATATTTCACTTTAACGTTGCGATGCATGCTGGCGATTATCTATTATTTAGGTTTGACATTTTTCAGAAGCGATCTAAGGTAACATGCTTCAGCCATAAATATCATAATTCCCGATCTGACATATCATGTGTGTGAGTTCGCCTTGGCAATCGTTTTCACATGACAGACAGAAAAAAAAAAAGAAAAAAAATAGCATTTTATAAAAATTAAAGATCATTTTAATTTTGTGAAAAATATTGTAAACATGTGTTGACAAAATTTTGTGAAAAGTATTGTAAACATATGTTATTTACCATTTTCGAGAAAAATGCTGAACAAAAATAACGCGAACATAACAGATTCGGTGTCAATCGAATATGCTAATCAAATTGATTTGTCTCCCAAAGTAGCTTTAAAAATCCTCCAATTCTTCTTTATTATTCTTATTTTTATTATTTCGCTACTTTATCGTACGTTGCATTACATTATTTACATTCCTAGAATCCCTCATGACTTATGAATTACTTCCTTTCTCTAATGGGTCAGATTCCAAGTAAACGATCAAATCAGTTCCATCAAACTTTCGAACATCCTCCGTGATTTTTTTCCCCCATTTTCTCGACGTTATTCGGTACAACAAATTGAATTTCGCTTATCTACGATTGTTGCGTTACACGTTGTTGAATTTGTTTTCCTCGGAGGACGCGCGATATCCACGCCCCACGCGGCGAATCGATTTTCATTTCGACAGATTTTCATTTCGTTTTATAAACTCGCGGCGATCGTTTCTCCGTTATTTTCATATTAATGCGCTGACGAATCAGGGAAGGGGAACTCGGAGAAGAATTGATAGATCATTTCGCGCCAAGACTCACGCGAACGACGGTAATTGTTTTCAGATGCTGCAAGGTGTGCGCTCGCGTCGAGGGAGAGCCGTGCGGTGGACTGTTCGGTTTCTCCGGAAGTTGCGCCGACGGCTTACAATGCGTCATCAAAAATTTGCTGCCCAACACCCGGGAGGTGGACGAAGGAGTCTGCACGAGTAAGTGGAATTCTGACTTTTATTCTCGTATTTATCGCCTGTCTCTCGTTTTTTGCCAACCTTTGCTTTGGTCCCTTGGCGTCGAATTGACACAATCGGGGAGGAGAAAGAAAGAAAGAAAAAAAAAAAGACTTGCGCAATGAAAGGACAAATATATTCTTTTATGCAAAATTGAATCGTACAGATGTTCAATCTCGTGTCCGACCTTGTTTAACTTTAACTTTTAACTTGTTGAACGTTGCAACAATTTATTTTCGATTTTCACTTGTCGCCATTGTGCTCGTAACTACGGATGCTTATGCTCACCTTCAAATTGCATATAAAATTGTTATAAAATAATTATAATAACGCGGATTATCCGTTCATTTGGCAAGTACATGGAAAGTATTCTGTTCAGTGGCCGAAATGAATCTCTAAACTTCATTCCTATAATTCAGAAAAATGTGAACTATCTGCTCTACTTTCAAATTTTAAAATATATAAAATAGAGTTTCAACTGCGCTTACGTGCGCTTACGCAGAATAATAAAACGTGTCAAATTGACATACGAGGGACAGATGAAAGTCAACGAGTTTGCAATCCATTAATTTTTAACGTTGAAAGAAAAAAAAAAAAAGCAAGAAAGAAAGAGAGAAGAACGATCAATGGCAACGTGACTGCAAAGGAAGAATAATGGTGCGTAAATTTATGGACCGATTTAAATCTCTTTGCGAGTCGATTTTTAGGGTCGCGGTGATTAATAACCGGTGTGTGGCCGGTTCGTGTAACTTTTGCCAATCGATTTTTATCGCAGCTCGTGGCTGCGTGCAGTACGTCTGTTAAATTTGATATATTCGATAACAGAAGATAAACAAACTCTTAATTAATGCTTTTAATTAATCCGCCTTAGCTCGAAATCAGACAATTTTTAAAATACATTTTTTGTGCAAAACTTATTCTCATTGCAATAATACCAACACGTTTCTTGCACACACGTCGCTTGTGGCAATAATATATTCCCTGATTTTATTTTATTCCCGAAGAATATCAAAACACATCTCTCATCCTCATGTTTCGGGAATCGCTGTAACTTCAAAATTAACAGATAAATTGGTACCTTGGCAAAACATTTTGTTTCAAAATCCCTATCTCTCTCTTTAAATATTTGAAATTCGCGAGTGTCGATAGACTGTCTCTGTGACTGATCGTACGCACGCCTATCGATAATTTGACGATAGTTTCTCGATACTTTGGTAAAACGATCGTGTCATCAGAGAGTTTTCACTCGACTACAAGGGCTACAAAAAATAATGTACGCACATAACAGTCCCTGTCGTATACCAAATTGCATATAGTTCATTTTATCCTCCACTATTTTTTCGTTTCGTTCGCGATTTGCTACGAATGAAACAATTCGCGTGTTTTTTTTTTTTTTTTTTTCTTTTCGTAAAAGAACTCGATATATTTCGACCGATAATTTGGACAAAAGTCAAAGTTTTTGATATACAGCGTTTATTAACATAGAATTTCACTGTTAAGGCGAAAGTATCTTTTCCATAGTTCTTCGTAGCGTTTCCTGAATAACATTCTACGACGAGACATCTCGTTCATAGCACCTCGCTATGATTGATATATTTATTGAACAAGTACAATATATATAGTGTTAATGATGCACAGTTTCAATCTCTGGAAAAATAATATCTTCCACTATTTTTTAAACTTTTGTAAGAAGCAATAAGCAATCTTTATGTGAATTATTCTAACGATTGTCAATTCAGGACTCAGGAATTTGTCTTCAGAAGTCTCTCCTTCTGAAATTCTTTTGTTTTTCTTACGTCGTTGTTGCAGCTTTCACTCTAAGCGTCTGTTCAGGTATTATACCATTACATTACAAATGACGAGGAAGGGGGAAGTCCGAACTGTTAGCTAGATTTAAGCACGATGTTCCTTCAGAATGCACAAGTGCACAAGATCCAGTGATGCTTTCCAAAGTAATTAATTAAAAACATAATAAATATATATCGCGAGATCGTCAACCGAGGAGAAAAAGAGGCACTCGTTTGCTAATCGCGTTGAAATGACGTTAACGAGGACAACCTTTTGCGGTCGTGATTATCGACACTCGGGATGGTAATAATAGTATTTTACCACGGGCACGTAACGGTGTCTGGGAAAATTGTACAAACATATTGTTTCTGTATGTGGTGGCGGTTTTTAAAAAAATCCGGCGGAACGATGTAAAAATAACGAGATATTAATTGAAATACATCAGTCATAGATTCAAAAATAATCTATATATTACATAGAATATATATGTTTTATAGAAATAATCTGTATATTATATAATCTATATTATTAATTTGAGTGATATATCATATGATATTATCACATTATCATATAATGTTATTAATATAAAATATTATTATTAATATTATTATTAATAATAATATTAATATTATTATCATATAATATTATTTGAGTGATATATAATATTAATTGAAATACTTCAGTCATAGATTCAAAAATAATCTATATATTACAAAGATTATATAGTATATATATGTTTTATAGAAATAATCTGTATATTATATAATCTATATTATTAATTTGAGTGATGTATTGTATGATAATATTAATATTATCATATAATATTGTTTGAGTGATAATATTATATAATCTATATTATTATTTGAGTGATATGTAATATTAATTGAAATACTTCAGTCATAGATTCAAAAATAATCTATATATTACAAAGATTATATAGTATATATATATGTTTTATAGAAATAATCTGTATATTATTAATTTGAGTGATGTATTGTATGATAATATTAATATTATCATATAATATTATTTGAGTGATATATAATATTAAAATACTTCAGTCAGAAGTAGAATCAAAAATAATCTATAACAGATAAAAATGATAGATAATATTGATTGGTGTAAATGAGAAAAGAATCATTGAAGGTGAATATTCAATAGTCGGTTTGAAACTTTCGAACGAATGAAAATGTATTTCTAACCAAATTTTAGAAATATATACATATCATGAACATGGAACTTGCATATTTCTTGCCCTAGTTTCAATTCAGCTGATCATTTGGGCCAAATTATTACAGAAAATAGAGAGGGTTAACGAGAGGTAGAAAAATATAAAGGTTACTGACAATAGAGAAATATAAAAATATAAAGGTATAAAGAATTATAAAAGAATTGCACTGTTGAAATATTTATAAACTGTGGAATCTCTAAAAGTCGAATGATCGTTCCATTCCCAAAGTGTCTCTATTTTATTTTCAAATTTCGATTAACATACGTCTAATGATGCAGTAAAGTATATTTACCATTGATACACATTTCATCATTATCATCCTAAAGAAAGTATGGTATTTCGTAAATGAATTTAGGGACAATCGAGTAGTTACAAAAGCTGGTCTAAATTAAAGAAAGAGAGAAAAAACAAACGAAGACGAGTAATTGTAATTCCTTAACGCAGCAACGAATTCAGTAATGAAAAGAAAGAAAGGAACGCAGAAGCGATGGTACGGACACGATCTTGCAGAGTCAATTGATACCTGGTCGATTCGTCTTAAGCTTTTCAAAGGAACGAGCTTTTCTTTTGCAAGTTTTATAAACGCTTTGCACTCTCGGCACCCGTTCGCGACGAGCAGCAATCTCTTCACCGATTCGACGAGATGGTGCACGACGGTGATTTCGAATAAAATTACAAACGATATTTCGTTCGAATTTTTTCTACGTTTCCCGGGAAAGGTGTTTTCCTCGCCTCCGACTCTTGGTTAAATCGCGTCTCATCTGTTTGCCAATTGACGATCGTGCGCACCTGCAACCGATACGTGAGCTTTGTCTCGTTGTTCTCCGTGCAACTCGGCCAACTTTGGCTGTATCTCTTTGCCGCCCCTCGCCGCGACTTCACCCTTTATTTCTTCTTTGAGCCCCGGTCCCTTCGTTCGAACTTCTTAACTTTCGACTTTGAACAGAGTCGAGCCGTGACGGTGGAGGGAGATACGAGAGGGAGAGACAGCCCCAGCCGCGAATTTAATTGAACAATTTTTCCGCTGCGAGGTCTACGTTGTTATTACTTTGTCCCTGGTAGAGGCGGAGAACAACTGCGATGATAAAAGAAACTTTTTGATAGAAATGAAAAAAAAAAAAGAGAAAAAAATAGGGGGAAGGTAAACGAAAAAGCTTGGATTTTGTTGGAAAAGAGAAACGGGAAACCCGTCGTCGGGTTTAAAAATCTTGAGAGAAAGGAGACGAGAGAAAGGATTTCGGACGTTCAAAGTTATACTGTTGCAAGATATATACGTTAGAGTCGTGATACGTACGTACTATCTGTTTTCCTTAGTCACGTTTTACTGTGAATTCTTTCTTTCGAATATAGTATGTATGTAATTGCTGTATAATGCGCAACGCGACTATTATTTACAGTTGTTCACGAAAGTATTCAAATTTATATATTGTACAAAATAAAATATAACGTAAATATATAATTTGTAGTATTATAAATTAACTTTATTATGATGTTATTATAAATTTATTTATATTATATATAGTAATTTAAATTACAATTGTAATAAGTAATTTAAATAGTAATTTAAAATATAATAATTTAAATTATTATATATATATATATATATATAATTTAAATTATTATATATATATATAATTTAAATTATTATATTTTAAATTACTATTTAAATTACTTATTATAATTATATTTTAAATTATAATACTTATTATTTAACAATACTTATTATTTAACTTATAATTTAAATTATTATATTTTAAATTACTATTTAAATTACTTATTATAATTATATTTTAAATTATAATACTTATTAATTATAATTTAAATTACTATATATAATATAAATAAATTTATACATATATATATGTGTTATAAAATATTTTAAAATTTTATTAACACTTTAAATATATTAAGAAATCAATCTAAAGATATATATATATATATATATACAAGTTACAAGATATTT